GAATTCAGCATGAACCACAAATCACAGGGGCAGCTGAGAAAACTGCATCACTGGAAGAAAATGTTGCTAGTGCCTGATATGGGATCAATGTACGTTTTGCTATAAATTCATATTTTTATCTGGTAATTTTCCCCTCTCCTGAGTCGTCTGCCACATTTCTTATCAGATGACCAGAGTTCACCTAAGAGGGATGAACTCACTGTCTCAGGCAAGCTTCTCTACATCAACAGCTTTATCAGCTCTTATTGGCTCAGTGTAACCTTTAGTACTCAGTAACAGTACTGGGAAAGAAATGCATGCAATCCATCCCATCAGATTAGAGGTTCTGCTAACTATTAAGATTGAAGAAGTGTTGAGAAATCCCTTTGAAACAATTTGAAGTGTCTGGTTTTGGATTTTTTTTTTTCATGAAGCTCTTTAACACTGGAGCAGAGGCTACCTTCACATACATTTATTAATAGAATAACAGATCCCTTCAGTCATGCATAAACCAACATCCCAGAAAGAGTGCAGCGGAATGCACTCTTCCCATTTTGAACAACATGACTAAAGCTCACTACCGCTCGTGCTTTTCCATCTCCATTTTAATTCTTGCACAGAATACTGTTCTGTGCTGTAAAAACAGTTCTGAACATGATGTGATTAACCTTTAGGGTCCCCCCATCCCCTCATCTCACAGCCCCCTCGTACGTGGCCTGTGCTTTCTATTCATGTTCAACCATCTGATTTCCATATCATCCCGCTCAGCCTCCCGAGCACTATTAGCATAACAGAGCTTTGGTGTGACATTGATTGAAGCCAGCGCTTGCTGAATGCAGTATCAAAGCATAATTTGCCAGAAATCACATCTAATTTACTATGTACTATTTAAATTTCTTAAAAAAAAAAAAGGGCAGCAATTTCAATATAAGTATACTAGGTTTGTAATCTTAATTGTTCTTTTTTTTTCCCCCCACCATAGTTATGGCTAGTCTGCTGGAATCTGAGCGATATATTTCATTTTGGAGCCACTGTCTTTGACTTTCAGATGTTAATTAAGCAAGAGTTTTTCCACTCTGTTTCTTCCTATGCACTTAATGCTGCATCTGAAACAGTAAAGAGTAATAGTCTGGTAGGCACAACAGTCAATTTGCTGCTTCATAACAGTTTTTTCAACAGATTCTTCTAATGACCTTAATGTTTAGCTTGAATGAAGCCTTTAAGTACCACATAACTTTAACAGCTGAAGCTGATCAAACCTGCTGTTATTTCTCTAACTGTACCTTTTCAGAATGTTTTTAAAATTCACCTAATTTGAGAGCAGCAATAGTGACTTGAATAAGTTTTGTCCAGCGTTCCCCTGAAGCTGCGCTTTGAGCAAGTCATGATATCAGTTAGCCTTTCTGCAAAGTGGAAGTAATAATATTTATCCACCTTTATAAACAGCATATATATACGAACATAATAAGCTCTGTTTTTAGGAAAATTGAAGAGCCCAAGTGCTTATTCTGTCAAAGAAGCCTTGCTGTCTCTGAGTAGGGTCACACTGAATTCTCTGGGGATAATGTCTTAGTGTTTGGGTAGTTATACTTGACCAAGAATTTATCCTGCAATTATTAAGTGTTACTTTCACTTTTCAAATTGCACTGTTTGACTAGAAATTGGCAAATAAAGCTGATATGGTGAAAACGTTGTTTAAATGCTATAAACAATATTATTTTAATCAGAGTCTGTCTATAAACAGAGCTATAGCTGAATATGACAACAAACTATAACAAAAGGAGGGTTTCTTTCATTATAGAACCCTGTCTTTGAATAAGTTAAAAAAACCCAAACAACTCACACAGTGTTTTATTTTTCCAAAATTATGTTTCTCATGTTATTTAAGATTATGTTGTTAAATAGTTTAGCTGAAGAAACTCTGATGTGAATAAAAGCTCCAATTCATTTTTTTTTTATAGTAAATTTCCAGTAATTATGGCTGCAGAGGAAACTAGAAAATATGTGATTGCATAGCTAGATATTGTTGTTTGCTGGGGTCTTTAGAAAGGTTAACTTAATAGCTCTGAGGCCAGAGATCTATTCATCTAGTATGGCAAAAGCTGGAAAGGACTTAGTGTGTGGAAGGCAGCATTCGGAACAACAGGATCCATCCTTGTCTGAGCTACAGACTTATTTTCCTTTCCTGTTTTTGGAAAAAAGGAAAAAAAAAAGAAAGAAAGAAAAAAGATCGTTTTTCTGCTCTTAGGAAAGTGAGAGATATTCAAAGTTAGGGATAGGTCAAAAACTGGAAACTAGGTAAGGAACTAGGATGTATATCTCTCATTGTACCTTGACTACCAATTATCTTAATTTGATCCTTGGAAAGTCTGCTACAGCAACAAATTTGGTTCTGTTGTATCTCCTCAGAGCTTGGAGTTATTGATTTACAACACAGCCTTGTGTATGTGAGAGTGTTTCAGATGAACCCTTAAACGTTCCTGCCTTGCATTTATGCAGTTACATGACTTGAAAGATGGGCTCATGGAAATGCCGAGCCCTTCTTGCTGCTGTTGAGCTGCCTCAGAGCACTGCCTGTATAACATACCCCCAGTGCACCAAGCATTGCCTACGAAGTGATCTTAGGCATCCATCATGCTTAGGTTTTATCTATGGGATGGTCTCCTGGCTCCAGGTTTTTAGCATCACAACAGAAAGATTATGGTCTCGAGGCCACCCATAAGGCAGCATAGACATAGGACTCATGCATCGTTCCTGTCAAAAGCAGGTATAACACCTGGAGAGGTTTTCTTCTCTCTGCTGTGCCTGAGGTTGCTGTTGATTCTATATTGATATCCTGGGCAATGAACTTCTGTTTGTTGGCTGAGCAGCAAACACTGGGCTAGTCCAGTGACCTTTGTTAAGTAGGTGGTCAGAACCATAGAGATACCTAAGATATACCTAAGGAAGGGGAGGTTTCTACTTCAGAGCTTAAAGGTTTCTCTCTCTCCTCCTGTGTGACTGACTGAGCTAACACATGCACTGATTATCACACTGCTGCTTCCTGACACCTGTGGGTGTTTGTTGCATACAGATTGCTTGGTTAAACCAGGTGAGGGAAAAACAAGTAACTCGCTGCAGCTCAGCACTTAAAGAGTAGAATATCATGAGTTCACTTCCTAGAGTATGTATAGACACACCTTATAGAAACCTCAAAACATATGGCTATAAACAGGCAGCAGCAGGGCACTAAGGCCTTTGTCCCTGCCTGTTTAGACAATTTAACAGCTGCTGAGGTGGAGGAAGAGGTGGACACTTCTTTCCAGAAGGCCAAAGCCTGTGTTTAGGAGTGTGAGGCAGAAGAAATACCCTCTACCTTTTAAATTTATGATGGTTCATGTTTATTAAGTGCTTTGCAGTTCTTGTTTTAAAGAGTGTATTATACCAGCATTATTCAACTGATGCTCTTTAGACTCCTGCTGATCTGTAAAGCCTCGGGAAGTACCTCAGGAGATCACTGCAAAGTGTGTTTCAAAAAAAATCAGGTCTGCCTGCATTTCTATGCAGTTAGCAGATTTGTGTCTGTGCTGTCAGCAGGTGTAATCGGAAGCTGGGTCTTGATTGCTCTTCGCGCCTAATTAAATAGTTTGTAATTATAATGGTGAAAATACGGTTTTCTAAAACACTTAAATTCTGTTTACCTAAAAGCTTAGTGTTCCTAAGCCATCCCTCCGCACAACTGCAAAACCAATAGTGGCATAGAAGAAAATGAAGGTGGGGTGTTGCAGTGGTTTTTGTTTGGGTTTTTTGTGGGTTTTTTTTACTGTTTTGTCCCCTTCTTCAGCCTGCCCCAAAAGTTAGCTGATCTTTTGATAAGAATATCTGGAGACACTGCTTGCATTTTTAAGATATGCAAAATAGTATAGGTCCAGTTTCAGTAATGAACCAAGACTGGAGGGTTTTCATAGCACTCATAGAAAAGCCATTTGCTTTACTACTACATCATGCTCAACATAGTCACTGATGTCAAGTTTTCTCTCTCAAACGCTCTGATATTGCTTCTTCCTCACTTTCTTTCTACACATTAACACCTTTTCTCTACCTTCTCATTCCCACCAAGTACTGACTCTCTATTCTCTGTCAGTACCTACCAGAACAAGTCAAACTACTCCTCTCTCTTAGAAATTGTTCACTTCTGACTGTGCCTCCTGGTCCTGTATGTCTGAACACTGTTAATGCCAGCTACTTGAAAACATAGCCAGTCCTGGTTCTTCTCTCTTGCTTTGAACCCAGTTTCCTTTTTTCTTTTCCTTGTTTCTTCCTGATCTCTTGGAATACCTATTCCTTCTCACTCACCACTCACTTCTGCCCACTAACTCTTCAACTTTTGCTTCCTTCTAATCTTTAAACTAGCTGAAATCTGGATTTCCCAAGTTTGTGTTGTTTTATCAACCATTCTTTTTACTGCAACTCCTCCTTCCCACTTCATTCTTGACCACACTGCCTCTAAGAGAACTGAGAGAGCTCTTGAACTTCTGTTCTTCTGCTGTCATCCAGACCTTCCTTTCCTTTCTCAATCATTTTAAAAAGTCTAGAGGGCTAGACTGAGAAAGACAGTCTGTTCATCCTAATTCATACTTACAACACGTGATAGCTCTATGAAGCATAAGAGGCTATGAGAGTGCAGGTACCTTTCCAGACCAAAGGTAGAATACATTCAGAGCCAGAAATATAAACACCTGACTGTGCTCCTTAGCATTTATTGTCATCAGAATTGACTCTAGCATGTATGGTTGTAATGTTTATTTCCTTTTTTATTTTTTTTTTAATAACTGGGGATGTCACATACATATATTGCTGCTCTTTCTGTCGCTGTTGTTGTTTGTTTATATATTAATTCTGTCTATACTAATTAATGTTTCTGGTGTCATGTCCTCTGACATAAAACAAATCTCCATAATGTCGTCTCTTTCCTTCAGTATTCCCTGTCTCTCCCTTGCAAAATATGCTAAACTTACACTATGTTTTTCCTTACATTGTAGCTCCTCCACAGTTTGTGGTGAGACCACGAGACCAGATTGTAGCCCAAGGTCGAACAGTGACTTTTCCTTGTGAAACTAAAGGAAATCCTCAGCCAGCTGTTTTCTGGCAAAAAGAGGGCAGTCAGGTAAGCTGTAAGCACCCTATAAGTCTTTCAAGCCTTTCTAAATAGTTATATTGTGAAATTTTAAGGAAATTTTTTTATATTACCTTTCACAGATTCTCTTAATCTTTCACAGGACTTTCTCTTTTTAAACTATCACTATTCTGCACTGAAATTTTTGCTGCTTTTTTTTTTTAAATATTGATATTATAAAGAATACAAAGGCCATTTAAGTTGTTGTAACTTGGGCTAGGTGCTGTGTGGATGTACAGAAAGCAACTGTAAAGGCTTTGCATTCTGAAGCCCCCAACAAACAGGTGGGTGAGACAGGCACAGTAGATAAAAAAAGGTATGACTCAATTTTTTACTAATCAGAGTCAGTAATTACAGTTCACAACCTGTCTAGACATGATCAGGCAGATACGTATCTCGCAAGCTGATTTGCATTATTCTCCTGGAGCATACAGATATAGGTTTTGAACACGCAGATGCTTTCTTGAGTAAAATTGTCCCGGGAAGTTTCCAGATCTGGTTTTGGAAATATTTCCCCGATCTCTTTTGCAGGTAGAATTTGTGATGTGGCAATCGGCGTTGCCGTCAGCCAGTACTGGCTTCCACAGCTTAGGGTTTGAATGTCACGTTATAACATTTCTTTACTGCTGTTTCTGCATTGGCACGTTGTTACAGCAGAAGTCAGGCCTCCTCACTTTGAGTGTGCAGTTCATGTTAGTATGTTAAATTTGAGCACTGCAAAAACTACGTGCTGTTTTCTCTTTTGCACCTGAGAAAAAATTAAAAGGGCCAAATGAACACCCAAGGACAGTGCCTTCTGCAGCTCCCTGCTGAGCCCTGTCATGGCTACACCTGTCTGTATATCTATGCAATATACCCTTCTCTTTTGGTTGGTCTCTTCAGACCCCTGTGCTACTTTCCCCCATGTGAGTTAACTCACGTATCCACACTGTGCTGTGCAGTGCAGACGTGCCTTTTGTCAGATCTGGAGGCACTGTGTGCACCAGCTCAGTTAAAATGTGAGATAAGAGCTGAACCACAGATCTCCTGCTCTGCCCCACCTGCTTCTCCTTCACCTTCTCATGAGATCAGAAAGCTATTCCAGAATGACAGGACCAGGCTGACAGCATTTTGTGCTCTGCTATCTTTGTGGCTTACAAAGATACAACACTATTGCTTTATGAAAATAAGCTTGTCTGAGCGTAAGCTTAACCTTCAGTGTGTAGCTCTCAGTGTAATATTTGGAGAAACTTAGATTTAGCCTCCATGGATCACACACCCTGGAAAAGCAAAGTGTTCTGAGTCTGACTAAGGTGGCAATTGTTCCAAGGGGAAAGTAGAATAGTATGTTGAAATTAAAGTAGGAAATAGTAATGTGCTAGCAGACATTTCAAAACCCTTCCTTGTAGAGCATTTTAATAACATGGTAATGTTTATGTAAAGTGAGCTTATAGTGTCACACTTGAATCTAATAAAGTGGACATCCATCATGCTGTAATAAAGAGAAGAGCTTCTAATTAAAGTAGGACATCATTTGCAGGATTAAAGTCATTTAGCGTAATTGAAAAGTGTTAATACTCTATTTTATCCTCTTCCATTTCTATCACTTCAAGGGTAAAAACATTTTAAGGTGAAAATGCATCTTGTGTCTTTAATTGAATGTTATTACCTACTGATTGTACCATGTTGAAGCTGCTTAATTACAAACCTGGAAAATTAATTACCATATTGAGAAACAGATCCCCAAGGGTTAGAATAGTCTTTTTTGGCAAATAAATGCAACATAAAAATTGATACCTACATGTTTTATAATCAAACCTTCAAACACAGCTCAGTGTGATTTACAACAGCCTCCTGTTAATCTCGATTGATCATCAGTGAAATAACACAGGTTAGGGTTACCCTCTCACTATATAACTTGCCAGATTTTGCAGTGAGATGCCATAAGGGAGGTGAGTTTCCATACACTGTATATCATCATACAAATGGAGGATGGTGTTTTTGCCAAATTACGTGACTTTTCGCCTTTGCATGCCCAGCTATAAATTGTTTCTTGTCTCTACAGTGCTTACTTCTGCTTTTACTTGGGGAACTGTTTGCAGCTCCACATTTAGTGTTTGAAGTAATGTTATATAGTCGTGTTATCCCACTCCAGTAATTGTGGGGCATTTTTCATTGAGACTCCATTTCTCGATCCTGTGTTTTTGAGCACAACCAGCTGGAAGGGAGGGGAGCTGTTCCCTCCTGAGTAATTTTTTGTGCCAGCCTGTGCATAAACAGCTGGCCCTTTGTACTTGGTGGCCTTTTCCCAGAGCTCAACAGCCACCCACCAATGAATGCATGAGGGCAGGGTGTGTGTAATCTTTAGACCCTGTGGATTAAATTCTTCCTTGAGATAAATTCAGTGGTATTGTATCAGGGATGTCTTCGGTCCCACTTTTCGCAACCCAGAATGTGTGTCCAGATGAGCAACCCGACAACTAATTAAAATAGTGAAATTATAAAAAACATTTCAGAAAGAGGTTTTACTCAATTTACTGTAATTTGGGACAAGTTACAGTTCATAGTTATCTGATCTTTGAAGAGAGGAGTCATGAGACTGGTGAACTCCTCCTGATGTGTGAAATATTTACTGGAACATGGCACCTTCCAGAGAAGAGAGGCCCATGCTGAAGACAAAAAGAAGAGTAGTGTCCCCTGTCTAATGCAGTGATAAAGAGGATTCTGGATTATTTTTCTCTTAATAATTAGGAGCTTGATCCTTCCACTGTCTTTTACATTGTGTTTCTTTATATACTTTACATAATGAGTGATAATTGGAGTCAAGATCAGCCATGCCAAAATTCTCCACTTTCTCATAAAATTTAGTGAAGTTTTCATAATACCCTCATTCAGTAGGTATCTGTGCCAAACAGAAGTTATTCTGAAAGTTTCAAGGCAGTTCAGAAAACAAGGCAATTATTTGAGATCCACTCAGTCCCATAGCCTGAAATTGCTTCAGAATTTTAACACTTTTTTCCTATTGGATCTGACATGTTTACTGGGTGGATATTGATTTTTGAGGAAAAAATCTGCTGTTATAAATTTCTTGAACATTGCCATTGAAATAAGGCAATGGAAAAGCCTAGGGTGACAAGTATCCTTGTAGGTTAATACAATTATAAGGATACTTAGAGCGTCGGATCTTATTTAAAGCGTATCACTTTCCTTTTACTGCCAAAACCATAAAGGCATGAGTTTCACTTAAAAGCAGAATTTGTTTCTTATATTTCTTATTTGTTTCTTAAGCAGTTTGTTGCTTATCAGTTCCAAATCCTTTTTTGTAAACTATTAAGGTCTGCAGAAAATTCATTTAATACCCTATTCTACACTTTTAGATTCTATTTTTAGCCCATACAGACAAGCTTACAAGTTAGTAGGGAATCATCATTAGAAAGCACAGCAGAGCTATACAGAGCTGCAGTAATGACTGAAAGCTTATCACAGCATGTTAAGTGTTTTGGGGTATTCCTGCTGCAAACAACTGTATTTTTCATAGAGGCTTGTTGAGCTGACATAAAAGCCAGATCCTATTTTACTAGAATTACTTTTGTTTAATTATTGTTTAAGCAGTTCTCCTTTCTGCCTCGTTGGGCAATGCTGCTGACCTTTCCCTTCGCATTGCTTTCCTTTTCCTGTTCTTATTTATTCATAAGAGCTGTGCCAGATGGTATAACTTTTTCCTTGAAAACACAGCCCTCACTAGTAAAACCTTTTCAGTATTGATTCATTCAGTCCTTCATCATATGCAATGACTACTACAGCCATTCCAGCTATTATTATTGACATCTCTCTTTTCTCCAATCCAACCCGAAGGCAAAAGCTAATCTCCCTGTTTTTTGCTAACTGATGTCTTATCCTACATGAAATTATTTTTTCTCTTTGATGATTTCTACATCAGATTAATACCCCTTCTCTTCACCCTCAAGGCTCCATGATGCATTTCTCTTTCGGTACATCTCAGTTTTAATTTCTTTTTACTTCTCTTTTGAGCTCTCATGCTCTGCCAGCTTCTCCTACTTTATGACTTGGTCATAGCTTCTTCCCAGCTTTACTTCAGTGCCCTACTCTTACTTTCTCCTTTGCCCAGGACATATTAACAGCCAGACAATAGTGCTATACTCCCTCAAGTCTCCAGGAGTCAATTTTTTCTGCTAGTTTTCCAATGTTTACTGTAGTGTTATGTCCTCCTGGTTTGATAGCCAAACTAAGTATATTATTACAATTACACTCAGAGAGAAGATGAATGTGTCACAAATAGAAATCACTCAAGTGTGATTGTTGGAAAATGTCTCCTCGCCTACACCCCCAGAACACAGCACTGTGTGCTGTCAAAGGGCTGTTTCTAATTTAAACTGCAAGTTGCCCAAGGCAGGGAAAGCCAGCTCTATGTGTTCATAAAGCCTTACTTTTCCTTCTAGTTTATTTATAGTACTTTTAAGGGAAAAATCGTCGCCTCTCTAGCTGAGGGAAGAGTGGTGCTTTTGTGTTTTGAACTGATGTTTGATGAATTGTCTTTGCAGAACCTACTCTTCCCAAACCAGCCTCTCCAGCCCAACAGCAGATACTCGGTGTCACCGACCGGAGACCTCACCATTACCAACATCCAGCGCTCGGATGCAGGATACTACATTTGTCAAGCACTGACGGTTGCTGGAAGCATTTTAGCAAAGGCTCAGCTGGAGGTTACTGATGGTGAGCTGTTAGAAATTCCCATTGGTTTTTTTTTTCCTGTCAAAAGTATTTTAAAAGCAGTGTAAATAAAGGCATGTGAGATCATGTAATTCATACAAGGAAACGGACAGTTTTCTAGGCGAAATAAAATGGAAAAGGATCTCCCTGCAATTGTCTGTGGAGTCAAAAAGGCATCAAGGCCTATTTTGCCTTTTGCTTACTTTCTGAAGGTTCCTTAACAATGAAAAGAAGGGAAAACAAGCTTAAAATAAGGTTGGTGAGAAAGGAAGAAGCTTGGTTTGCTAGAGCTAAGAGACAACTGCAAGAAAACATTGTGGAGAATGAATAGGTCTATGATTAAAGCAGTGAATTGGGGTGCAAAAAAAATTAGTTCTGATTCCCAACAATCTTCACTACCATCTTACACAGCTAGTTTGGGAATGTGTCCTCAGCTCAATTAAACCAAGGCAGTTGTTTGAACATAGTGGAGTACTATTGGTTTAGAATAGCTACATGTAAGCCCTTTAGTCACTCTGTGAATAAGGCAACTACTTCAGAGCTGTGTTCTAAGAATTTCCTTGTATGGTTAGGTGTGAAAAAAGCCATGAAAATGAGAAGGTAGAGAAGAGTTTTCAGGCAAGGAAAAGCATCTGTCTTGATGCTTTCCATTTCAAATTTTTGGGTTTGAAATTTATCCTGCCTTGAAGTTTACCTTACTCCATCTCCAAACATGAATCCTTTTCATATGTCAGGAATCCTGTTCATCAGGAATCCCTCTTCATCCTCTTGTGGATAGAAGGCAGTTTGCATCCTTTAATGTTAGTGAGGAAAACAGTAGAATTCCTCTTATACCAGGAGATTGTGGCATTCCCCAGCATCATTATTCCTTATCTTAACTGACACATTAAATATCTCCTGACAGACTTTGATGAATTTTTGCCATTAAAACTGTTGTTATATGCAGAGGTCTACTTTTACTGTTCCCTTAGAGACCTGCCTGCACCATGAAAGTTTGAAAAGATGTCTAATTTTGAATAATCTGCCTTTTCACAAGAGCATATTCATCACAAGTGACAGGTAGAGAGGTTCAGGCTCATGTTATAGAGGTTTGAGCATTAATTTGATGCCTTTTCTTTGTTTTCCAAAAGCTGCTTATATTTTTATGACAAGGGAAGATAATTTCTGCCTTATCCTCGCATCTCTTCAAGCACATTGCTTTTCTGTAGTTTCTGGAGACTAAAGGCTTGGCTTCTCTCTGCGATCCCTTTAAGTCCTTTCTCTCATGGTCTGAGAGAAAATGATGCATTTTCATTCAATTAAAATTTAAATGTAGATTAAAAGGTCGTTTAAAATTAATGGAAAGGCAGTATTTTGTAATATCTGTCCATAGTGCTGCCTGACTCAGGGCCATGACTGTGATTGGAATAAATAGAACACACAAACATTGAGCTGTTAATGGTTGCACCTGCTGATGCTGCACAGATTTACAGCAACAGGCACTGAGGGGATCAAATCAGGTTCAAGGACACGAGTGGTGAGAAATTCTTCCTTTTGACAGGCAAGGCCTGTGGTCCATTTCTCGTGCGGGGGAAAAAAAAATAAATCCCAATTGATCTCTTTGGAATTTTCGTTAGTTGATTAGCGGAAAGTGTCCCTGCTAAAATGCAAACTCACCTACAGCTAATTCTGATTAAAGGCAGTGTGCATTTCACATTGCTGGAGAAAGCATTAGCTGGAGGCTCTGCTGCTCAGAGAGTGCAAGGCCTGCATTCTTCAAATGCCTTCCAGAACCCACTGTCAGCAGCACGATCATTATGAAAAAATACAAAATTGCTTTATAGAAATACGATTTCATCCCCGAGTCAAAGGGCAGGTGAGGTCAGAAGAAAAGTGCCAAAACAACATTGTGGAACTGAGATTATATAAATAAATCTACCATTAGATCACAGATATTTTTTTAATTGCTTTTAGTTAGGAAGTTACCCATAAATGTTGAAATAATCTGTTTTGGTTGATGCTGAGCAGAAGTTAAGGAAGCTAATGATTTTTATCAGTAGGGAAATCTAATTTAATGGTTTTAAAAATATAATAAAAGATAAACACTGTACATGTTAGCTATATACTTAAGCATTAGTGTTCTAGTTTTTGGCTGGTGATTTCAGTTTTACTTCATAGCCCAGAATTTTTCTGTTTGGTTAATGATTTAATAATAGTGGCGAGCCATCTTTTTCATTTTGAACACATTTTTGTTTGATCCAGAGTAATTTAGATCCAATTGAAGTTCCAATACAGAATGAAAACATGTCATGTGCAGAAAAACAAGTGCTTAATTATACCATATATAGCAGTGTTTCAGTTGTTAACATTTTTGCACTTACAAGTCTTTACTGGAAATATTTTTAACTCAAGTGTTCACATGAGAAGAGATTACTAGCTGTGATGAAATGTGCTGAGTTGAGTGATAATTTTGCTGATTATGGACTGTGCTAAGAGCCTTCGGTGTATTTGAAATTCAAATCTTGTATTTTCTTGAAAGGCTATCATGTAATTCACTGTCTAATGCACATCTGGAAAAGCAAAATCATTTTAAAAATTGAACAATCTTAGTAATCCTTTCAAACTCAAGAAGTGAATATACAGCTTACAATCTTAAAATGACAAATCCTGGAAATAAACCAAATGCTTCCATCTATGTCTGTGCTCAGCATAAAATGAATAGTTTACAATTAATATTTAGTTACATAAATTTATCCATCGTGCACAGAATATTTTGGAAAAGATCTGAATTTCTCCTTAGTAATCTTTAACACTTATTAATAAAAATTGTGGCCAATGCATGTGCAGCTGTAGGATCATGTTTTGTCCAGTTTACCCAGCAGCTGCTGTTTAGCGTGAGTATTGGGTTGGAAGGAAAAGATTAGCCTCACAGTGTGCATTTTTCTGACAGCATAAGAATGAACTGGTTTAGGATATTAAATTAATTTAAAACATTTTGTTTCTGGGATTTCCAATAAAGCAAAAGGCTGGATCTATAAGGATAATTCAGAATAGACTAAAAAAAGTAAGGGGAGGAGTTTGCAGCATACCTCAACAGCCCACTCTCCACTGATTTGGGACAGACACTTGAGGCATTTTACCCAAACTCCTTTGCAATTTTTTTTTTATTATAGATCTATTGAATACTCTGGGATATCTCTCTCTTAAATCCTCTACTCACAGTTTACTTGCCTGCAAATCTGGCCACCATGATTCTTAGCCCTCATCAAATGTATATTAAATATTTTGTAGCAAGTGTGACAGTCTCAAACAGGATAGATTCAGAACAATATCACAGCCTCCTGTGAAGCTCTTCTGCAAAAAAAGACAGAAGGATTGGTCTCTGCTTTTCCAACCTAACCCTAACCCTACCCTATCACACTAATGTTCATCGTGTGAATTTCAGGACTTGTGCTTGATTTTCCCCATTAATTCACCAGGAAAGTTTTTGAAATTTTGATTTCGAAAGTGAAAAAGTAAAGACTTCATTTTGTCATTCTCTTATTTTAATTTCCTCTTGTAATTTGACCACATTCCACCCAAAGTTAAACATGATTTGAGTTGATCCAAATTGCATTTTTACTGAATAAACTGTTAATTAACAGTTATAACTTGTTCTTTTCCTATAATCTGTTCCAATTTTAAGACGCACTTTATCACAAAAGAAATATTTAAATTTTTCAGTTACCAGAATATAAGAATAAATGGATACTGGCAAATAGTTTCAAATCCATTTTTTAAATTAAATTAATTTTGAAATCAACCTCTGATTTACCATGCAAACATATTTCTAACCACAGACAATGTTTCTGTGGAAAGGATGTAAAAGTTTCCTGCAAGGGGGAAACTCTGAAGGTAAAAAAAAAAAATAATAAATTAAAATATTTTAAAAGCAACTAACAAACACCACACCATTTTATGGATATTTTTCATTATCTCTGTTCTTCAGAATGTTTATGATATATGTTTTTAAACCTTTAAGCAAGTTTTGGATCCTTACTAATGAGGTAGGAACACAAGCACCCACACAGGTTTTATAGAAGATTTACAAGTCCTAGTTGTGAAGACAATACAGTCATTCACAGATCAGTGGAAACCCTAAGTGTTCATTTAACCTTTAGCCTTAGTGTCATGGAAACCTGTAGTGGTCTTTCACCCATGACACCCTTGAAAATGAAGATTCCTTCTGGCCAGGAGACTTTCAATTACACTATTGATCAGAGCTATTTAAAGGATTATGAGGTCCTCATTTGTGCTGTAAAAAAACTAATTACGTGCCAAAGAACAATATCTGTAATGCCGTAGGTTTTGAAAATACCTACATTGCTACACATATGAAAAACAATTAGGCGAAGCAAATAACTGCGATAGATAGTTAGCAACTTAAATAGTAATTTTTCCTTAAATTTTAGCTGCCTAAAATACTGGGATGTCCTGTTTTACATTAAATCTAAAGGATAACTTGCAGTTAAGTTTTCATTTGAATATACTTGTGCTGCAGGTATCCTTATAGTACATAGGAGATGGGATCAGTTTTTATTTCACCAAATGGCTGCACTGTGTAGTTATAAGGAACCTTAATGAGATAAAAAATTTCATATTAAGGTGAAAATGCATTACATTTTCTCTTTTCTTGTAACATAGTGTTTCCTGTCCTATCTCTGAGTTCAATGGGTGATATTTCAGAATTTCCAAAATAGCTTTCACATTCTGGTGTTAATAAATAGTCTTTATTTGCCTTCTATTTTCAGTTTCAATTTCAATAAATGTGATGAACTCACACTCCAAGGTGTGATTCTGATAATACTAATGATTCTGTCCTTTGTGAATCTTGTTAACAAAACAGGGTAGTTGTATTTTTGCAGCATTCAAATTTCAGAAACAATTATTTTAGGTATAAAATGTACCACTAACATGTCCCTAATATTTTTTATTTATTAAGTAGCGTAATGAAAGCACTTTGGATCTGTTGAAGGTTCCAGAGGGACCTTTGCATTTCAAACAGCTCAAATACAACAGAAACCTTATTGCTTCATAATAATTTCTTTTCACTTCTTTGTCAGAGTCAAATGTTGTGCATGGACTGTAATAAACAGATTTTCAGCTAGAATAAATGGTTCAAACTTAATTGACATCAGCAGAGGTAGACTAACTTACACTACTTTAGAACATAATCCTACCTGTTACAATATTTAATACCAATCACATAATTGTTCAGTTGTTCAAAGATTTAAAACAGCAGCAGTGTGGCAGGTAAATATATAAAAATGAATACTCAGTTCTGTTATGCTGATTTTATGCAACAGTCAAAGCCTTGTTTATATTCAAGTACTTCACATTCGTTTTGTATAAACACATTCTTTAGAAACAAAAAGTTATATTTTGCTGCTTAACAGATGGCTCAGAGGATAGGTTCAACAGCAGAATAATTTGTCAAAAAATGGTTTTTCAAGAAAAGTGAACACAAGCATTTTACCTCATCTTCAAGGTATCCCACTGGTCATGGAATGAGGTTTATACAAAATCATGCACTCACTGGTTGCAGAGTCCTTTAAGCAGTATTTCAAGCATGGAAATGTAAATTATCAGGGGAAAAAATTAAGAGAGTTCCTGGCTTTAAAAGGTGATGAAATGATTCGATAAGTAAGCTTTTAAATGGTGTGATTGAGTTTGAGCTTTTCTCCACTGCAAAGAGCAGTGCAGTCATTTAGATCACTCAGATTGTGAGGATGTTTTGTATTACTGTGAGGTATTTTTGCAGATGAAAACTTGCAAATTGAGCAGGACTGGGGATGTGGTTGGTACCCAGGCTATAATAGTGTTAGTTTTTCACTTTGAACTCTTAACAGATTTTCTCTTCTAGGCCATAAATTAGGTAAGCAATTAAGCACATTTTGATGTGACATCAAATGTGTGCTTTAAGTGCTTTCCTAAATTGGAAGAAATAAGTGATGCACTTAAATTCTTTTCTGAATCAAGGTCTTAATTTTCGTTCTGTGTTAACCAAATGAGTCTGATGATCTTTGCTGACAGAAATTTACATGTCTAGGTGTTGTCTCGCAATGGTGAAATAAAATCCTTACAAAAATACTTTTCAAATATACCAACTAATTGTTAACATGTACGGGTCTTCCAAAAAAATGTCTTTAACCTCTCGGATGCTGCCTTAAACCAGTCTCTTAGAATCGGTGCTGTGTGAAGGAACAGGGCTCACTGGAGCAGAGGATCTTTAAAGGTGTGGGTGTCGCTGTTTAGTCTTGACAGATAGGCCTCCACCCATCATCCTCCAGGGACCCATCAACCAGACACTGGCAGTGGATGGCACAGCTCTGCTGAAGTGCAAGGCCACTGGTGACCCCCTCCCTGTCATCAGCTGGCTGAAAGAAGGATTCACCTTCCTGGGCCGAGACCCTCGGACGTCCATACAGGACCAGGGGACGCTGCAGATCAAAGCGCTGCGGGTGAGTGGTGGTGACCAAGCAGGCGTGACAGGTTCTACACGGCTGGTTCCGACCTGTTGGCATGTGCCTGGAGCAGCTCTGCTGCCTCCCCCTTGTCTTCAAGATTAACTTGTCTTTTTTTCCCTGCAATTCTCTCCAAGTCCATGTCCTGTTTCATTCTTTGACACTGTGTAGGGAAGGCGGGGAAAAAAGAGAAGAGTGGAACTTGTATCAGATATTTCAATGAGAGTTCCCTAAAAAATAGAACTGATGTTTAAAATCTTATGTATGTTTCAGGAAAACACATGAGTTGGAGATGGATAGAAATATAAAAGGATAGTCCTTCCTATCTTTTCAGTTAGTCTTACCATGAAGCCATTGGCCTCTCTGTTTAAACTTAGAGCAGTTCCTTGGCAACACCTGATCATAATTTTCCAAGGACTTGTAGTGGTAGCACATGATCTAGAGTTCATCAGAGTTTAACTGCACACTTTCTCCATCAATAAGTCTTGTCAGTCCTGAACTGGATGATTTATTCCAATGTTATGCTTGCTGGAAATATTCCGCCAGGCTTCAAATGGCAAAAGACAACTAGTACATGAAGTCATATACAGCGGGATTTCTGTTCAAAATAAATACCTATTGTAACATTTACATTTTAACACATGATTTTATAATATTCCAAATAGCATAACGTCCCATGTGGTTGATAAATATTGCATCACTAATCTTTTTTTTTTTGCTTTTAATTTTTCCCTGTTCAAAGATAAACACGTGTTAGTTGTTTGTGTGTATTTAGTTAGTTAGTTAGTTGTGTGCGTGTGGAAAAATAGCAAGGTAAATGTCCTTATTTGTCAAGAACTTAAAGACAATTTCAGAAACCACTTAATTTCATCAGCAGAAATTTCTGCACTTGGCTTTTCCATCCAAAAAAAGTCAATAAACGTAGCTACTGATGACAAGACATAAAGAGCAGTTTTGTTTTTTGATACCTTCTCATCAGTGATCGTAGATGAATTGTGAACTTCCTTGGAACAAAATGGAATTTATTAAAACATTTATGCTAGCTTTCCTTGAGTAAACAATTTATCCTTCCTCCCTAGGCTGAAGGCAGGTTTAGGCCATGAAGGTTAATGCATTTTTCCTGTAGAGCTGGATTAAAGAGTGCGCTTGAATAGTCAAGATTCCCCAGTAGTGTTAGAAAGCAGCAATTAAAGGTGGAGGCTTAGTGATTTCAAACAAGCTTCCAGGCACTGATGATGGGCTTCTGTGGAGTGTCCATGAGGCAGAAGCTCCTGGGATACCTGTCTGCATGCAGCTATGCAAACAATGAAATTGGTTCTGAATCGTGCCGGCGCATTAATCTCGCTGTCAGAGGCCCAAAGTCTGTAAACTAAAGGGGAAAAAAATTGCTTGCAAGGGGAGAAGAAAACAGTATTAGTAGTGAGTGTGGTTTGGAAAGACATGAGGCTTTTATTGATCCTTAAGTGGCTCATTCACTACTAACCAATTTTCCTTAGAGGTTCAGAAAGGCATTTTTTATAAACCCCTCTATAGCAGTGTATTCAGATTCAAGAACAAAAACTACACAGGACCATAAACTGCAGATTTCTCCTGTCCCTTGCGATTTTTGTGAATTAAATATGGATTTAAGATTGGAATGTTTAACTTTTCTCTCAGGCCTACCTGAGCAAGGAGTAGCACCACTTCCTAAGCAAAAAATGGCCATGAAAATGTCCAAGTACACCTAACATATCCAAGTTCAAAATAAATTAGTATTTGTCACCCACATGTCCTCAGCCTTCTGGATGAGGGTAGATTTAGATTAGATATCAGGAAGGTATTCTTTACTTTGAGGGTGGAGCAGGTTTCCCAGAGAAGTCATGGGTTCCCCACCCCTGAAAGTGTTCAAGGCCAGGTTGGATGGGACTTTGATCAACTTTGGTTTAGTGGATGATGTCCCTGCCCATGGCAGAGGGGTTGGAAAGAGATGATCTTTAAGGTCCTTTTTTAGCTGGTCATTTTCTGCTATGTAGCTCTTTCTGTTACATCACAATTAAATTATTCATGAGCCTGCAACACTCACATGGGCCGCAGTGATAAGTATGAACATAGAGATTTTTCTGATGAGCCAATCTTTCCAGTTGCTCTGAGGAAGATAACTGAAAACTCACCTATGTCACTCAGTACCTGTTCAGATAGCTCAGCACTTATGGAAATCTCCCTTTAGCTCCACAGAATCTACCACAGCAGGTTTAGACACCTGCATTAATTAAAAACTGTTTATTTTACTGAATAACACACATTTTTCCATTCGCCTCCCCCATTGTTTTTTCCACGGCACAAAAAAAGAAGTATAAATAATTGAATTATCAACACATTATGTCTGTATCTAATCCATCCACAGTCTGGAAGTCAGATAATTTGCCATAACTTGCAAGAAGCAGTGTATCTCCAGCTTGCTTTATATGTTGAGTTTGTCTTCTGCAAGTTACTCTGTCGTGTACACCACATACTTCATTGAGTATGCCATGCACCATCTGTCACAGTAGCACACAAATGAAGTTGAGAACCATAGCCTTGAGAAATATTCCCCATTATCATGTAATGAAGAATTATATATTTAATAAAAGCTCAGAGGAAGCAAAATAAAACACTGCTTCAGAATGCTATAAGGCCCTCTCCTCTGGAAAATCTCTCCTTTCAAGAGTCTTTCTCATTTCATCAGCAGCACTGCTATATTTTGAGTGTCTGAGGCATTGTCAGAGGGGTTTCACTGTTGCTTGTGTTTCACGGAGAAAAAAAATCTCCTGAAATGCGAGTTAGGCTCCTTCAGGCAGTTGAGCTGCCTTCCTCCCTTAAGAATTCCTCCTCTTAAGTTGCTTCCTCCCCTAAGAATGGTACACTGCAGTCTCAGTGCATCTGAAGAAAATACCAACAAAATTCAAACAAGACCAAGGTAAAAATCAACTAAATTATATATCAACAAGTAATCTAAAGAATATCTTGCTTATTTGCCTTCACATTCTTCTTGAAGAGTGAAGTATAAGCACATATGCTATAGTGCCGATCTGCATTTAACAGAAAACCCATTACAATTTCTTAAAGTCCAATAAAGCTTTTTGGATGCATTTCTATTTCCATCAAGTCATCTGAGGGTGAATACAATTCTTTATCACTAGAGTCAGCACTCTCCCCCTTCTGCTTCCACCTCCAGATTACCATGCTTTATACATAGTGGTAGGAGAGCTTCTCTGTATGTTTTATGCTTTGTAAAGTTACTGTTTCCCATCCATCTCTGTGGTCTTCACTAGTTCCTGACTCAGAAATCTTTATTTTAAATTTAAATAGGGAATAGGAAAACACCTGGCAAATTTTCTAGTAGAACAATTTATACAGTGATGAGATTAATATTGACAATCAAATTCAAAACAGTTTCCCCAAATAAATTTAAAATATTTGCACTGACAAGGGAAACACAATAGTTTTGTACCAATGCACTTTTTTTTTGCTACCAAAGGGCCTTGCAAGCCTGAAATAAAATCCCATGTGAAACAGCAGAAAGGTAAGCATGGTGTAGGATCTAATTTAATCTTGCTATTTGAAAATTGCTTGGTGGACTTGTCTGCATAGAGAAAACCACTGTTAAGCATCAACAGTATTTGCTTGTGTGGTGGCCTGTATAGAAATGACTTCATCTGTCATAAAAGTCTAAGATGATGTAACATCCTTCCTTGGCACTGGAACCTGTACCTCTTGCTCATCATGGGATAATGAATGGTGAGATTTTGCCCTCTAAGAGGTTAATTGTCATTATATTGTTACCTGATTTCACCTGCAATTGTTGTAACCAATACAAACACTGGCACTGTCAGAAACATCCATTCTGTAGCATTTACAATACTGGTACCATTAACAATATGAAAATTAGAATTAGTAAAGTATTAGAAGCAAGTAATCTTATTATAGTTCTCTAAAAGTAAGCCACCATTAAATGATTGTTGGAAAATATCTGATGCCCTCTAGTCTGATGTAAAATGTAGGCTAAGTCCTTCTTACCAAGAAACATTTAGAAAAAGAAAATTAGAGTAAACTCAGCTGATTCTAAAAGGTTGTTAAAACTGCCCTTATGCCCCTTTTATGTGCAGCTGTCCGATACTGGGACTTACACTTGCGTGGCTACAAGTTCCAGTGGGGAGACCTCTTGGAGTGCTGTGCTGGAGGTGACAGGTAAGTGATGTCCAGAAATGTTGCAGCTGGCACACAATGAAAGTGTAGACTATACCAGAGCAGTCTGAGTCAAATAATCTGTTCTAGAACTTCTGGGATTGACATGGAGGAGTTTTGGATGAGCAGGTTCTGTTCTTTCACACGCCTTGCATATTATTCCTATAATTCCTGTTATCTTTAAATGCCCATTGACACTGAAACAGTTTTTATGTTTGTCTCCAGTGACAGAGGGAAGCTATAACTCTTCTAAACAGGAGTATTAATAAACTGTGGATTTATCCAATAATTGACTTGGCCAACAAAACTATTATGCCTACACAGAGACATTTCAAAGTCCAAAGTGCTCTCTGTGAGTACTGGAGTTGATTTGGATACAGGAACTTTCTCAGCTTTCTAGAAACTGAGTTTCTGGTATTTTATGCAAACTTCAGTAAAGCTGGTGGGGGTTTGTTTTGTTTGTTTTTGTTGTTCTTGATTTTTTCTTTTTAAAAATATTTATGTATAACCTTTTAAATTGTGCAATTTTTTTCTTTCAGTATGTACTTAAAGAACGATAGCTCTTCATCCAAAAAACGTGCAATTTTTGACTTAGTTCTTTACAGATTAAGAATATTCATTATGATGATTTTTTCAGATGTTTGCCATGTTTTTTCCTTTTAATCTTCTACTTTGATCAAATTATATAACCAAGGATAAAAAATAACTGGTTTACATTTGCCCTTCACAGAATCCGGTGGAGCAACAGTCAGTAAAAACTATGATATAAATGACCTCCCTGGGCCACCATCCAAACCTCAGGTCACTGATGTTACTAAGAACAGTGTCACCCTGTCCTGGCAGCCAGGGACCCCTGGAAGCCTACCAGCCAGTGCATATATCATTGAGGCTTTTAGGTATGTGAGTTATTCCACTTTTAAGCTCCTTTCTTTCTAATTTTGCTTAAACCCTGGTAACAGCTGTTCTCCTGGTACTGTGGTATTCTTTTGGACTCCACACATATCATTAGAGGTTCATTAAATGACAACTCCTATAGCAGGCATTGATTCATATTTTTTAAACTGAATTTTTTTTTTAATTTATCTTTTTTTTTTAAGTGATTAATTGGAGAAGGATCTTACAATTTCTGCTGGAATATAACAGAACAATGCAGTCATTATTTGTTACTTAATGTTGATGTTCAGTGAGAGTCTTCTGTGGGAATGCTGCAGGTTCTTGAATATCATAGGACAAATGATATGAAAATAAGTGGGTAGTTCTGAAACTTCTCTGCACACTTTAATTCCTGCTCTTGTTAAAGCAGTACCTGTTAAAGAGTCAAATCACTTTAAATTTCTATTTTTTTACTGTTTTAGATATATGAAAACTTTTAAGTGAAAAGGCTAGTGGGGATAATTTAGGATTTTATCCTGCAGCCTGAGGCTGAAGAGAATCCAGTTGCTCCCTCCCACACAGCAGCAATTACTACGTGGTACAAAAGAATTCCTGGGCTCCAGTTCAGCAAGTTTGTTAAGCATGGGCCATACCTCTGCAACAGATCTGTAGTACTCATTTCAGATTAAAAATCCACACATTCTTAAACGTTTTCCTTAATCAAGATATTCAACAAATGACTAATATTTCAGTTCATCTTTTAATTAAAATTCATGCAAGTCAAAATCGTATACATGCAAATTTTAGCTAAAATGCTTCATTCTGCTCTGTTAATATGTAAGGAACATTGTTGCATGAATGAAGAAATTGAAACAACATAGAACTCGTAGCTTTCCATTTTCTTTTTCCCCTTAATATGTTTAAAGATTTTTTTTATCAATACTTTATACAACAAAGCACAATAAAATAAATTTTCCTCTTTAAACTTTTGTGATGTTTCTCCCTAGATAAGCTTTAATGGCATGCCATCAATAATTTTAACAAAAGCCAGACATTTTCATTAAAAGCTGTTTTTACAATCACATTTGAAATCTTTTCATATGGTGGATTTTAATCTAATTATAATAATGTTGAATTGAAAATGTAGTGACAAAAAAATATTCATATACTTTCCTGCCTTTAAAAGCAAGTTTTCTGAATTTTTTTTAACTTTTATGATTTTAGTTCAAGGAGACTACTTTTCTTCCAATGACAACTTATTGACATAATTTACTTAGCAGTATAAAAAATTATTCTTTTAACAGAATTTTCCTTTTAAAATCTTATGTTCAAAAGTAGCCTATCACTCAAATTTACTTCACAGCTCTTCACACTTTCCTTTTGCAGGCATTTATTTTAAAGAAACGGCAAAAGGTTTTGCTTCTGTTGCAATGAAAAATACTTTTGGGAGCTGTGTTGCTTTTTTTATCTCCTCTCAATGAGTTAGCCGAAACACATCTTTTTTTAATTTTACCCTGCTTTTACTACCTTTTCCTGTACTTAGACTTGATCTTGGGTTACAAAAGTAGGTCTTTTCACTCCTTTATTTTTTTCTTGTGTTTGTGTATAACCTTCAACCCTCTTCTCATTGCAGTCAGTCTGTGAGCAATAGTTGGCAGACAGTGGCAAACCACGTGAAGAGCACCCTCTACACTGTGAGGGGCCTGCGCCCCAACACGATCTACCTGTTCATGGTGAGAGCCATCAATTCACAGGGCCTGAGTGACCCCAGCCCCATGTCAGACCCTGTCAGAACACAAGGTAAGGGTGGCTGTTAAGGCTTCTGTGCTTGAGCTAAAATGAAAAGAAAGCTCTGAGAGTTGACCAATAGGTCAGTCCGGGCTTGAGCACCCTGGCTGAAGGAATTGGGCTTAATCAATGAAGGTAAAAATAGTCCAATGTTTGCTGTATCAGTCTGGAGCTTAGGAGACATAGTTTCCCTTTTTAATCCTTCCTACAGCGTAGACCTTTTGATTTACAATTCACTTAGACTCGTTGCGCTCCTGGTTTCTATTAAAAGTGATGTGAGTTAACCACGCTTTTCTGAAAACTTCTCTGAATACTATGCTCTCCTCAGTATCCTCTCCATGTCCTTACTTCCTCTCCATCATTATAACAGGGATATACAGTAACAACAGGTGCTTATGGCAGGCAGACACTGTGTTTAGTGTTAGTTTTAATCAAAAGAATGACACAAAATATTGTTGATTAATCCAACATTTAGGCAAAGAATTCACGTAAATTAAGGCATCTTCATGCTAAAAATATATTGAAGTTATTCTGAGAAAAGTGCATTCTATTTATATACCTACATATCTGAATTCTTTATATTAATCCACTGCATAAACCAGAAGGGAAGGTTGAAGTGAAATCCCTCATTTATGGGGTGGTGATATGATTGATAGCTGTAATCCTCCATTGCTGTTGAATTGACTATTGAATTCTGTTCACATTGCATCAAGTTCTAACTGCATATAACTGCCACAAACAAATTTCCCTGCACAGCATGGATTTTTTTTTGGCTTTGAGATGTTGCTGGACTAATTAATTCAAGAGTGTATTTTTTTCTTATGCAGGCTGTAATACAGGAATTAATCATTCTTTGGAATCATAATTTTTTGAGTCCAAAGCAATAGCTCTGTTAACTTAAAATGAGATCCTCTGTTTGTGTTTGTGTATGGAGAGAGCATCCAGCTTGTGTAAGTGGTTTGTGTACTTCAGTGGTCCTAGATGGAAAGAGATAAACAGGAGTAGGGTAGTATTTCTTTATCACATAACCACCAGATCCAGCCCCTCTCATCCCAGCCTAGTCCTGAATAAATCTGTCCTTAATAGTTAGACACTCAAAATAGTAATTCTGACTGGAAAAAGAGAAACAGAGCTGCTTTCTGAAAAGCTGGAGGAATGAGTTGTGCAGCGATTTTGTGGCTTGACTATTCACGGAGCATCACAAGTTTTCTTCTTTATTACTCTCCCATTATTATAGGGTGACTCATGCTTTTCATTGCAACAGCCTTTTAGTCTGCATAACTTATCACCTAGCTAAAAAAAACAACTTTGTTTGGCATTTGAGTGTCAAGTATAGACTTTTTACCTGACATACTGACAAGCAATTTGATTTCAGTAAAAACTTGTCTTTTAATTAGCTACAGCATGTGTTGCAGCTTCCATTTCCAGAAGCTGTTTAGCAGTCAAGCACACTCAGACATGTACAGGATTTATAGCTTCTTTGCAAGCCTGCAGTTTAATAGAATTAAATCATAAAATCAATTGAAAATTAACATAATGTTTTGATGTGATTTCTAATTATGCCTGAATTCAATTCAGGCTCACAGAAGAAGCTGACAGACAGTAGAAAGCCTATTCACAGTGGCCATGGAGAAACAACAAAGCAGCTATAGCAGTGCTATATAATAATTTGCAACAGGTGTCTCTGGTAGCTTTAATAGCTGAGCATTTAATGTCCTGGTTTTAAGCATGGCAAATACAAGTAACAAGATTTTATGTATATATTTTCACCAATGGACTACAAGTAGACGATCAGGTACTTTCAATAAGTTTACCTTATATGACTTACAACAAAAAAGGACAGAGAAATCATAATTACTCTAAGAAAGGAGCTGATTTCTGTTGGATTATTAATAGACCAAGGAGTTGATTTCTTGTTGGATTATTAATAGACCAAACCATATATTAAAAAAACACTTTCAAGAAACTATAAATAATCCTATCCCTGAAATTTAAATTAATAGCAACTAATAGTACATCCACTGGAAGCTGATTAAAGAGAGGTTATAGAAAATATCTAATCAATTTTATTTTAGAACCCTCTTAATGGTGACCAGAACAGAGCTTCTTGAACCAGTTTTGCTTGAGTCATGATTTTATTATTCCAATGCTTGGTGATGTCCTTAGAGATAGATCAACTGCTTTTCCACCAGAAATGTGAAAATGTCAAGACATTATTCTCTCAGTGTCCCACATAAGTTTTCAAGTGTGCATATCAGAAAACAGAATTCCACATGTACATCTTAATACTCATTTTTCACTGTTATGAGTTCATGTTATTGCCTCCTGGACATATGTCCCAATAAAACGATGAAATGCCATTCATACAAAGATATTATGTAGAAATGTCCTTTCCTATGAGGGAATACAGGTACTTTGCTGGTTGTATACCACAGAGTAACTTTACTTAAAAAGTAGCCATGTAGGTATTTTGTAGCAGGGATCATAGCTTTTTGTGGATAGCAGCATAAATTATCACCCTGCAGACCAGTCTGAGTTGCTGTCAGTTACAGATTCATTTTATAATCTCTCTCTATTTCTTGGTTGCTTTGAATAGACATAATTTGCTAGACAAGCTCCTTGACTGACATCCATATTTGGATTCTATTCCCTTTGGAGATCCTTGGAGCCACTGTAAATTGAATATCAATAGAAGCCTGTGGCAATACTGTTTATTGGTGACTCAGAACCCATAACAGTCAAGAATTAAGAGCCTGAAATATTGATCATCAGGAATTCCTTTCTTTCAAAATTAGAGTCACGTGATTCAAACTCAGTTGTTATATTTAAATGTTTCATTTTTAAGACCTCTATTACTTCTTAATAATATTTAGAAGATAAAAAGAAGTCACGTGATGCCTGCTCCCACATCTAAGTCCATCAGAGGGGCAAAAAGTTTTATGTATGTATTCTCTTCACAAGGACATGATGTTGATCCTGAAAGTGGGCACCTGTCTTTGACTAGTGAATCCAAAGGGAAAGCCAAGCAAAATTCATAGATGCGTGACCAGAATTTGTCAAACCCTTTTGAATATAATCTGTGCTTCTGTTCCATATCCCCTCTTAATTTCTGTCTAAGTTGGAGGGAAGGGACATCCTACAGTGATATATTAGTTGGGTGATAGCTGTAGCCCAGCATTCTCCTTTTGGTGAAGTGTAAAAGAGACACATTGCCCACCTCCTCCCCCATTTTCTGACACATACGTTCTGTTTGCAGTTTAGCAGAGGTGATATAAACCTTCATTCAGTTTAACACAACAACCCAAATGTGATCCCTAAGGACTAGGTACTGGGACCACATGTGGTGCTGGAGTTGGAATCACAAATCTCCATATATGTATATTGAGCTACCAAATAGCTTCAGCTTTTGACTAGAAGAAACAATTTCTCCACACACTTTGAAGGGCACATAATCTTGAAAATAAAATTTTTTTTGGTAGATTGGTTTTTTTGGCCTTTTATTAGATCAGAATCAGTTTGGCTTCCTAAATTAATTCTTTTGGTTTTTTCATATCTACTCTAGATTTCATTATCTACGTCTGTAAAGGGAAAATTTGCTTAGCAGAGGAAAATGTTATTTTTAGTGTTTGGTTTCTTGTGTGCATGGTGTGTGGGGAGGGCAAGCTTAGTGACAGATTAGAAACATATAATGACTTAATGTCATGTATAGTCTAAGAAAATTTACAAAAAAACCCCTAAAAATGAAACCTGTTCATTTTCTTAAATTATGCTAACCAATTTGGTTCCAGGCATCTAGGCAGCATTATTATTATCTGAGTGTTTTGGAACTGGTGAACATTGCATCTCTCTCATCACTTACTAGAGCAGAGAAAACTTTGCCATCTAGTCTGAATACTCATTTAATGATATTTATATTTCATTATTTCCTAAGTGGCTAAAGGTGAATGGTTTGCTTGCATTACTTGATATTCTTTGGAGTTCATCTTTAAACCTTAGTGCTGTATTGTTTTAAAAAACAGAACTATGAAGGATGCTTAAATCAGGTCATTAATCTATTCAGTACTTTTTATGATGCCATATATAGCTCTTCTCATTAAAATAATGCTTTCATGTGTGTGCCTGGCAGATATCAGCCCACCAGCTCAAGGTGTGGATCACAGGCAAGTCCAGAAAGAACTGGGAGACGTCATTGTACGGCTGCACAATCCTGTTGTGCTGACACCCACGACAGTTCAAGTCACCTGGACGGTGAGGCCTCTGTTATTACCTTAACAGTACTTGCAGTTTGCCTGTTTTGCCTACTTATCCCTTCAGTTTTTTACCACCCAAAGCTCCATTCTTCACCCCAGTGTGAGTGCTCTGACAAAGTAACATTCTACAGGTGTGTGTGTACGTAACACACACACACACACGTATATATATATATATATAAGTTAATGAAATAGTCTTTTTATTTTCTCTTTCAAGGTTCAATGTCTTCCATCTTCTGCTCAATGTGAGTTGTCTGTCTGGCTAGAAAAATATGATAAAAATGAATATGCTTAACACCATAATCTAGAGGATAATTGATCTGTGGATTCATTACTCTGCATGTCAAAAAATAATCAAAGTTAAATATCAACACAAAATTGCTGTATGAAAAAGCACTTTGCACTTAAAGGCATATGGACCTCTGAGAATACCCTATTATTTAGTGACCCAAAAATGTAAAAAATAGCTTTCTTATAGGGCACTTTTAGTGAAGTCAGAAGCACATGGTGCTAATGCCTGATCCACTGTGTATCATCTGGTTTTCTAGCATAATCTTTACCCACAATCTGAACATCCTTTCATTATAGAAGACTTTTTGGCAATACTTAACAACATTTCTATTTGAGGGGTCAAACTACTGGGTAGAATTTCTGATATAGTGTTTTGGCTTTCAAAATGCTATGTTTCCCTTCCTGAGGCTTGAAGGAAAGGATTTGTAACAGTAGAAGGAGAGAGTTCCCAGGGCACTGCACACCAGAAAGAGTGCTTTGCTCTTGGGGCATCTGCCCCAGAGGATGGAAAGAGGTGGGAGAATGAGAGAAATAGTACTGCTCTGCACATCACTGAAACTGTTGTTTTATAGAGGATGAATTCTGCTAAGGGGGTATTCACAATACTCAGGGGTTTTCTTCTGCATGTCATGTTGCTAAGAGGTTAATGTGCACAGAGGATTACACAACAGGAGATAAGAAGTGTGGTGATAGATTGTGTATTATGAGGATTACTGTTGTTTTTGCACTACTCAGCCATATTTATGGGGGCTTATGCACCATCCTTGTTCTGACAGATTTCTGTGGTCAGGGTACAGATTAGAATAAATAGAGAAACCCACAAATGTATCTTTCTTAGAAGATTATTTAGAGTATGTGTCACTGCTATTTTCCTTCGATGATGTCAATATGCAGCTTGCCTTTCTAAAAATGCTCTCTATTTCAGCTACATACCTCCAGGACAGGCTGACTAACCTTTGTAGCAAACCCTTTTGCCCAAACAGATGGATCAGTAGTTTAGAAACTCTGGATGTTAGCAGCCAGTAATTGTAAACTTGGGTTACATCCATGTGGTGCTCCTTCAAGCCCCTTCTTGGATGTGACAGCTATCAGAAATAGTTTCATAGGCTCGCCCTTGCTTTAGCATGTGCTACAAAAAGAACCTTCAGTATAAACAGAATTCAGTTTTATACCATGTAACCAATGCCATTATATTATAATGAAATATAGATGTATATGTATTTATGTGTATGTATGTGTATATGGGGAGATACATGCATACATACATATATATATCTATATATATTCCTCTAAAAGAGTCTCTTGGTGCCCCTACTGAACAAGTAATGAGTGAAGAAAACATGGTAAGGTAAAGGTAAATTGTTGGGAATGCTCTGGATATCAGCTTATTGGGAAGATCCTCAAAGCAGTGACCCAGTGCCACCCGACAAGCTCACAGGCCTCTGTAGAGACATTTTGGAATAACCCATGGGAAGACACACACAAAGAAAGATCTCTGAAGCAGCTAATTAGAAACTACCCAGCAACCAGAACAAAACCAATTAATTAACAACAGTCTCTAGGAAAAAATCCCACTCTATCCAGAGAATAAAGACCACACTATTAATATAAAATGGTTAGATAGTGTAGCTATCATACAAAGGAACAGAAGTGCCATGAGAGTCATAAGACTCTTTGTGTTGACTTTCTGCAATTCAAAGAATGAATACCAAGGATTGTCCTGGATTAGTGAATTTCTGGCATCCTGACACAGCAAATTAACACCACTTTCTTCCTCCTTTGTGGGATGGTTTTGGTTTTGCTTTCTCTGTTTTCAAATTTGAGTTTAGAATTTCTATAATAGTTTCCTACTACTCTGTTGCAATTTTAAAATATGCACAGGCATAAACACACATATTTTATCTGTTTTAAAGGAAGGTCAGGCTTACAAAGTGAATGTTAAAAAAAAAAAAAGAAGAAGAGGAATGTCAGAAGTTAGGTTTTCACTGTCACTTAAATTTATTCCTCTTGTGCATAGATATGAAAATATAGCTGTAATTATCTGGTCACATACAGGATCTTCTTCTTCATGGAGTTATTCAACATTTCTTTTTATCTTCTTTATTCACTGTGTGGTGCCAGGTCTTATTAAATTCATACTATTGAAATCTTTCATTGAATAAAAAATTATTAGTTTGTCTCACATGCTTGCTTATCTGTCATGCTCTCAACTGTAACATTTGGGTGTTTCACAAATAGCACTGAATTTAACATCATAATGGTAAAAATGTGTCATTATCCTAACTTTACACATAGAGAGGTGAGGTGCAGAGGTAGTTGTTTCTGAAGAGACTTGTGGAGTCAGATATGCCCGCTGTTATCAAATGGCTGATTGCAAGCCTTGGACATGAATTATTTTTACTTTTATCAAATCATTTTGCATTGCAAGAGCATATGGTGTACTCCAAGCACTTTTTTAGCTGACCTCAGCCATGGTTCAGCACTTGTAACCTCAGTGGGCATTAAACTGAAAGTTTCATTAGTGACCAGATATGAAATGTTTTCTGCATTAGAAAGAAGCCCTGTGGCACAAGCAGGAACAAAAATAAATTCTTCGATATGACAAAAGAATTGTTGCTTTGAAATCCTGACTGCCTTCTTGGAGGCTACCAGGCAGAAGCATAATTTATTGTAATCTGTCTTTTAATTTGATGTAGATCTTAAATGAATGTACTTCACTGGAAGCTTCAAGAGTCAAGTCCATTAGGCATCCCTTTGTGCCTTGTTCCTGTAGGACAGATAAATACTAGTGCAGTTTGAATTTCCAGAGAGTACTGTGAGCCCATGCTAGTGAGTTCAGCACAGCATGAAAGGTTTTTCTGCCCAGATGGAGAATTGCTGTGGGTACTGCTGTGGGAGCAGAGTATTTCTTAGGGTATTTTGGGGCAGAAATTTGTGCATTACAGAGCATATTACAAAACATCTTTAGGGTGCAGATTAGCATGTTTGCCTGGGAGGAGCTTATGTTTGTAGCATAATCTGCATTATGAATTTCTTGCCATCTTTTTAACAACCTAATAGCCATTGAACCTGTCTTGTGTTCTGCTGGGACATGTGCAGATTTGAACATACAGGGAAAATGAGTTTCCTGTTCTGCAGAAATGGCTTTGTAGATACCTCCTGCACTATATGCTCGTCATAAAAGGAGGTGAGAAAGAGCACAGAGGACCAATTATGCTTGTAGGTCGCCTTAAAGCATTAGGTGCTGGGTAGCAACTACCCATAAACTTCTTTCTTCTGCCTTTTAAGGAGTTATCTGCATTTTCTGCCTCCTCTCCTTTGAGGGAGAAAGTGTGTCTTTAGATCAGCAACTCTTGCAGATCTTTTGAGTTGGTATCACTGCTGCTAGTACAAATTCAAGAGTATTTAAGTGTCATGGGAAGATTAGAAATGTTATTGGATCCCAGTATTTCAATGCAGAGGGTTCCTGCAAACACTGAAGTAATGCTGAGCACTTTGTACAAGTGGCAACCACTTACCAAAAAAAAAAAAAAGGGAGAGAGAGAAATGAGAATACCTGGAAAGTATTACATTCTTTCATCAAGTCACAGTTCATGTTTCTGCAACTCTGCCTGCATGTGAACATATACCAAACTTACAGAGATATTTAATGCTCAACATAGTTTAATAATTTCTTAATTGCTAAACATATTAGGATTTCTTTTTAGTGACCTGCTGTAGGCGTGACACATAATTACCACAAAAATGCAGCAAACTGTTAAGTCACAAGCTTTGTGAGTGCAAGTATATAAACATATACATATGTATATGCATATGTGTGTATATATATATATATATATATATGTGTACAAACGTATGAGTGTATGTATATGTGAAATACACCTGCCATACACCTCACAAATGTTTCTGGTCAGTCCATGTAATTATCCAAGAGCGATTTTTCACTATTTTGACAACTCCAAACCAAACAAAAAAAAAATCCACCTTTCCAAATAAGTGAACTAAGTGCCCTCAGAGCAGTTTCTCAATATTTTGACCTTACAGGAGGCCCTGTTCATTCAGACTAACTGGGCATGAGATAGAGCTTAGTATCCTCTCTTTGATTCTGAATGCAACTGGATGTTTATAGAAAACATTAAAAATGCATAGTATTTTCTTTTGTCAATGCCCTCCCTAAACATAAACAGTGGAGTGAACTCAATAATCTGAAATTCGGGCAGATCACTCAGCCCAGTTGTAATCTAACTTCTAATTGAAAGCTCTGTGAAAATTGTGTGAGCTCTAAATCAAGGTAGTTTGTAGCACCCATAAACATGTCAGCCTTGTTGTGCCTGTTTTCATAATCCTTGTATTGTTTAGTCTTTCAGGTTAGGAACTTAAAAGTCTAGGAGGAAAATATGTGTATGGGCAATTTGTATATTACCTATACACAAATAGATACAGAAGTGTAATGCAATCACAGTGAGTTGGTGGGTGCACTTGTGTTTGTGCTTTACAAAACACTTTCCATTCTGTTTTGTAGCATCACACAGTGTTCAGCCTCGTCAATTCTGAATTTCCAGTTGTTCTCCACTAGGCAGCAGTCAGTAGAGCTGGAACATACAGCAAAGATGGAAAGTCCTAAGAAAGTTATGCCATTTTTCAGTGTAGCTTCTAACTCAGAAGTTAGGCAAGAATCAAACTTGATGTTTGATTATTAAACATCATAGCACTATGTTGTAATTTAGGTTAAGGATCTGTATTGCAAAGTGCATGAAAGTGTTATTTTTGCTGAATTTCGTAGTAAACACGGGGTTCATCGAAGTCTTTATGTCCGTAAAACATTTAGTTAATCAAAGTCAAACATGGATAAAAACAATTTACTCTGATTTACAGACTCCCTTCATCTGGAAACAGCTGCTTAATGTTCTTCTTAAAAACACAGCTTGATCCTTTCGGTATTAACAAGCTATTATTGTGAGTTATATCCCTCTTTCAGTGCATAAATTCACTTAAAGTGAACGTAGAGAAGTTTATAAAATGCAAGCTTAATGTTGTTGTAACATATGTTGCAAGGTTTTTAACAGTGACAGTTTTGATGAAAGACATTTCTGCCTTGCTTTCATAAATAAAGCTTTCTTCTTGCTTGCCCTGCTTTTTAATGTCTGAGAGTCTGTGTCCCCTCTGAATGCCTCAATAAACTGTAACAAGATTATAGGAGAAGCGTAATAGACTGTGGTTTGTGTTTTCAGCCTTAAATTCATTTATTCTTAAGAGAAGTCAAACAAATGTATCTCTAATTTTGGAATATCTTTGAGCTAGCAAATTGATAGGAACACAAGAGATATGCTACTTGTTGAATCTTGGTTATAACCCAGAGGTTTACCAAACACCTAGCTGTATAGTCTTATTGTTTGTGCTGCACTTTCTTTGCTCTTTATTGGATGGCTACAGAAGCAGCTGGATTTGGTTTGGTTTTATACATCAAATTGTTTTGACTGGTTTTTTACAGGTAAAATTAATCCAAGCATCATAACAGCTAAAATCACTGGGGTTTGCCTTCTTTATTTTTCCTGCAAGATAAAAAATGCATACAACCTCTACAAGATAAAACACATGTAAAGTTTTTCTTCAAATAAAAATCCTATTTATATTTCTGATAGGTTAAAATTGTTAAACTTCCGTGCATGGTCCAATCTTGAATTCTGCTTGCCTAGCAACAAATAAAATATAAACCAAACCCAACATTCCATCTCCATCTGATGACCTGAAAGCATCACAACCTCAGGATGCAAAGAGACTGCTCAGACTGTGAATGCAAGAAACAGGACATGTCTTTGGAATTTGTTTTTCTCTGCATCTGTCTTATGTTTATTTTATTTTCCTGTGCATCCCATGAGCTGTGAGCCAAGTAATGGACTAACTGTAAGCATGCAACATATCTTCAAAGAGTTGTCCTTTTCTGAGAAGAATTTGTTTTTCTTTTCTTCTCATATATCAGCACATCAGTAGCCAAGACATTCTCAGTAAGTTTACATGCAGCAAGCCTTATGCCAAAGTTTCCTTTTCATGATTTGTTGTAGGGGTGGGGCCTTGTTTTATGATTTTAGGTGGTATTTGCCATGATATACAGAGCTGGAGAAAGCAAAGCAGAAAGAAATGTTCTGTAACAAGTAATGTGAGACAAATGTACTTTACAGACAATTAATCAAGAGTGACTTACAAGAAGGCAGTCTGATTATTAAATTCAGCACCAAATGTTAATTTTCTCTTTTTGATGAGGGCAGAAGTATTCTAGGCAAAGGGTTTGTTTTCTTTTTATGCAGGTTGTTTCTTTTTTAACTCTGATATGTTTATTGCTATATTATCTAATGTCATTTCCAGGTTGACCGCCAGTCCCAGTTTATTCAGGGCTACAGGGTGATGTACCGCCAAACGTCTGGCCTGCCTTCTCCAGCTGTGTGGCAGAATTTGGAGGTCAAAGTCCCCACTGAGCGCAGTGCTGTCCTCGTCAGCTTGAAGAAGGGGGTCACTTATGAAATAAAGGTTCGCCCTTATTTCAATGAATTCCAAGGAATGGACAGTGAATCCAAATCTGCTCGTACCACAGAGGAAGGTTAGTAAAACGGCCAGAAAAGCAACAGGCTTCCATACCTAGCACTGGGGGTGAAAAGAACATTGACCATTTTGGTTATGGTGTGTATGCATTTGTTCAGCTCTATTTCCTCCGTGGGATTTCTGGTTTTTAGATACACAGGCGAGGTAAGAGTCTGACATAATGTTCAGTTTTGTGCTTTAAGTGTTCTGCAAGAAAGTACCAGGTCAGTCTTTTATTCTTTTAGTTGATGTATCCTTCTAATGCAGTGATTGCTTTGGGTCTTCCAAAAAGTGTGTGCTGCAGCCATTCTATTATAACCTCTGCTGCTGCAATAAAAGACTTTGGTCTGCACTTTGAAAAAAAAACAAATGGAAGCTTTTGCAGATGAGTGTTTGATATTAAGCACATCTTTCTCAGTGGATAATAATGCAGATGACCAATTGGTTGGGAAATGAGGAGTAGAGAAGGATGCATGTTTAACTGGTCTGAAGGAACTCCAGTCTCAAGGGGGTGCCACTTCAGTGTTTCTGTTAACACTCTGTTCATGAAACTGCACTGTTCAGCCCTTTGGAGGATTTCCTTAAGCACCTTTCAAGCCTCTCTGAAACAGGCAGAATTCAGACATAGTAAACAGTTTACACTACTGAGTTGTTCAGGCTTTGGTGTCTGTAGCATATAGCCTGGTATATAGTTTTGCTAAAGCATATGAACTCCAAGGCTGCTGGTTTTGATTTGAAAAGTAGAGGGAGTGAGGTGAGATATAAGCAATTTTAATAATTTTCTCTTAGAAACCTGTCTTTCTACTTATCTAATGCAGCCTTTGACTGGAGAATCTCTCCTATAAACGCAAGATGGTCATAACAATGAGAATTCTTTTCTCTGTTGCACTGATTTTTTTCTATTTTTTTTTTCAAAACAGGAGAGATATTGGTGAAGCTTCCTAATGTTCATATGGTTTCAAAGGGTTCTGAGTGCACTCTTTCCTTCCTATTGAAGGTGCATCTTAATCATTTACGGTGGTCTCCTGAGGTTTAATTTAGCGTTGATTGCCAAGTACTTTTTAATTCTAGAACAGACTTGCTTATTACTCACTTTACTCTTTGATTCGTTATGATTATTGCCCAACATGTAAGTAATCCTGAAGATGACTTGGTTGGAGTTTGCACGTTATGGATGAAGAAATTCACTGCACTGCAACATGTAGAAGAGTGTGTAGGAAGGCATTGCTCAAGTCTCATTTGGAATTTGAGAGTTTATGGCTCCCAGTTCTTTGTTCAAACAGTAAAGCCTAAATCAGTAGGTAAAGAATATCTTTGCAGCAGTCTGAATAAAGCTTTTTTAAAAAAAAAAAAAAATTGTAAAAAGCTTTCTACAGATGAAACTGCTTTCCTAGATTTAAAATATAGGATTTTGTCCTCTCGCTAGCAGATTTTCTTCTTGTCCAATTTCAATTGATTTTTGATGTTTATTTAGCTTCATCTAACTGTCTCTTGCTAAAGGTAAATTAAGAACTACTGAAAAAAAAAGAGAAGATTTTATGCCTCCTGTCTATTTCTATAAAATACTTGAGGAATGACATTCTCTTTTGTAAACCTCAGCTCCCAGCAGAGCCTGTCACGTAATTTCCTACCTTAAAGGACACTTTGTTCATGTGGAATAGCTTTCCACATAGTGAGGATTTAAAAAAAATTTCATGCCCACAGATATGTATAACTCACAGCCGAGGATCTGCTTTGTAGATTAATATAACCTTCAAGGAGTCTGTTTACAACTATCTCTTCTCAAAAAAATGTCAGCCTAGAACATGTAGTACTATCACCTGACAAATGTCAGCCCCTGTAAAAAATTTTTCCTCTTCTTTGGGTGATAAAATTAAATACTTCCATGAGAAAATTAAGGCATTTGGTAGATGCAGTTTTACAGATATTTCCTTTAATTCCTCATGTTATCCTTGTAATTATATGGGTGTTCGTGTATCTCAAAAATAGCACCGACTAAATGTTTAATGAGAGTGGTTTGCTTCTCATCCACTGAAGAAAGATGGCAGTCTATTTAAAGGTATCCCACTTGCTGTGTCGCCTGTGATTCCATTTTGAAAATGAGCTTTTTTAGGCTTGACTTTTAAAAAATGTCAGCTATGCTATTTTTAGAAAATAATTTGGAAGAGTGATACGCGGGTTGGAAGTTTTTTGTGACATCAAAACAAATAGCCCTGATAAAGGCAAAGTACGACCAAAAGGTAGTGGCAGCTTTCTGCTGGATTGAATTTTACATGCGATGTTACGTCTGAGGCCTACCTCCAAAAATCAATTTTGCTGCAGTTAGACTTTTCCTCTAGATCAGACATTTGTCACAGTTCAGTATCCATCCATCTCCTGCCTCTTTGGCCTTGTGAAGGTAACAAATGGAATTCTGTTTGGCTGCGTCTGGAAAAGATGAGCAGCGATTTGGGTTCTTTCATATCTGTAAGAAGAAGCTGAGCACTGGAATAATTGACCTGTCAAGAAGCAGGCAAGGTGTTCTCCACAAGCCAGCAGCAAGGGAAATGAGAAAATGGTTTTAAAAATGTTATTTTTCAATGTGATCTATTTAATAACTGCAGCAGTGTCAGACGAGTGGCTTAATTTATATCATGGTGCCAGCTTACAGAGTGATATTATCAGAGAGAGGAAGCAGAACTATTATATACATACATGTGTACACACATACAAAGAGGGGCTAAATCAAATATTTTATTGTATCACTTTCACTATTTCCTTCATACTTGCTCTAGAGACAGATGACTTTTTTTTTCAATTGCATCCACTGTTTTAAATCTCTCTTGGAACAACTTTTTGGAGTAGTCTTTTGTTTGTCATCATAAAAATAAGACAGTTGGTAATGGAAGTCTCCTTAGCTTTTATCAGCTGCTGTCTGTCAGTTCCTCCTCACCTTAGTCTGACTCTTAAAATTATACTTTCAGCTGCAGTTTTAATTTTGCTTGCAAGTTATCATGTATCCTCCAAAAAACCCCACCATGTACTGGTAGGATATTAACTACAATACTCATAGCATTTAAATGCAAAGACAAATAAATGAATACAGTATGTTTTTCTTTAAATGTTAGAGTATGGTATTCATTTTACATTTCTTTGCATTCACACTCCCCATCCCCCCAGGTATGTCTATATAAGAAATTATATTTCTGAATGCCCTTTTTGTTTGAGTAATGAAAGTGCACACATTTGAGCACTGTACTGAAGTTCCATTGTACTTAAAAACAAAAATGAGTTATACAGTGTTAAGCTTTACCATTTTTATGATTTTTATTTTCATTTAAAATATGCTAATTAATATCACACACATACATTTATTCACGGTTTTGTTGTTGTTGAATATCTTGAAGACTTTTAAAATGCTAATTGTTTTACTGTGTGGCAAATTATTTCCCTTGCCATAAAACACATAATGCAACTATTAACTTCCCCAATTTTATGCTTTGCACAGTTGCAAGGAGTAGCCCAAGGCCACCTTTCCGTGCTTCACTTGAGCTGGCTAAGAGTCAAATTGTCCACAATACAGCTCCATTTCTCCCCTCCAGTGCACTGTTTCTCTGCATCAGGCAAGGTCACAAGGACTATACCAAGCTCTACAAGCTTTGCAACTGAACCGGCATCTGAAAATGTAGCTGTCGAAATGTGCAGCCTCCAGGGACTGTAGTATGGGTTTCTTGTTTTGTCTAAAGTATTTTCTTTTTCTGATATAATCTTGTATGGTCCCTTGTCTCCACCTCTGATACCCTGGTTTGAAGTGATATCCTTCCTGCAACAGAGTACTCCAACTCTTCAGGGTTATCAGGGTAAAGATTTGAACTCAGCTCCCTGAGCCTATGCCAGGTCAAGTACTGAGGAGCTTCCAAAGTGGGAACACAGCCAGTCTCAAAGAGGTCATGGGGAACAATAAGAAAATCTGAATTGGCTCAGTAGACTTGAGTACCTCTGATATCTGGGCTGTGCTTAGTTGTGTTAAACCTGCCAGGCTTTAATACAAAGATGCCAGAGGTCTTGGCTTTTCTGAGAAACATGGTCCAAGCATGGTCATGCACTCAGGATGTCTGTTAAAGATAAGAGTAGAGCCCTGTTACCATAGAGTTCAGTCACTCTAGACCAGGACAATGGAGTCAGGGAGCTGTAACACAGGATGTGAGATGCCCAAAACCAGAGGGCTATCTAGATTTGAAGCTGGGGTGGGGGACTGATAAATATTTTAGGTTCTGGTACAAGGTCTACTATAAGTCTTCAAAATCGGCATCCATATTTCATATTAAATGTTTTAAGATCATATTAAAGACAATGACAAATACATGGGAGACAAATTCCATAAATAGTTATTAAACACAAAGACATCACCCTGGAACAGAAGGTGTCTAAGCAACAGGCTTCTGTGAATTGGAAAATTGTCCTGGAGAGGTATCAATATATACTCACTTTATTAGTTCACTCTTTCCTAGCCTCTTCGTTAGTTTTGTTGAAGACTAGGTAGATGGACTGGGATAAATGGAATAGTTGGATTTTTGGTCCATTTCAGAGCAGCTACTCTCAATAACTTTTTCCCCCCAAGGACCATACCTTAGTATAACACACTCGACCTCAGTGGCTTATCTTGCCACTGTGGTGGTGTTTCAACACTTACCTGGAAGAAAGGGAAGGGCAGGGAGGGGCTGCAAGAGGTTTTAAGTGGCTGGGGAAGGCCATATTCCCAGCCCTCTGCACTGGCTGCTGTAGTTATGGTGGGAGAGCCCTGCTTGGAGATGCAGCAGATACTCACAGAGAAGACTTTTCCATAGCTGAGCTTCTGCTCCACTTCCCAGTCCACATGTCCAGAGCCAACAAAACCACCCTGCTGCTGGTGTAGCTGCAGCAGGGGCTTTGCCAGCATAGCCCTGATCACTAACAACTATGTTTTGTTTTTTTTCACACTTCTAGACAACTAGGGGTGCTGGCAAGCAATTGTCTTGTAGAATTGGCCTTGGTATGCTGTGACCAGCCAAACAGCTGTGAATGGTTGAACTGAACAGGCCTCTGAAGAGAAAGCAATTTGCCTAGGGGAAAAAAAGGACATAAGTATATATCTGACCTAACTTAGCACCTGCCGTATTCACTGGCATTTGATGTAAAGCCATGAACACTTTAACCCTTTTCCACTTCAGAGTTGCAAGGTTTTATGTTTAAACCTGTTAATGTCTTCCTGAAGAATGATTAGGAGACAAAAAACGATCCTATTATTATTATTATGAGGAGAAAGAAGAACCAAAACACTTTTCAGGCCAGATGAAGCAGCTTCACACGTGACTTAGTTGATATATATGTAACTATCCATGTTTATTATGGGAAACAAAGGCTGGAGTGAGACCAGTTCCAATGCAAAATTAAGAAATGCTAAATATAAATAAATGAGGAGTGATTTGTATTGATTCTCCATTGCCACAAATTCCACATTGTCATTCAGCTCTCTCCAGAAAGGCATTTTTCAAAATTGACAGTGCCTAACAAAATGTGCATACCTAGGCCTGCAGGGAGTGTGAACTTTCTATACTGCCTGCTTGCTCTTGCAGGGTTTCAGCAGACTTTGTGCTCTAACAAATGGATTAATGTCTTGCTTCTGTTTGTTCTCTCTCCTTGGTGTAGCTCCAAGTGCCCCTCCTCAGTCTGTTACTGTCCTGACAGTTGGAAACCACAACAGCACGAGCATCAGCATCTCCTGGGATCCTCCCCCTCCAGATCACCAAAATGGAGTCATCCAGGAGTATAAGGTAGAAATGATGTCTAATGGAAGGGTTGTGTGTTTAAGGAAACAGCCTACTTGAAAAGTAGCCATGTTTATGGATTTAGATTCTGACAGCTTTTACAGCTGCCCTTGTAATTATGTGGAGAAAGAGGACTTACTGCTTATGGATTTTTTTTTTTAAAACAGTACTACTGTTATATTAAAAATAAAAAATACCATGGAAGATGTAATTTCCAGCTAGTTTACAGTACTTCTCTTTCTTGCTTTTCCTGCTGTGGAATGAAACAAGAGGGGTTTTTTGTTAAGGGCTTCTGTACTCTAAAGACAGGCAGTGAAGTCCCTGTCTTAGAATGCCTTTAATCTGGCAGAAAAGCTAGCAGGAAAGATACCTTTTCTTTCCCCTGCAAAAATGCTACTCCTAACACTTCAAGGGCAAAGTCAAGGACTGTGGCTCTGGGAGAATACAAGGCTTCTTCTAAGTACTATTTCTGTCAAGCTTCACAACTTAAAATGCTGGCTTGTTTGCTCTGAGGGACAGGTTGAACAGAACTACTCTATCCAGAGTTTGTTACATGAGAGTTGTTTCATTGGGTTGTATATTCTTTTTCTTTGTTGCTGTGATAGCTCAAAGTATCCACTCCTTTTATATTATCTTTAAATTTTGTTGTAGTCTGTAATTCCATACTGAGATCACTTTGGCACAAGTATATTTTGGCAACATGAAAGAAATGCAGTGTTATTGGGTTGGAGGACTATGGAGATGACTGGGCAAGGTTCAGCATTATGGCAGGCTTGTGACCATGGAGCACACTGCTTGGTAAATCAGCCTTGCTGTGGCTGACTTATACAGCAGGTGCGAAATTTTTAATTGAAATAGTCCAGGGCAGCTTTCTTGCTACTTTCCACAAAGGGTGGAAGTGGTGGGTGCAGCTTATTTCACACAAAAAGATGTAGTTTTTTTGGCCATGGGGTACCTTGAGGGAACACAGCATGAAGAAGGGAGAAGGTGCTTGACTTTTAAATCAACTAATTGGTTCAATTTCTTCCACCTTTTTGCCTGGTCAGAGAGATGCAGTAAATACTCACAATATTTATGTTTAGGACAGGGCTTCCTTTGTTTTGCTTTCAGTCAATATCAAGATTTATTAATCCCGGTATTTTATTGATCTAATTTTCATATCAATTAATAATTATCTGTTGGCTTAATTAATCTTGGTCCTGACTCCAGTATAAGTCAATATAAATCGTCAAGGGCTTACAAGCAAATAAGTAAAGCACACTTTTAAACCACAAAATATGTAGATATGAAACAAAGAGGGCTGATGGTTAATAGAAGCCATGTTCCAGGTGAGTACTCAGACCTCCGGGCTGTGTATAAAAACAGCTGGAGTCACTACCTACTACATCCCTACTGTGTTAGATTAGGTGGTTGCCTGATTAGTGAGCTGGCTGCTAGGACTGTGCTGCAGTTTAATATTTCCCTGAGTAAAAAATGTCTGATGAGGTTTCACAGTACAGTTTCTGACAAATTGAAAGTAGATCTGTTGATTCTGCTTCAAGCAAAGGAGCACCTGTAAATTCATTTATGAATTAAATGCCTTTATTTAGAGGCATCTCATAGCTGCTGTAAACTAAGACCAGGACAGATAAGGAGAAAAGGAATGAATGCAACAGTTTCTCACCCTAATCATTCTGGCCTGCGAATCAGATCTCATTGAGCTTAGGAAAACAGAGGAGTTTTTTTCCCTTCAAATCTTTCTCAGTGTTTCACAGGAAAAAAAAGAAAGAAAAAAAAAAAGAGAAGATGTGATAAAACACTAAACAGGGTAAAAAATAAGGGTAAAGATAGCATTGCTGTTGCTCAGATGCATCAGTTGGTTGCTGACAGTGGTTCCAGCAGTAGTGCTTTCTTCTGCTATTATTGTTATGTGACTGTACATGTGATGTATTTGTGCATTGGTTTTCTTGAGAGGTAGTAAATGCATTTTTAAATAATACAGAAGCAGTATATGCAGATAACATTAACTGAAGAAGTATCCCTAGAAGGTCTTGGTTTTGAAACCTCTTTGGAGAAACCTATGAAAAAATAGCAGAGACAGACGTAGCACTTGAAATCATAGAGAGTTCTCATCACAAAATGCCAGTTGAGATTATAGGGTGGTTTTCCTGTTTAATTAGATAGTAATTGAACCAGGAACTGATATCTGGATTCCTAAACAATGTAAGTAATCACAAAGGCAGCAGTAAAAAGTGAGTCTGTACTTATTCCATTTCATAAATTACAAATATCCCTGTTGTCCAATAAAAGGAAGTTGGAAAGAATTTTGAAAATTGTTTGTTCTTTAAGAAGTGTTTCAACCTGTTCTCGCATTATTTGCTGTCTTTTTGCTATTCAGTGGAAAATCCAGAAGGAAAAAATGTGGGTTTTTTAAAGGACAGATTTGGTGGTAATCATGTTATTGAAAAAGATTTTAGTTAATGTATAACATCTTTTTCACTTGGATGATCTGGTCTGGGCTTCTAAGAAGTGTAACCACAGAATTTGCATTCCATGGAGAGCCAGAGTCCAGAGAGTTATTTGCATGCAGTTTTTGCAGCTGGCTTGGTCCTGTGCTAATCTGGCACAGTTTGCTGAGCTAAATCATTCTAATTTCAGCTATTCCCGGACAGTACCATTGTTAAGAAGCCTGAAATAAGTGATTGTCATGAAATGCTTTGATATGTCATATCTATGCACGATTGTGTGAGTGTGAAGAATTTCATCTATTTTAACACATCAACTTTTGTCCCAGATCTGGTGCCTAGGTAATGAGACTCGATTTCATATCAACAAAACAGTAGATGCAGCCATTCGGTCTGTAGTAATAGGTGGCCTATATCCAGGTATTCAGTACCGTGTGGAAGTTGCTGCAAGCACCAGTGCAGGTGTGGGAGTAAAAAGTGAGCCACAGCCCATAATAATTGGTAAGTGATTGTCTGTTCTGTTGTTTTGTTTTACCTGTTTTGTTTGTTTTTTTTTCTTTTAGAAATGCTTTCATAAATCACTTCTGGAAGCATAAAAATCCACGGAGCAAAAGATAAGATTTGAATAGAGCTGGTTAGTTAGCTCTTAATGTCCCACTGCCTGCTGATGTTGTGTCTTCCCTTCATGCAGAGTTCTTGTAGCCAATGGAGGGAAGTATGTTCCCAAGACATAAAAGAGAGAGCAGCTTGTCTAGTGGAACTGACTTAATGTGGGTTTTTTAATGAATTTACCACTTCTGCAGCTTGACGGATTTATGGAACTAACAGCCTGAGCTCCCTTTTCCCTCTGCTAAGATGACTGTAATATTGCCTTATTCATCCCTTTGGTGCCTAAGGCACTGTTTATAGTTGTTTTCTGAACATTTGAAGTCAGTTTCTCAGATATCAGTTTCTCAGATATCCCAAGCAGACAAATGTCCTCTGACAAAGAGTAAGTGGCCTTTAGACCAAATAGAGAACCAAGGTAGCATTATAATCCCTGCCTTTGAAATGGTCATTTCTTAGTAGTGGTTTCCATGCAGAATTGATTTCCTGACCTGAGGGAAACACAGATTCTGTTTCTTCTGAAATTTTTCCTAAGTATAAAACATAAAGGCAGGAACAATATGGAAGAATAGGAGAAGTAATCGTAATTAGTAAACCTGAACTGAGCTATGCAAAACAGTACCTCCTTTGAGTACATAATACTGGAATTCTGGTGCTTTTATCTGTATGACCTAATTTAGTTATTACTTAAGTATACTTTTGTTTGTTTGTGGGACTTTTGTTGTTATTAAATATTTTCTTTCTAGAAAATGTTGTCAACACACCGTCCCAAAGATGGACTATTCTGTTATGTGTAGACCTTTAGAAAAGGCCATCCCCTAAGCATTGCTTAAATGTTTAATGATATTCAGGTTCCCCACTGATCAAAGCAGAAAATAGAGTACTTCAACTTTGAATATATTGTCACTGGAGACAGAAATACAAGAGTGAAGGTGAAGGTAGCACTGGTTTTAGAAAAAGGCAGCCAAAGATACACCAAAGAAAAGGGGGAAAAAAGATTTCTACGACTGAAAGTAAGAAATCACCTAATAGGGTTGGATTTTGGACCTCTGTGTCAATAATTGATATTGTAAGAGTAGTCTGTCACTGCATCCACTTCGAGCAGGACCTCCTTTTATTATTTCACTAAGGAAATAATCTAACTAGGCACTACGCTTATTCCAGCGAAGCACATAAGTGTCTTGCATTTTAAGTACACGAGTAGACTTGTGTCTTTTGAGATAAACTTGCACCAAAGGTCTTCACTGGATGATTCCCAGAATGTTCAGCCTCGCATCTGGGTACAACCCTTCATCCTGAATTTTTCCTTACCAAAAAAATAACTGGTATAATCAAGAGTTAAATGTGGAGAGATCTGTATTGTTGCCAGAAGAGGGAAAGGGATGTTAGGGTGTAAATAAAGTAAGAAAAGACAAAAATTGGTTGGCATTTAGAGACTTAATTTTATCTCATTAATCTTAGTGATATTTTTTTGTTCCTAAACCAGTCCCAGAATGTCTGCTTCAACAAGTCTGTCTGGTGGCATCTTTGCACATTTAAGAGCCTTTTGCATGAAAAGTAAAGGAGAGTACCTTCTGTTTGGGTTATATTTCTGTCCTCATTTCTGTTTTCTCTTTTGGTGGCCCAAAGCTGGATTTGGTTACTACATATATGGTCTGTCTCTTTTTTCTTTAGACCCCCTTTATTATTATTAATTTCTGAGAGCTCTTTCTCAGACTATAAATTTGTTTGATAAAGGTAGCAGTGTTTAAGTGATACCATTTCTGGAAAACTTGAGTTGGTTACCATTCAATGTTTGACTAGGAATCAAAAACATAAAACATTTTTTTTTTTTTTTAAGTGAATGAAAAAAACTAATTGGATGGATTAAAAGTGATCTAATGAATAAACCTCAAAACATCTTAATGAATGTGAAAACATTAATGAATGATTGTATTATAATGGAGTCCTATATGGCCTGGTGATTAACTATACTATTGAACAGCTTGCAAACAGAATGGGCGACTCCAGAAATACTGAATTATGGAGAGAGTAGGTCAGTGATGCAGAAAAGTTAAGCTGTGTTTCTAAGCAGTGTGACTTTCATTGTCGTGAAATACAGAGTCCAGTGTATAAAAAAGGAAAATATTATTCTTAAATACAGGATTTATTCTTCTAAGAAAGTCTTTTCTTAAAATAACTATTTTTCATGGTGGATAATCAATTTCTGGCTTCCCAGAGCCATTCTAGATAACAGACCTGGGACAATCCAGAAAATAAAACCTGGAGAATATGGAGCAGTAGGAGGTATATTATTTCTTTAGTTAGAAATTGTCTCACTGTTACAGGAATGATGTGCCCATACTTCACGCGGGATGTTGAAAAATTTTATGGAACACTAAAAGACAATCAAGAATAAAATTTTTATGATCATTAATGATATGCTAAAAAGTTTTCTACCGGAGAACCAGAAACAGGAATGGAGATAACAGCAATGTTGGTTAATGCCATAACTATTATTTCTCCTCATCAGTTTGCCTGTTCACTCTTACATTCCATCATTGGCATAATAATATGAGGAACAGCTGCAAACTTTCACAGTAATAGGTACAATCGAATCTGATGTGTCTAATTAATTTTTGGTCCAACAAATTAGTTTTGTTCTTCATTACTCTCCAATGGGAGGAAGACATTATATTTCATTATGTTTTTGTCTTCAGGAACAATGGAGCGTTACAGGTCGCACACTTCCCTTGTCTATGTTCTAATTAGTTGAACTGACAGCATTGTTACAGAAACACCTGCAGTATATGAAATAGTACTGCACTGGTACCTTGGATGACATATTTATTACTTCTGCTTAAATATTATATAAAGAAGTATAAAACTAATGCCTTTTGTTTCCCCAACCCCCAACGCTTATATTAATTTCATCAAACGTCAGCGGGTAACGTTCATCTGTATCCATTTATTTTTCCATCATCAAATTCACAAAGCATATGTTATTTTGACATTTAAATGAATTATTACTTTTGCAGTTGTAATTGCTAGGCACAGAAGGGTAAGAGCAAGCAGCCAGACTGCAAACTTGAGAAAGTAATTTGGAGACAGATTGCATCTTCCCCTAGAAGAGAGGGAGAGAGTAAAGCCCACCGAAAGCTCTCCCCAGGCTCTTTGTGGTTTGCTCTCACATTCTCCATTCTAAAAAGACTCGTTTCTGACTTTAGAGAAGAAGATGGGATCCTTAGATGTTTTGGAGGCTTTAGTGGACAGAGCTTGTACTTTTCTTGAGTCCAGGAGCATCAGCTCCCAAAGCCAGTCTCTCGAAGCACATCCCTGCCTGCCCTTCTGCATGGCAGCAGAGCTGCCTCTGAAGCAGTGCCAGAATTACGTGTTTCCCCACCATCCCACTGCTTTGACCTCTCTTCCAAAGGGCACAGAAATTAACTCCAAGTTAATGGCAATTAAAGCAACGTGGATTCCCTTCCTGATTTCTACTAGAAAATCAATTGTGGTCCTGGAAGAGCATGCCATAGAGTACCTCTTTCTATTAGTTTTACTTACAGCCCTTCCTCTTTCAGCACGGGGTGCACCTATAGTTGGTTCCATGGCCATTAAAAACAGGGGAAAATCAGATAAAAGGAGCCACTGCTGTCTCCCTTCTTTTCTTTGTTACAAGTACTCACTCAGTTCCATTCTCCCTTACTGCATCAGAACTGGAAGCCACTGCGCCTTTGGAAGAGGCAAGACAAAAGAGGAGAGCATGGGAAAGGACAGCTGCAGCTCCCAGGCCCTAGTATTAGTAGAGCTCATCAGGATGGCCAGTGTAGACTGACAGATGACACCAGTACTGGTGTACTGCCTTTTTATCCATTAGCAGACCTAGTCTGTCAGCGTTCTTCTGCGGGACCTATTTTGCTTGCGGGAAGCCCGTTTTGTTTCTTGCCCAGAACGACTGAAAGCAAGCCAAGCTCTAGCACAGTTTTAACAGTCTGTTTGCAGAAGCAGACGGTCATCAGTACTAAATATTGACATGGTGCTGAAAGAGAGAAAGCTTAATAAAACCCCTGAGATCATCAGCAGTGTGATAGCAATGTGATGCAGTGCATCGCGGTCCTTCCCGAGTAACTCAGCCCAGCTCTGAACACCATCAAGGGCCTGAAGCTGCATCTTGGCTGGGGCAGTGCTGGGCAGAGCCAGTCCCTGAGGGAGTGGGGCACGGAGGGCATGCTCAGCCCAACAGGCTCTCCGTGAGGGATCTCCATTGGCAGCTTGGCTCTGGGTCACCTGCAAAGAGGTGTCTGTGGAGCAAAACTGGAAGTGTCAGAATTCTCACATCTGTTTTGGCCAGTGACCCTGTTTGGTGGCTTTAGGCTGAAGCCAGCAAGCTGGTCCGTTGAAAGAAGCAAGTGGTAAATCTAACCATTGCTGAATTATAGAAAATAAATATGTCCTGTTTTCACAGCAAGGCATAATGATACAATACTTTTCATAATTTCCTCTGAATGACCATTTCAGTGTTTTATTGAAATATTCGACTACCTTTATATGTGTGTGATAGACTTTCATAATTGAGAGTCATAGTGTTTATATCTTTTTTGTCTCAGTAGAATAGCTTCTCTTGCAGCTCCTCAGCACACATAGAGGCATCTGGTAATATTCCATAAACATTTCAAGGATTGAGCTATATAAATGCTTTTACCGGAAAAGATGGATAATATTTCACGAATTTCAAAACTGCAGATGTGGGCAGTTTATATCAAATGTACATAGAATCAATATTCATGGGGGTTTTTTTTGCAGAAAAATATGTTCTGCATTTCCTAATTTTAAAACTAACTATTTTTGACAAGGGGAGATTTAAAGTAGAGAAGTGCTGGTCCTAGAATAATATACTTTAGCATTTCCTGAATTTCCATTCAGATTTTTATGATCATTTGTTTTCCAGCCAGACATCAAGCTTTTTCTTTTGAAAAAGTTCCGTTTTGGAGAAGGGGGGGGGGGGGGGGGGGGAAGAAAGGAAGCATCTACTGGAATTCACAGTTTTCTAATGTAATGTACTATTTAAGATCCTATATAGTAATTTTTGATGCATGTCACTTTAGTTGGGATTCTACGTAATAATTACTTCTTATGGGTTAATGTTAAGAATTTGTCATGCATATTGTACGTGAAAAAAAATAGCATCTGCTGCTGTGATTGCTTAGAGTTTGCAGTTAACTATGTGTTTTTCTGCTTTGTGTCAAAGCTGGTGCGCTTAGAATTTGTATGGATTGTTTTCCCCATGAAATAATTTCTGGAAAATACACTTTATATTTGATTTCAAATTTGGAAACTCTAACATTCAGGGAAAACAAATGAGTTAAGTAAGAATTTTTGGCATGCTGACGGCAATGAGAGAAGAAACTGTCTTCTGATGTTGTAGCATATTTTGTATTTGGATTTGTCATTTGGAAAAAGCTATTTATTGATTGCTTGATTTATTTTTTAAGAGTTTCCTATAATCCATTTTCTCATTATTGTATCCTGTCTGTAATTATGTGAAAACAAACCAACAAGTATGTATATTGTATATAAAAAAAGAGCTCTGGATTTACATCTGTTAGATTACTTGAGAGTGTGCTGTAGATCTATCTTTTCAAATATGTGTTTGCAAAATGGCTATGGATTTACTCTCTAGAAACACTAGGTGTGCACTGCTACTCCTTAAAGTTCTTCTACTGTGGATAATTCTTTTGAGGTCCATTACTTCCCCCCCCCCAATTTTCATTTGCAGTCCTTGCTTCCTGTTTGTGTTACAGAATCCATAATAACCACATTCCTTTGAATTTCTTTCCTGCAGGAGGCCGTAATGAAGTTGTCATCACTGAAAATAACAACAGCATAACTGAGCAAATCACTGATGTTGTCAAACAGCCTGCCTTTATAGCTGGCATCGGTGGGGCATGTTGGGTGATTCTGATGGGTTTCAGCATCTGGCTCTACTGGCGAAGAAAGAAGAGGAAGGGGCTCAGCAATTATGCTGGTAAGAACAGGAGCTTTATTACCATCTCATCAGGTTTGGTTGTGAAGAGAACAGTTAAACCTACTTAAAAAACACGTTTAACTTCTAGCAAAAGTGTCCTGGGTGAATTCTGTATGCTTGTTTTTAATGTATGCTGTGAAACTGCTGTTGTATGAGAAGCTTTAAATGCACTGCTCGGTACCACATTTCATCATTATCATAAGACAGTATTTTTACATCTCCAGCACATTTAGCATTAAAGGAAAAAAAAAAGCACAAGGAAGACTAACTTTACCTCTTGTTCCTTGCTCAGAAGGCACTCTGTTAACAGTGCAGCTCTACTCATATGTTCAAATATGAACTAGACTAGACCCTCATAAGGAAGGTTAGAGAGTATTTGGTCTTTTCCTTAATTCCCATGCATTTCCATGTCTCTGAAGCCATGTGCATGGGAAATAAAAGGAGGTACTTAATCAGTGACTTCATACCTATAGCTGGAAGAGGAGAGTGATGTGTTAGACAGAGAAGTGTGGTCAAAATTTACCTATGGCAGAAACCATAAAAAGTTTTGTCTTTGAGGTAGAACATCTTGGAATGTCCTCTTGTACCAAATGTTTGTTCCGGTTACAAATTAGTTTTTGAAAACTACATTTGGAAAAATAAATACACTTGCCAAATGAAAATATTTTCATCTTTCCCCAACTTCCTTGTTTTGTGTATTCAGCATTTCAGGATTCTTATAAATTTTTAGGCAGTCAGATGAATGCCCATAAATCTGAAGGTCACTCTGAAGCCTAATTTAACACACAAAAACTCCCCTGTTCTTCAGGTATTGGGACAGGTTCTCTAGAAATGCTTATTAACATTTAAAAATAGAAAAAAATTTCTTTTTAAGCAAGATTTGCCCAGTTGAGGACACAGCATACTTAATGTCGACATTTTATCACACTGAAGTTACACAAGCGCTCTTCTGTAACAAGTTATCACATATGAACCTGAGGACACAGGTTCCCTTAGTGGCTGAGCATCTCTAACTCCTTGCCAAAAACCCACATTCATTCACAGCCGAAATGTCCTTCTCAGCTTAGCATTGGCCATCATGAGACTCCTCAGTGTCCTGCCTGGGCTCACTAAACCAGAAGGAAACTATTCCGTGCTATTTTTCAATCCTTCCTGCTGGATTTGTTTTCCACTGACTTAGTGAAACAGGGCAGGTCAAGAAAATGTGAAGTGAGCAGTGGAGGACAAGAGGAAGGAGAGCGGTGGCTTTTGGACCATCTTGGTTTCTGGGGAACCTCATCTTGTGTCACCATGTGACCTCTGACGTTCACAGGTTGTGCATTCTCGATTTGGTTTTTTTTTTTTTTCTTTTCTTTAACAGCAGTGACTTTTACTCTCTGAGAGGTAGGGTGTTGTTAACTGAGAAACTAATATCTCTTTCACACACTTATAGATGTATTTCTATGAAATATCATTCTAGATCCCAAGATTTTTCATACTAAGGGACAGTTGGGCTGTTATTCCTCTTACAAGAGAGTCTTACGTAGAGTTTTGGACACAAGCTAAAATTAGTCTTTTCTTAAAAAGGAGAATTATTAGCCCTGTATGTGAGTTGACATATTGGGGGGGGGAGCAGGGGAGAATTGAGAGCAGTTTTTTATACATTTAAATACATAGCTGTAAGTAATTATAATAGTCATAATAAACTGTGTCTCCTGCAACTCATTCCTTCTCATGAAGTTTGCTGCATCTAAGTGTGATGTGAACATTGCATCATGAAATCGTGTATGCTGTCAGCAAGGAATGTAGATAACAGATCATGCTTCAAAATTCATCCTAATGTTTTCAGTTTGGAGAACAGCATGTCCACACAGAGAGTCTTCAAACGTGACTGTTGAAACTCACTGCTCATCTTTCCGACCATCGTCTCTCATTGGCTGCTGGCTGGTTAGTGCTTTAAGCTCAGCTGTAATGTCCTGCTCATGATATTCAACCCCAACTTGAGTAAACTCCAGAGGAAACTCGTGCCCTGCAATAAGCGCTTTTTCTCGGGGTGTGTAACTCACAATGTGTCTGCTTTCTTGTTTTGCAGTTCAGTCCTTCACCTTCACCCCTGCAGGTACTGTCCATTAGTCTGTCTCTTACTTCACCAACACATCAGTGCAAACATTAGCTATCTAAGTGTTTATGAACATGTGAGATATGCAGAATCAAAACCCAATACAAGGAGAAATACTTCAGCTGCCTATCTGTGATAAAAATGTAGTATTTATTTCCCTAGTGATCCAAGGGAAACATAATAAAATCTACCACCATTAATGTCTCTGTCATTGTAATTCTGCATACTTACTCATTTAATTCCTTGAAATAATGCAGCTTTGAAAGTAATTTGCAGGACAAGATGCTTGAACTAGCTTACCATAAACAAGCATTAGTCATATATAACTGAATTTTGATTTTAAAGCTAAAGTATCTGGAACATTTTTGCAGTAATGGAACTTGCTTCCACTTTAGCTCTTAGTTATGCATATGTTTGCTTTACTGTGAGGTGTTCAGATCTTCAGGCAATCTAGTGATTAACTGATGCACTCATTTCCTTTACGGGGATTTTGGAATTGAAGTATTTTGGTTTTTTCTGACTACCCAGTTCAAAGCTGGTATCCTGGTTTTCATATCTTAAAAAAAATAGCATACGGCAGACCATTATCATAAACACAATTAAAGATATGTGAAGGATAAACGAAGTGTGGATGAAACAGCAGGTTGCAAACAGCTTGTTCAACATATGGATGTTGAGTATAGAATTAATACTCAACATTAATTGAAAATAATAGAGTATAGAATTAATACTAATAATTGATACAAATAAATAGCTTCTGCTCTCATACCTAATCACAGCATTTGAAAACTTAAAAATAATTGTATCTGAGTGTTACAGTGTAAAAGACCAATAAATCTCATCATTTTCCAGCAGAAGTCTGTAAAGTTTTCTATGTGTAGTTTGGCCCCTCAGTTTCATTTACCAAAGCTGTCTCCTCTCCTGTCCTCTCTGCCATCCGTGTGATAGAGTCCAGTCTTCCCACTGCACTGCTGAACCAGTCCTCATGCTCAGGCAGCTGCTTTCTCACTCTTGCTTGTCTTCAGCCACAGCTTGTGTGTTTACCTTAGCAGCAAAGGGCAAATGACTGTCAGGACAGGGGAGTGAAGGTGTTGGCATATGCCCCAAGGGCCTGTGACATTGTGAGGGAGAAGTGTCCTTGTGGAAAAGCCCTGGGGACTCAGGATTGCTCCTCTAGCTCCCAGGCAGGTATGGCCAAGTTAGTGCAAGTAGTGGCACAACACTTCCTAACCTAAATGCTTTACTGGCTTTTCTTTGAGAGACAATGTAGGGTTTTTTCCAAAATTAAATAATTCATCTTTGCATTCGGTTCCTATAACTATGCTACTGTCAGCTGTCTTTAAACACAACTTTCCATGGTGTTTGTAGCATACATTGACATGTGCGTTGTGCTGGAGCCACAGTGACTGTGCATGATTTAATGCTCTTGATCCACATGTGCTGGGTAACTAGGATATGTCAGAGGCACTGCCAAAAATGTGCTTTTTTAAAGGTAGTTCTGACATCTTGTGGACTTCGTAGGACTAAAACTGCCCATAGTTTTGTTTCCTGGCCCGTCATCATTTCTGGAGGCACTGAGAACCTAAGTCATCCAGTAGTCAAATCCAAGAAAACAATCGTTAATTTAAAAAAAAGTCTTCCTTTTTTTTTTTTACATAGTCCATATTTTTTATCTTTATATCCAGAGTTCCATAAGAAACTTTGTTAATTCTCTAGTATTTGAATTTACCATTGGTAATATATAATTTAGACAAACGTATCTGAGCTTCTGGGAGTTAGTCACTCACAACTGTGAGTTGTTCCCTTCAAAGTTATGATTCATAAATGGTTTGGTTTTAGATATAATTATTTAGAGAGAGGTATGTAGCTTTCAGAATCCCATCAGAGACAGCTGTCAATGAAGTTTTACTAAAGATGAATTTATCCTAATACACTCAGATTTTAGAAGGTGCACAACTTTTGTTCAGACATCTGCTTTAAATCCTTCAGAGAGTTGCAGAACATGCACATTTGATTGTATGATAAAGAGAATTGAATCTTTTAATGGAACATCCATATACTTACTTTATTTCACACACAAAACAAAACCCCCATTATTTCTGATGTGAATACTTTTTGGTTTGTTTTTTTTTCAGCTGTATTTGCCTGTGTGTAGAACTTAGAACACAAAATAGTTGTTCAAAAGTCTGGATCCTGCAGTTTTATAATTACCTGTAAAAATATTCTTTCAGGTAATTTTCAGATTATGGGTCATTCACTAGGATCATTTGTTATTTGTATTCTGTTATTAGGAGCCTAAGATGTATAATTTCTGCAGTGAGACTAAACTACTGTAACACTCCATGTAGGAGAAGAGCAAACAGCAAATGTCAGGCAATTGGTAACGGTTTCTGTCAGAGAAGAATAACTGATTTAGTTAAATTCATTAAGCTTTCTGTCTTTGTGAATATTTTCATAAGCACTGAGAGATTGCTCAGATGGTCACAAGTAAAATGACATTGAAAGTTGTAGCTAAATCTTTTTGGTTATTTTCAGTTGAACTGACTCCAGTGGTTACTGAGCCACAATTCTGTACATCACTATTCTTGCACTTCCCTTTCCCCCAGCATGGCTCATCAGGCATTGATTCTCAGTAGTATCAATACTGCAAGACATATGATTAGCTAGTATGTTTGTTAGATTACAATTGATAAGTAGTAGTGTCATCATCTGCAGCTGTACCAGAACTATACATTGTTGTGACCATGACATACTATCAGCAACCCCAAATCTGGCACAGAAACAGTAAATACAAGTGTTACTACTTTTCAGCCATCACTTCGGTAATAAAAAGATAGATACTTTTCTGAGTTTCTGTGAAAGCTAAAGTACTACTGTACTGGGGTTTTTATGGTGTTTTTCTGGTTACACTTTACTTGGACAATTGCCTGGATATAAACATGCATGATGGGCTTGCACGAGATACAAAGATAGATGGCACAAAAGAGATGTCTGAACACTTCTTGTATAACAGATGAATTATTTCAATGCTGTATTAGAGTGACAAAACAAAATTTGTTTATTTATCTCCTTATCTTTCCTGTGCCCTCAAACTTGTGCCAATACCCACTCACTTGAATACTCAGGTGTTTTCAAGTGTCTAGGCCATCAGCCATGCAAAAAAAGGTAAATATGTATTTTCACTTATGAGTAGATAAGCTTATTTAGTGACTAGTGCTCCTTGGGATTAAAGATTTCACAGAACTGAACAAACAAAAACCAAATTAAAAATAGATAGAGAATCAGGAAATGCTACACATTTTATGTGCAACTCCTGAAACTGTTAAATGTGGATAAACTGTATGACAGAATCATCCAAAGGTAGACAGAAGATTTGATGGAATTTTTATGTGCTGATTATCTGTTCTGAGTTAATGCTTATTAAAAGAGGATTAATCTACATTCATATTTGAGAAACAGCTTATCAGAAAAAGGAATGAGACTTGGCTGGCAACATTAAAGTTTTCATTTGCAGTAGGAAAATGTGGCCTACTAGAGATAGGCATACAGAAAGCTTTCTAAAGCTTTCTAAAGCTTTCTTGCCTCAGAATGGTGACTTACTATACATTCATATTTTTCCAGCTCTAGCAGGCATGAAGATTAAGTTTAACCTTGTCAGATAATATTAGTAAATGGTTTTGGTACCTCCTTATATATTTAATAAAAAGCATCTGAAAAGCTCCTTAACATATGCTGGTTTTCATACAAATATATACAGTATAATTTCCTGAAATATTTATGCATTTAAAATGCACTTTGGATTATATTTCTGCATTTTTACAGTCCTTGAAGTATAAGCTGGTGGGGATTCCTTCCAAATCTCTCTATGCAGGGGTTATTTTTTCATCTTCTTCTGAAAACCAATCTCATCCCTGCAGGTCTTCAGCTTTTCTAAGAACATATATCAGATGCAAAGAGCTGTTTTGCTTCCTTGGTGATAAAAAGCAAGGGAGATGGGTGGGTCAGTGATAGGGACATCCTTCCCTTCCTCCTCTTGCATTGCCCCTTGAAATTGCTCTGCTGCTTTTTGAAGTGGAGGCAGGATAAATAAAGCCAGCTGTCTGTGTGTTTTATTTTCACAGTGACATCTACAAGCCTGCATTGCATTAAGTCTGCTTCTATTCAGGCGTTTAGACTTGTTTTGTAATTGCAGAAATCAAACTGCAGGCAAAAATGCTGACAAAATGTATGGCAGGGATGATAAACATAGTACTTGTGTTGGCAGCCTGACCGTATCTTCTGTTGTTAGCTGTCTTTCCTTTCACAACACTGATGCTAAAAGAAAGGCACCTTCTCTATCGAGCCTTAGGTAGCCCATTCATGGATGGCATCAGGAATAGGTTTTGTTGTTTTTTTTCTCTGTAGCATCCTGGTGACATGTCCACACTTTGAGAGGAATTTTGGCATGCTTAATTAATATTCCAGAACCTTTTCCACCAAGCATAGTAAATAACTAAAATACTTCCTTGTTTGTTTTCTCACTTCATACATTGGTATACAGGGTGGAGGGTAAATGAAAGAACCTGTATTCCTTCCCAGTTCCATACACATCACATAAGCACAGTCTTCCCCAGGAAAAACAATGTCACTGCAAGATAAGTTCCTTTTTTTTTTTTAATAAACTAAGCTGAACCTTTCTTCTAAAAACAGTGCTTTTATTGGGAGGGTGTAAGATTAATGTAGGCAAAAAAAAAAGATAAACCAAAACAAGAAGTGGTTCCTACCACAAGGATACACAGGTAGAAGAAAAAGGAGCAAATGCTGTGATACTTGTCTCTTCTCAACAATCTCATATGCCACAGCCAACCTGTAGCAACTGTGGCTCTAGCAAAGAGATTTCGGTGCCATGTCTTCCCAATATGTTTCTCACAGCTTGCCTTGGAGTTCTCCCATCCCTGACTACCCAGAAAATAAAATGTGTCAGGCAAACATTGCTGCAATCTCCTACTAGCTCCTCCATTTTAGATTTGCTCTATAAATGTACACAAGGCATATAAGTATTTTGAAGACCACAAATACTGTTGGGATTTTTTTTTCCATATGATATGCAAGGTCAAAATCTCACACACCTGTATGTGCTACATGAGTGGTGACAAAATAACTTCAGAATTATTTCTGGTGGATGATAATCTGAAAAAGAGCATTAATCCCAAGCATTTTTTAGAAAATATGTTTTACTGGAATTCCCTTAAATCTGTAAACTTTATTATTATGGGTTGTTACCGAATTAGCCTTTGTTTCTCATTCTCGTTATATCTTGTCACTTTGACAAATGCAGAAAGTTGAAGAAATCAAGTACTAAATTTGAAGGGGAGGAGGAGAAAGGAAGCAACATCTAATGTACTTTTGACCAAGATACTTTGAAACAGCCAGGCAGTGCCCACATTTTTGTATATTCATGATAGTTACAGCACTTCAGATTATTTACTTTTAAACAACGAGTGATACAATCATTTGACAGCCTGTTAGAGAAAGTAGCGTTGGCTCTAAAATTAATTACCTGCAGTGTATTACCATGTCTCGTTTTTCAATAGCAGACTTTTATTTAATACTTTTCATACTTGCATTTTGATTTTCTTCTCATTAATTGGTTTGATTACATCCTTTCAAAATTCAGCTGTAAACCATTTTGATGTGACATATGACTGCAGTGATTTTCTGATATTGATATTAGTCTGCTCTGCAGTGAAGGATAATTAATCACCCTACCCAAGCACTCTTCCAGCAGAGCTTCCAGAAGGGCCAGTTTTGTCCCCTTTGCTGAATCTAGACTCTGAAATTATCTTAGGAGTTAATAAAGTGACAAGCATTCTATAAGGTATCAGAAGTATTTTCACAGTGGATTTATGCCATTGCTAATTCTTTTAATGATCACAGAATTCCTATTGGGTGTAGTAATTTTGTCTGATTAGAGTAGTGTATAATAGCCTAATTCTGAATTAGTGTAGTTTGGACTAATACTTGGAAAATCTTGCAAATATTCTGGGAGCTGTAATATAACTATGGGAATGTATGTCTTACAAAGGTAAATAGTATTTCCAAACCAAACCTTATTTCAAAATAATCTGGCCACAGACTTTTCCATTCCTCTCTGAAATTCAAACCCTCATCTTGTCAGAGGCCTGTAAGGATGCAGATGTCCAGGACATTGATATAATTTAATAGTCTGCCTTATCTATGCTTGACAATAAATAATGGGATATTGCCACTGAGGACCAGAGTAGTCTGTTGGCCTTGACTCAAAATATTTGCCAGTGCTTCAAAAAGGAGCATCAAATGTTGTCAATTAACACCTCACCAGTAATGCGGGTTCACCTGTATTGCCCTGGAATGTAATCCTGTTAATAAGATAGATAAGGGAGAGGCTGTTTTTTGTCAAACATCCATGAATGGAGACATAAAAACAACTGCCTCCCTCTATGTCCTTAGCATCCCCCATGGATGGAAGACTGGAAACACTTTTTCTTCCCGGTGACACTGGCGTGTATGCATTTATGTGTGGCTGCTAGTTCTTAAACTCTTCTTCTGATGGAAATGGTGTAGCCATATGATTTTTTTTCCATCCCTTCATCTGTAACAGAGCTGCCACCTCTTTCCCAGGACTGTTTGTCCTGAGAAATGGCATATTTGTGTGGTGACATTATATTACTGCATTACGACATGATGTTATTAACTCACTGGTGCATTGTCATTATGTACTGAAGCAAAAGCATGCCAAGAAACAATTTCATCACATGGCTCAGTCTTGCAAGGCAAAGCCATATGAAGGGACCTGTGGTAAATTCAGGCCTTTTGCCCAGATGGCTGGTTTGCCTTGCAAGCTACAGAGCAAGTTGGTGTCAGTCAGTAACGTGCAGTGAAATCCTGAACAAACTGTAACCCCGATGTGCTTGATCCTGTTCTTATAATTTCTGTACTTTATTGAGTGATGATGCCAAGAAACCTCCTATCTTGGACACTGAGCAGTTTGAATTGTTACTTTTAATTATTACTAATTGATTTTTTTCCCTGTCTTATATGTATGTGCTTGTGTGTGTGTGTATGTTTGTTTGTTTTGTTTTCTCCCAACCAAAACACAGTCACTTTCCAAAGAGGAGATGGAGGACTAATGAGCAATGGAAGGTATGTTTCTTTGTATAAAGGTCTCTCCATTATTTTTAAAATTAGGGATCTGAAACATGCTATAGGTGATGCATTTGGGTCATAACAGATCGTTGGGAAAACTGACAACACTAGGAGGAGTTAAGTAGCTTACCACAGGGTTTAATGACCTATTTGTTGTGCACTTTGTAGGAATCGAGCCCAGATGTTTCATATCTCCCAGATGCCTTGGAAGAAATGAGTAGTAAATATCACAAAGAATGTGTTCATTTGTTATCAGGATGTTTATTGCATTAATTAGACATTAGCAAATGAAGTTGCTGTTGTTTAAGACTCCTTATTGGCTCCCCCTAAATTGCTGTGAGTGAACAATTACAGTTAATCGATCATGAAATAAATGATTCATGGATGATGAATAGGCTGTAGATTGATAGGACTGGATTCCACAACTTTGGCTACTCAATTGAAATTGATAAAAGCTGATAACGGGCCCATATATCCTCATCTATTTTCCCTTTGCCAATATGGAGATTGTAATTAGGCCCTGGTAATAACTTCCAATCTCCTGTTTAATCGATATTTTAGCAAAAAGAGATTAGGCCTAATGAGAGCAAGTAGATGTGGCGAGAACATGGCTGGGCCTTCTTATTGTTGTTTCCATGGAAACTGATGTTTCTCTTAGGGATTGTGCCAGGCAGGGGTCTATAAAGTACAACGATCGGAGATGTTGCTCCAACTTCATGAGTGCTTTAATAACCTAGAAAAGCTGCAGAACTGCGGATGGCTTTTTGTTTTCATTTGGGGAAAGGGGGGTGTCTGCAGGAAATTATTTGTTTTCCCTGTTAAATACAAATACAAACAATCCACCTGCCTTGCTAAATTTCTGTTTATCCTGGGGTGAGGGAGATATGGCACCTTATGGCCCGAGTGTGCCTTCTCTTTCACATGCTCGCTGTTTAATACTGCTCTCAAAGCTGGGAATTACAGGGATATAAAAGCCATGCCGTAGTGGCAGATAGAGATAGCTGTGGACTTTCCATTAATCCTACTCAAACCTGTTTGCCTCTAAACCATTCAAGAGTGCTCAAAGAAAGAGTTACCAGCCTGTAGATGACAGGCGTGCATTTGGGATGCAAGGGAAGGAAGAAATAGTAGCCCAAAGTCCTGGAAATGGCTGATATGGAGCAATCAGTTTGAGTGATGGCTCCCTTGAGGTGGTAATTTATCATGCAACCCTGTTGTAGGATCCCGTGATGGTGCTGCCTAACTCCTGTTTCACACAGACAACGGAGTTCATTTGGATTCTGGCAGAGTCACGACGGCTGCCTAGTCCCACTTCTACTGACAAAGTTGATTTGTATATAACCTTAATTAACTGCTCAAGGTCTTTAAATCATCCAAGGCTACACAATTTTAAATTGAAATAAATTAAAGTCTTCTAAATTGTTAGTTACCTGTGGTGTTAGGAGAACAGTGATACGGCTCGTTTGACCACTAGTTGTCTCACGGATGTTGTAATTTTAAATATATATGTATATATTTGTATGTATATCTCTTTTTCTTATTCTGCTTCAGTCGACCAGGTCTCTTGAATGCAAGTGACCCCAGTTATCCTTGGCTTGCAGACTCCTGGCCTGCCACAAGTCTGCCAGTAAACAACAGCACTAGTGGACCCAATGATCTTGGCAATTTTGGTCGTGGAGGTAGTTTTCCTTTTATTATTTCACCATGTAGTATACAACAGGCTCCCATTAGTTAACATTTATGATAAATACTGTGTAATGTTTTTATCCTTATAGTTCTATGTGTGATTCTAGATTTGATTGAAAATTTACTTTAAAATGTTAGTTTTGCTCTGTTGCTTTTTACTTCTTTAAAAGGTAGGTCTAGTTTTTAATTTACCCCACAGTGGTGAGACAGGGTTTGCTTATGATCTAAAGAGAAATGTATCTTGCTCAAAATCATTCCCTTTTGTGTGGAGATAAGCAATCTGATGGGCAGAGGAATATAGCCAGGGAAAAAAAGATGTCCATAAGGGCAGAGGAAAACTGGGGGGATGCTGGAAGAATGCTCCTTCAGCAGAACAGGAGAACATTGTTGCTGTCACCTTACCCATCCTCTTCCTACTGAGGGTCTACTCTCAGTCTCAAGCATAATCCATGAAGAATTATGGATTCTTCATGAATTACAGATTCTTCAAGAATTAATGAAAGTCACCAACTTTTCTTCATGTTGGAGGACAGAATATACAAAGGGGACCTATTTAGATTTTTTTAGGGGTTTACTTCCATTTTGAATTGAGGGAGGACCTTTGGGGAGATGAGGTAATGATTTATTGTTATGATCATGAATCTTTAGAGGAGTTATTTTCTTTGAAACATTTTATTCAAATGGGAATTTTAAGAATGGGAATTTTAAAAGTCACAGTAATATTCACATCTCTCTGTTAGTCCCTTGGTTTCTGTGATAGCACAGCTAGTTCTGCATAGTGGTGTTCAGAACAAGACTTTCTAGTGTAAATGAACATATAAATATTTTTAAGACATGAATAGGTAAACAAAAATCAAGAAAATCTTATATATCAAAAATGCATTAAAATGTAAAAAAAAATCTATAAAACCATCAAATTGATAAATGTGAAAAGAATTCAGTTTTGAACTGTACCAGAACCTGCTTCTGAAAATCATCCCTCATATCAATTATACATTCCCATGCAAAGCCTCTTGCCTGTGGTTTGACTACTGTGACTTCAAATTACAACAAAACACACAAGATTTATATTCTATATAAAAATGTTGTAAAGCTCTTGTCATACAAAACTATTTAAAAGTAAGCAAAACTTTTGATAATATTTAGAAGGCAACTGAATATCTGCCAGGTTCTTTGTTGTGAATATCTTGAAAATAAAACCCTTCAGTACTTTTCCATCTTTTCTTAAGCTCACATAATACAGAAAAATTACCATTTTCTTTTAGCATTTGGCTCTACATGACAGAAATTGGAAGCATGTTTTGAAGTTTTTGGCCTCAGTGTGGTTGAGGCATAGGTCCAAATTTGTGCAAGAGATAAAACAGTTACATTTTGAAATTCAGCAGCTTAATTCCACCCATGATCTTTACAGATGAGCTCACAATTTTATTCTGGTTGATTTGGGACCACTTGTCCCTATCTGTTTCAGTAGTTGAGATTGGATGTTTCTGCATTAAAGATGAAAGTTAGATGTCTTTCAACATATATATATAGAATATTAACATTACAGAGAGAACTCCTACTGGTTAAAAGATCTATGATAATATAAAAGGTCTGTAAGCATTTTAAAAACAGTAAGGTGCCAATAAATCACTGGAAAGTCAGAAGCTGAGGCAAGCAGTTCTGACATTGCCCTTAAAAGTGAGATCCATGTTATGTCCCAGATAGGCATGTGAGAGCAAGGCTGTGAATGGGAAGCACAGGTTGGAGCTGGAGTCATGTAAGGCCACAAAATGGTACTGCATCTCCTGAGGCAGCAGGAAAGAACTTCCCTCTGGAAATACTTTGGCCCTATTTCATTTATCTCAAGAATTACAAAACAAGTTGGATTTTGGAGAGGTCTGGGGAAAGCATCCAGTGGGAAATGCATGTTCAACTTTGGTCTGAAATGTACACTGTGGGTTTTTTTGCTATGACAACTCAGTGGGAAAATCACACTTGACTTTTACTAGGTGATTATGGCACTTTCTAAAATGGCAATTTAATAGCTCTTTGAGTGCTTAATGCATACATCTCACTGAGGTCAAAAAAGTAATCCATGGTTGTACTGAAAATTCCCAGAATGTCTGGAGAACCTCAGCTTATTAGTAAGAAAGACTGAAAGTTCTTGGCTGGTGGAGATCTATACAACTTTCCTTTCAAGTGTGTGCAATGTATCGTTCTCCATTTTAAAATGACTGTATAGAGATGATACCTCTTCATTCTTGCCAGAAATGTGCTCTAAAAGACAGATGTATGTCTGAGTACTTGAGAGATGAACATTTAGATGGTTTTTACTTCCCTAAGTCTGCAAATCCAACACAGACAGGTTGAGCTGAATTTGCTTCACTTTATACATCAACAACAGAATTTATTTACTAAACTTCAAGCCATTATACTTTGACGAAACCAATTGTGGAAAGGAAAAATCTTCGTACTGTGGATGAAAGAAAGATGGACTGCATTTGTCTCTCACATCTCATGCTGTATTTGGACATAGATGCCTTTCTGTTTGTGTACAGCCCCTAGAAAGCACATTGCATGTGTGCAGATAGATGGTAATAAACCTACTTTTGAAATATGAGCTGTGGTTTGCATTAATTGTAATTTTTTTGCACTTACAACTTACCTGCAGTTATAAGTTAATACAATTAAGATCTTTTAAATACTTGATTGTGTCCATTTCCCTGTTGTCTGCAAAACCAGATCATGCTGATAGACCCAAATTTAATCTCTGTTTCTGCAGTGTCTCTGCTGAGCACTTGTTATTGCCGTATTTATTGTTAGTATTATGTTGCTGTCCTGAGACTGCAGATGTTATTAGGGTCCATATTAAAATATTCACTGTTGCACACATGAATGTAACAGAAAATAGTTCTGTGATCTAAATGTTCATCCCAGGGAAAAAAAATAACACACAACCAAATCACACCAAAACAAACAAACCAACCAAAACAATGGGAGGAGACAGTGGTGTCACAGCTCATTGCTGGATAAGTCTTTGAGACAGTGAGAGAACAGCTGTATTCCTTGAGGTTTCACAAAACCCCCATCTGAGTCTGAAACTGAGCCTAAACCCTTGTCTAAGTGCAAGAATCATCTTTTCTTTCTGGGGCTCAAGGTATATCCAAATTGGCTGTGATCTCTAGAATGGGACGTGAACATCCTCACTGTAGGAGTGAGCATTATCTCAAGTGTGATCTAACAGTTGGAATCCATATCTACCATCTGCCTGTAGAAAGAAAATGGAATATAAATGATGCTTTTAATTTTTTTTTTTTTAACAAGTACATCCCAGAATTGATTCAACTTTTCAGAGTCTAAACAAATTGTAAAAATAGTACCATTTGATATATTGACCTCTGAGATAGAGAAGGAAGAGGATTATCTGCTGGGCTGTGGTTCTCCTTGGAACATCATGCCAGTCATCATTAGATTCTTCACACATCAGTAATCTCAGTTTCTAGATCTAGTATGCCACCAACAAAGGTCACTTCAGTGCTTAGTAAGGAGAGAGATTGCCAATCTATCTGATTAAATATATAAACTACACTGTGTGATATGATTCAAAAGATGTAGAAAAGTCAACAGATATTTAGTTAAATGTGTTGTACTGTTCTTCAGGTAAATGTACTGGAGTATTTGAACACGTTGTGCTCCATTATTAACACTGCTTTGCCGTTTTGAGGGTCTGGTCACTTAAATCCCTTCAGAATAACAGATTTTCTTTCACATACCAGGAACAACTTGGTCTTGTCATGTTTTTCTTTGTGGAAAAGTAGAAATGTACTAGCTAATGTCAAAAAGAAAATTAGATAAGCTGATGCACAAAACTTCAAGAAAATCAAGGTGATGCCCTTAAAAAATTACTTTGAGGGCTTTGGCATCCATACAAGAGTTTTTCTACATATTTTCTCAGAACATTCCCTCTATGGTTTGTAAATTCTCTCCTTTCATCATTTCCCTGAAACCCAGACAGTTTCATTGGTTCTGACATAGAATGAACAATTGAAAACATTCTTTAGGAGAGAAATATTCCAAACTTCACTTTCAAACTGAAGGTATGGAGAAAAAAAAAAAAAAAAAGATGGTTTTAGGCAGTGAGACGTGAAGGACAAGTGGTAGGCCTGTCACAGATGCTGATAGCTTGGCGATGGTTGTACATCATCTTCCCTTCGTTGGCTCATGGACCTGTCTCAGCTGAAATGCAAACGTGCAAAATGACACATTTATTTCTCATCTTAAACCTTGATACTTTCAGGCTTCGTGTACATCAATGATTTGTTTCATTCCCCTGTGTTCACCACAGATGTGCTGCCACCAGTGCCAGGGCAAGGAGATAAAACTGCTACTATGCTTTCTGATGGAGCCATTTACAGCAGCATCGACTTCACCACGAAAACCAGTTACAACAGTTCCAGCCAAATAACGCAAGCTACACCATATGCCACCACCCAGATACTGCATTCCAACAGCATCCATGAGCTGGCTGTCGATTTACCTGATCCTCAGTGGAAAAGCTCAATTCAGCAAAAAAATGACCTGATGGGATTTGGTTACTCTCTCCCAGACCAAGGCAAAGGCAACAATGGTAATTACAGCTCTTATTTTCCAGAGACCTTGTCTTTGTACTGTATCATCTGTGCATGAATTAGAAAATTCTTTTTAGTTGTGTGAGATACCGTTCGTATTTACCTTAACTAACGCTAACATTCCTTGCATGTGCGCTGAATGTCATACAATCACGAAACACATCGTCCTGTGCTTTTATTCCTCTTTGTCCTGTGCTAATCACCAAGCCATCCGCCCTCCATCAGGCTAGGCTAGGTGTACCTTTAAAAATAAGTAAGTTAAAACTACCACCCCACTGCATCTGCTGTTGACTTGCTAACTGCATGTGTTGCATGTGCTTGTGCTGTCGACTAATCCCACGATGCCACTGTGACCTTTGCCGTTTAACCCTTAGCCTTGCTTTACATCCCTGACTACCGGGTGGCTGAGGGACTGGCTAATAGATTGCCACACAACCAGTCACAGGATTTCAGCACCACCAGCTCCCACAACAGCTCCGAAAGGAGTGGCAGCCTCTCAGGTTGGTTCCACCGCCGTGGGCAGGGGAGTGAGGGACGGAGGGGTGTTGGCGAGCGGCTCGCCGCGGAGGCGGAAAGACCTCCCAGGCACAGGTTGAGAATTCCCATGAGAGTGCCTGCCCGCTAGTAAACACTGGAAAATATGAAGTTTCATTGGAACATCAGAGAACACTGGCACATGGGCCTCTACTTAAAGAAAAAAAAAAAAAAAGTTTTTTGGCAAAACCTATTTGGAGATAACTGGAGATTCCTCCCAGGTGGTGCTTGTCAGTGCAATTGCCAGCCTTGCCTTGTCACATCCCTTCCCTGACAGCACAGTTTGTGGAGCAAATGTATTTCTGCATCCATCCTCAGTTTATAGGCCTCCCCACACTGAACGTCATGAGGAGAGTAATATTTTTGTTGAGTGGTTAACAGATCCCCCACTCCCACGAGCTGTTTCTAGATGCTGTTCTTCAGTGAAGCAGCTCAGAAATAATTGTAGGGCCTGAACGATGACTGGGGTTTCAACAAATTGTGCCAAGCCTGCATACAAACAGGATGTAAATTTTATGTGTGTGCTGCATGTTCTATTGGAAACATGATGCATTTTCATCAGATGAAAATGATTGTAATACATGTGGTTGTGTATTATATTTAAACACACCTTTTTCCTGATTTCTTTAATTTTGCTTACTTGTTGCTTATGTTATGTATAACCGTCTTTTTTTTTTATTTTAAAACAAAAACTGAAGGGGCAGCAATTAAAAAGAAAACCTCTGAATTCCCTTAACTGAAATATGAGAGAGCTGAAGGGACTTAACCTTGATATTCATTCTATATCCCTAGCCTTTTGAATTTCCACTTTAAGCTGGAACAATTGTAACAGTAACAGACCAAATCTAGAAATTACTTCTTTATGTCAATTTAAATTACTATTCAAATTGAATCTTGAGATTAGAAGCCTATAATCATTGGCCCATAACTCAAATAGCCAAATGTGTTTGCAAGTCTTGTGTTCTCAAGGGGGAGTATTAGCTGGTTTGAGTGAGACTGAAAAACAGGCTCATGGCATTGACGGAGAGGGATCTGGGAGCGAGGTTCATACGATATTGCAAGAAAGGTTCTTGTTCCTTGTATGTGAGATGTATTGGCAAGTAGCTTAGGAAATCAGCTTGCTCTCCAGGCTGCATGCAAATGCAGAAATTGATGTGCTCAGGTACATATGTGGCAGTTATCAGAGGGCAATATCACACTTTAGATATGTTGACAGCTATGGCTGCCTAAAAATTTTCTCAGAAAATATGAAGTTTCCTTGGAAAATGCCAGTTAATCAGAAGCTGGATTTTGATCAAATATTTCAAGTGAAACATATTTTGCATAGTGTTTGTCAGTTTGAAATAAATCTTCTGAGGACACAAGGAAACTTCAGCTCAGTCTTTCTATGGCCAGGGCATTCCTGTTTTGACCAAGGCAGCTCACACCTGGGTGCCCCAATGCTCAGAGGAGTGTCAGATTATCGGAATGTAGAGTCAGTATTTTGCTCTCCCTTGCCCAGTAATTATGCCTTTGATACAGGATAATTATGTCTGTAATACACAAGAAACTGGGGGAGACCTTCAAATAGTCTGATAATTAAAGCATCACCGGAGTCGGAGACCAGCTTTGGTTACGTAGTTCCCATCAGGGTGAGCAGGGACTTGTTCTCTCACTTCCTTGGTTGGTACTTTAAGTACTACTTATTATTCTGACTAAGTTTCTGTCTCTCTTAAATGAGTATCATGAGAAATCCTATCCCACTGTGGAATGAAAAATAGCTAAAAACTCAACTGCTTTATGAGGCAGGGAAATTTTGTAGCTGTACTTTACAGAGCTCCCGGATTATATCAAAGCTGTGATCATCAGCCCAACTGGCAAATTCTTTTTCCAGGACCTGATTCATCTAGAGATTTAAACAATATAATTGAATTTCAGTGTGAGGAGACATTGAAACATCAAGCATCATTGCTATGGGGAAACAAGGCTGTGGTGCATCAGTTTTCAAACACACATCAGGCACTGTATGAGGTGTCTGTTCCACTAGTGTGACAGTGGAGTAACTCTGCCTGTGGGGACAGAAGAGAAATCTCCTCCCCAACTATACAGTGTAGGCTGCTTTCCCTACCAGTAATGACCTTGGAGTTCCCATCTTTGATTTCTTAATCTAAATGGTTCCTTGTCTCCCTGCTTCACTCTTTCTAATAACTTCATTGGCTTTAACCTATCACTCCGAAATCCCCCAAATCCAAATGACTCCACATTAGCAACCCACACATCCAGCCTCTATTGTACTAGTTTCCTAAAGTTATCAAGATGCTACACTTCCAAAATCTTCCTCACCGCTTCAACTAATCTCTAAGCTAAAGTTGTTCTCTGCATTTCCCTTCTCTGAGTATTCCTAGTTTAAATCCTCCTGCAACACACACACTCTTATGCATGTGCTTTTCTCCTAAAGCAGCCCCTCCTGCCTTAGCTCTACTTATGCTGACTTTTCAAAAATTTCCCTGCATCCCACAAGTTTAAGTTAACCTACTTCCTTTACACTGTTCTATGCCCCTGTTTCTTTATCCACTTTTTGCCTTACCTGTGCTTTGAAAGCTCCATTTTCCCTCCATAAGGTTCATGTGTTTGTTCCTTTATCTCCACCATCACTGGGGTTTCTTTTCATCATTTGAAATGTTCCTTCCCTTTTCAAGAAAGCTTCCCTCTCTACCAGGCTACAAAAGGAGGGAAGAGCCTGTCTTGCGTCCTAATAGAGGGAATACCAGCTCAGTTCACACGTAGTGAATGACAGGATCTTGGCTGGAATTTACTATGTGTCCCTCCAAAAAAAAAGAAGGAAGAGCTCTGATCTGGAATTGAGTACTGGAAAGGAAAGTCTTATTTGCAATGTGCAGTCAGGCCAATTAGAAACCTTGCTGAACTTGTTCCCTGTCTCTAGCAGGCACAACCAGAGGTGAAAGGAGACGGCTACTTCTGAGTCACAGAATCACCTTTTTTCTTCCCTCTCTATCCTTTCCTGTTTTCATCCAGCTGACACTTGGAGGTAACAGAAGAAAACCACTGTCTCCCAAAAAATCCCATGACATGTGCTTGTCTCTGTTGCTAGAATCGCACCTCCTTCTGGACTTCTCTGTGCCTAAATCTAGAGCCACAGCAAAGAAGGTGGTGCCCGCCAATGCACACCTGACAAGTCAGTTGTGGGTTTTTTGAGTCATTGATTCATTTTTACTTTTTTTTTTTCATAACTGATCCTTATAAATCAACAAGAGATGTCAGTGGGTAGGATGGATTAGACTGTGCTCTCTGAAACAGGAAAGGAATGAGTGCTGGCCAGCTGGGTACCCCGCTGGAAAGGCATGTGACAAACCGTTCCTCCACCCAACAGTCCAAAGAGCCTGAAAACCGCAACAAAACAGCAAAAAATAGGTGGTTCTCCAAGCAGTCAAGGGATTCAAAATGTTGTGCCATTCTTCCTCTTTAAGAATTTCTAACAAGAAAAAGAGGTCACAGCAAAATAAAAGAAGAAAAGCAAGTGGCATGAGAACTTTCTATGTAAGATCAGGTTCCCACAAATGGAAGTGTCTCAACTGGAGAAGTGGATATAAGGACAATAAGAGAAGAGCAGAGGGCCTAAACAAAATGCATTGCTCTCTTTATTTTTGCCAGCCTCATCCATTAGAGCTACACATCAGAAACAGAACCTCTTCTTCATAGTGGCACGAGATATTTGAATGCTGTGAAACAGTCCTAAAACATTGCACATGACTTCCTAATCTTTTAAAAAAACTGTGTTTCTTTTGTTTTGACAAGTTACTCTTGTCATTCTGGCTGAAAGATATTGAGTCTAACAACAGCTTTTTTAGATGGTGTCCTCAACCTCTATGTTTTCCACAGAAAGTGATTATGGAAAACTGTTATAGTCACACTGGATTCTGACATTTGAAATAATTTGCTATGTTTTATTATATTTTTATCTAGGAGTGAATTCAAGAAGTCATAAAGAACAGATGAATAATATCAGGAAATATATTTCTGATACAGAAAGACATGTCTTTCCTTGTTTGTGCACTACTGTGGTGCAAATGTACAGAGTTTTAAAAAGAAGTGATTTTCAGCAAATATTCAGAATATTTTTCCATTCCATTCTATTACTACTTATAACCTTGTGACAGCATTAGCACGTTGATGCTGATTCTGCTGAGATATAAATACATCTTCTTTTTCGGGGCATGCCATCTGGAATCAGAATTTTTTCAAAGAAATGTAAATAGCTAGCTTTTTTTTCCACATTACATCTCTAACATTTTATTTTTCTTTTTGGATTTGCAGGTGGCAAAGGAGGGAAAAAGAAGAAAACCAAAAATACTACCAAGCCCCAGAAAAATAATGGTTCAAACTGGGCCAGTGTTCCCCTCCCACCCCCTCCTGTGCAGCCACTTCCAGGCACAGAGCTGGAACACTATGGGGTGGATCAGCAAGAAGCAGGGTAATTTTTTTTTTTTCTTTTTCTTTTGAAGAAAAATCTGTGGTTTGCAGAGATGAGGCCTGTTTTGTTATTATTTTTTAATTTTGCTAAGTGACAATATTATTCTGTTTCATTTTAAAAAAAACCCCAAAACTAAAAGAGCGCTTTATCCTGTAGACTTATTCAAGGCTAGGGAGGAGAAATGCTTGAATAGCTTCTCTGGAGAGTGACTGAAGGTGGAAACAAAAGTGACCTTGCTTTATCATCATGTAGAGCTTCACTGCTTTCCCATGCTGAGAGGTATCTCACTTCACAGGTAGCTTAATTGAATTCTGTTGGGTCTGCATGCAACTGATGGGACTCAGAGTGAGTAAGGATGACATAATCTGGCTCTTTGTATTTTTTCACTGCTTTGATGTTTAAAAATATTAGAGCCAACAGAACAAAAAAAAAAAGAACACCACCAAATTGGATTATTTTTTGAAGATCAACCAATGGATAATAATGTTCTCATCGGCTTTTAGAAGAAATTTCACAGTTGAGGAAGGCATGCTAATTATAGGCTTTTTGTTGTTGCCATTTAAACAACTCTTAAGTTTCTAGAACCTTCCACTTATTTTTGTATAGCTTAAACTTGTTCTCAAGGGCACATAATCACATAAGAAGTGCTAAGTGAGAGGAAAGAGACATTGTCTGCACAGACAAAAATTACATAATGGTTTTTATAAAGTGTAATTACATGACATGCCAGGTTATCAAACTCTGGAAGAAAATCAGAGTATACAGAAAAATAGTTTACTGTGGTCAGTTCTGTTGGAACCTTAGAGAATAATTGTTCTGTCAGGGACAAATTTCTGCCTGTTTAAATACATGGATTAACCAACATTTCCTAAGGATGAAACATGTTTTAAAAAGACATTGTAATAGCTTTACTGAATAAAAATATTTCAGCATTGATCATTACTAGTTTTATAATGAAAACTAGAGCAATTACGTATTATTTGAGTTTATACCACGTCCTTCAACTCTTAAAATGAGTAACAACTAACTGTGTTAGTCAGTGGAATTCTTTTTAGAATGAACTCTAATAGAGTTAGAATTTCAAAGCAAATATAAGAGAAAATTAATATCCTTACTGATTGTAAGTGTTGTTTAAATCTCAAGGCAGAAAGTGTGTATAATCATGGTGTTCTCTATTCTGTTATAAAAGGCTAAAATAAATTTAAAATTATTTTAAATAATTGTCTTTATCAGTTTACATCCTTAAAACACATTTGCAGCCATTTCACTAAAACAATTATGCTATGGAAGGCAAAAAACCTGGATTTTCTTTCAGAACAATGAAGTAGCATAAAAGGTAAATGGAAATACCTTATAAAAAATCCCTTGTGACAGAGGCCTTGACTCCTCGGTTGCATAAAGTATCTGTAATTTAGCTGGAAGGAATGATGTTGGTCACCAAGACAACATTGGTTATTTAAGGATAAGGTAATCACCAGCCTTCCATATTCACAACAGTTCAGACTTAGTTTTTCTTCTGATTATCTTCTGAATTGCTCTTCTCTGGGTTTTGTAGTGCCTCATTAACAGTGGTTGTAGCTTGACCTCGTAATATGCATTTTACCAAACACACAAAAAATTTGAAGATAAGACTTTCAGTATCAGTCTGGAGCTGTTATTTGCAGCCACCTTTGTTGAAGAATGGATCTGCAATGCCCATACTTTCTCAAGATGTATCCAATACTAATGTCTGTTCTGTATTCAGGGGTTGATCTTGTTTCTGTGGTTTTCAACATGCTAAAATGGAATGAATCATAGACTCTGGTCCTTTATGTTGCCTTTAATGTGGACATAGTGGGCAAAAAAAACCCAAAACAACAACGCATTTTTTAAACTGTTTTGTTTGTCTTGATTTGTTTTGATGTACTCTGTCTGTGACAAGTTCAATGTGTTTTAATTTTATAACTAATTGCATGCTTTTGCTTGGTTTTATCTAAACTTGACAGTAAGAAAATGCTCATTATTTAGTCATTATCATCTATTTAGATTTTTCACTAATACTATGCATGTTCTTGAGCCAACCCCAGTAAAAGCAGCCTGCATATTTTTACTTTACTGTTACTATTTCTTGCTATTGATTGCACCTTAAAATGGAATATTAGCTGCTGGATGTCAATATATTTGATACTTATTTTCTGTCTTTGGAAAAAGTTAAGAAAATAATACCTTTCACATCAAAAAATCTTTTCTGGTGAGGCCTAGGGAGGGAAACATCCTTTATTGCAACTCTGTGTGTAATGAAACAGAACTGTAATGGAATGTGCCCATTATCCATCACCTTTATTTTTTATCTTGAAGGAAAAAAAAATCTATCAGTGTAATGAATCAAGTTTTTTAATAGTAAAAGATTACTATAGGATGAAAGTGCTGAGAATACAATAAAAACTATTACAAACATAGAGTCATGTTTTTTAACCAGAACTTAATAGAGATTTAATTAATGAAATTGCAGTCAGATCTCTAATATAGTTAAGATGCTTAGATTTTAATAAGAGTACTTGAAAAAAGTTGCATTTTCACTGCATTGGATTTACTCAGAAAACCAAAAAGAACATGGATGTGACCAATCCTCACTATGTTGGTACCAGAAGTTTCTGTAACTAAAACATTTATGTGAGGTGTAGTTACTATGTAGTCTCCTAAGTTTACTAGCTCTCTCTTGCAGGCTTCTTTTTTTTTTTTCCCTTCTTCTCTAAATGCAAGTTAGAACCTGTGGCTTTTTGGACATCTTACAATATGAAGGCAAGGGTTCTTGTACCTGAAATCTTGAATCTCAGTGTCCCAAGCTTCAGGCTTAGGCTGCTTTCCATTTCAAACAAAATTTAGGTAAAGATGAGGTACTTGTGCAGAATCTTTTCACTAAGAAATCTTTTTGTGAGAAATCTTTTTACTATCAAGCTGAACATTTGGGGATTTGAAGCAAGAAGGGTCAAAAGGCGAGCACTTCCAAAGCTCATTTATTCATCACTGAGAAGTCACCAGGGAGGACCTTTTTGCCCTGTCCCTTTTAAAGAAGAAGACATTATACCTAAGCATGAGGTTGAGAGAGCAAAAGTATATGAAAGAGTTATTGCATTGTACATTTTTAGCAGCATGAGTTAGGATGGTCCCTTCAGCCTTGGGTGCAAATGTCACGAGTGCGTATTGTTAGGAAGGAGAAATTACAGCTGGCCATATCTTAATTGTCTGCTAAGGATGAATATGTATCATCTAACATTTTCTTAAATCTCTGTATTATGAAAATGGTAATGATCAAACAGTGAAAAGCTCCTAAATGTCAAGGGTTAAGATCCAGCCTTTATTTTCACCTCTGTACACATACGTGTATTTGTGTATCTATATATTGTTATATCTACATATAGATTTAAAGTAATATCAGTGTTAATTACCAAATATGTCTTTCACAGACTTTTGGATGGAGTTGGTTTAGATCAAGTTGGTTTAGCTATCCAGAGTCTGTGCTTTTAAAAAGAGTCTGAATAAGGAAACGGTAGTCTAGTTAATTTTAGAAATCTATGAGTTTTGCTTAAAGTAAATGTTTGTTCATAATACAGGTTTTGCAACTTCTCCATCTCAGTGTTCCCAGCATTTTTATAACCTGGCTTCACACTTGAGAAAATTGACAGTAATTAATTTTTCTCGGGGAAATTGGTAGTTCCTTCCTTCCGAATCAGAAACCTTAAAGGAGTATTCTTGCACTGGTTTGAGAAATTAACTGTGTAGCACAACACATTGCCTGCCTGCATTGCAGAAAAAAAGGACCTTGTCAGCAGTCCTTGAAGGTGGAAAGAAGATAAAGTGACTTAGTAGATGATGCTTGGAAAATGGCCTTTAGAGAGTGAGATGGTTTTGACAGTGAAGGAGCTGTGAGAGCTTTTGGTTGTCTGGTTGCCTTTAGAAAAAAAAAGCTGTCTATCCTGAGTTATTTTGGAATACACTGGGAGTTAGGAAGAAATGTGTGCTGATGCTCAAGGGACCTGCTGACTGACTGGGTGTTTTGAAGATGGGAGAAGTAGACAGTTGAGATTTGAGTGGTGTGATCGTCAGCAGAGCTGTGCACAACTGAAGTTGTGTTCAGATTAGGGAATTACTCTGGGGAGATAATGCACAGGGAATGACCACAGTCACTAAGGCCTGTACACCTTGAGTGATGCCAGTGTCTCTAAGGGACAGGATCCCGAGATGATACTGTAATACAACACTGAATTGAAAGGTCCTGTGATGAGTAGAGAGACTGAAAAGGATTGACTTGCTGGTGAAGCTTACATAAAAAGTGATAACTAAATATAAAGCTTCTGTTTCTAGCCCTGATCAGATGTAGCATCACCCCTTACAGCTTTGGTATAAGGCAAAAATTGAACCACAAACACCTATGAGAACACCCCTTATATATGAAAAGAGAAGAATTTAGCGTTCAAGAATACTGGTAGTTGTTTATCTTTTAACTTACTTCAGGCAGATGTGTTGAAAGTGTTCCAAAATTCAGCAGTGTCTAGGTGGGTCCCAGTACAGATTGGTTAGGAGGTGGGGTGCTGGCAGATGTACCTTATCAGCTGGTGCTGTGACACAGCATATGCTTAAGGTCACTGCTGCTGTGACATGAATGTATTACACATCAGAGGAGATACCTATTTGTAGTGTGGGAAGACCAGCATTTATGAGGAAAGTGTAGCTTCAAAATAGAAACAAAGAGTAAATTTATCAACAAAGGGGAGGATGGAAGTAAATAAGTGCATAAGTGCAACTATGTAAGGCTTGCTCTACCTTTTAAGAATGCTGCTATTTTCGTGTCTAGGTCAATCTTCATGCACTCTCCTAGATTAATGATCCTGGAAGCGAGTTAGTTCATTGCTGTTGTTGATTGTGGTGTAACATTATCTAATCACCATTAACAAATGTGATAACGGGTCAGTAATTTTTTTGTTGCGCTTCTTGTTCGAGCTGCTTTGCTGTTGTGGGAAAAATTAAACTGACTTGGTAAGGACAATTTAAGCAATTATGACCCTGTTTTCATTAAATGTTAAGAAGTTCCACTGCATGTGAGGGTTACAGCTATGGCAGAAATCCCACCTGCCCTTTACACCCTCTACTGTGTGGCAGAGATGAGTTTCGATAAATACTAAGTTTATTTGGTTTTCATTTTAGATACGACAGTGATGGTTGGTGTCCACCTTTGCCAGTTCAGACCTACCTACATCAGGGCATGGAGGATGAGCTTGAAGAAGATGATGATCGTGTTCCCACACCTCCTGTCCGAGGAGTAGCTTCATCACCTGCCATCTCCTTTGGGCAACAGTCGACTGCAACTCTCACGCCTTCCCCACGAGAAGAGATGCAGCCAATGCTTCAAGCTCACCTTGATGAATTAACAAGGGCTTACCAGTTTGATATAGCAAAGCAGACATGGTAAATGTTTGAAGGGGGCACTCGTGATCTGGGAAATTAAAGTATAATAATAATAATAATAATAATTTATTCTTCTATGACATAAATATTGACCGTATTTAACAACATTTCAGTCATATTTCCAAAGAAGTAAAATGGAAGAAGAAATAGTAAAACTATGTCTGGAGTGTGAAGGCCTTAAACATTAGTAGGTGCTTTTTAGATTGTAGTGCTTGGTAATAAGTTGTATCTTGTCTAAAAGCATGTGAAAACAATGTTCCTCTGAAATTTTACATATGCTCAACTAAGTAGTTAGCACCCACCTACTGACAGCTTTTATACATTCAAGAGTACTCTCTCTTCAGGCTAGCAAACGATATGGATTTTTTAGGATTTTCAAAAATAATGAGATTCTAAATTCCTGAAAATCATTGAAAATAATGATAGTCACTTGAAATAGCACTAGAGCAGCTTTTACACGGTGTCACATGAGAATGAAGCATTTGCATCTCTGACTGTAGTTTGAAATACCATGAGAATTTCTGATTCATAGGAAAAACCCAGAAACAGTGGGAAGAAAGTTGTTAGTATTTACAAAATGGATCTAGTGTTTTAGAGTGCTTTATGCCTATTTAAAGGAAGAGCAAGCAAATACCACAGTAACATTTCCCCTGCAAAACAAACAGAAGCAATCTCTTCAGGGACTGAAAAAAGAACTTGTCAAGTGCACCAGGCTGGGGATGCGGTGAAGGTCAGTTGCTTCCTGGATGTTCCCTAAGCAGCAGTTGTCCTTTTACAACTTTTCTGCTCAGACAAAGCCCGTGAATCTCAGAGGAGAGGAGCAGAGCTAGTTACTGAATGGCACACTGCCAGCAGAGGAGCAGCAGCCTTTCTTCGCTGGTAAATAAAGCCACAAAGTTATTCAGCTTGAGCTCCCGTAAATAGATCAGGCAGGTAGGCAGGCGGTGCCAAATCAAAGCCAGCTGTTTTCCCTGGACACCGTGGAAGCCTGGAGGCTTGTCTGCAATCTGCACTCAATCAACAGGGTACTTTGGTCCCGCTGCAGTGCCACGCTGCCAAGCACGGACCCCGGCCTGCCTGTGGGACAGGCCCAAATCCCAGGCAGCAGCTAGACCTGGCCTACTGAAGGTAGCTGACTTCTGAGCCAGCACACAGATGCACACCCTGCCAGCACAGTGACTCGCTGCTGCATTTTGCAGCTGTTACCCTTTCTACGCCCTACAAACCTCAGGTTCCAGTCCAGGCACCGATAATGGAGTAGGACACTGCAGCAAAGCCTCTTGCAGCTGACAGGAAAGGTCTTGCTCCCTCTTTGGAGAAATGAAAATTGATTGGGAACTTTCATAATGCGCTTAGGAATATACAGATTTTAATGTTGCTCTTGAGTAAGGTCACAGTAATTGAGCTTGAAACTATAGGGAAAAAAAAATCAAGGAGATAACTTTTTTTCATACTGAGACCTTATAGGTATTGGAGTAAATATTGAGGGTTGCAAATACAAGTGATTTTTGTGCAATGGCATTGTTGAATGCTTTTATATTGTTTGGCTGGACATGTGTCGTGCTGCTCAAAGTCAGTAGAAAGTTCTCCATTGCTTTAACTGGGAAGGGAGATTTCTTAGTTTTCTTTTCACAAAGTTAACCTGTCCAGTGTAGAGAGAGGGGAAGGCGAAGCAGAAAGATGAGACCTGTCAAGTAGGTTACTGTGGGAGTAACAGCAGAGAAATATAGAGAACAGACAACTAGGAATTTAAGAAAGAGCACATTAGAGATTACTGGAAAAGTACATAATCATTATGGCCTTGATCCAGCAAATCACTTAAGTATATGCTTAACTACAAGTACATGAGAAATTGACTTCAATTGTTCTATCACAAGCTTAACATTAAGCATATACTTAAGCATTTTGCTTGATTGGGAGCTAATCACACTGTTTATTGAGGGTTAGTTAGATGGTAGTGCCCTTTAGCACAGTGTTTTGAACACTGCATAGCTAAGAACCTGGTGTCCAGGAAGAAAAGTATTCAAGAACTGCTAATCAGAAGGGGGGTTGTATATTGAAAAGGAAACATTTGCTCTGCAAATAGGTTTCAGAATAAGCTATAAGTTAAAACCTACAGAGCGGTGGAGATTGATTCCAGTGGTACTTAAGATTTACTGTGACATTCTCATATCTGATAGATTTACATTATGGGGGCAGGGGAAAAGCTCAATGAATAAAAAGAGAATTACTGTACTCATTGAGTGTAGGCAGTAATACAGCACAAAGTTTTCACTGAAAATATAGTAAAGCACAGAACCAAACATGTGACAGCTGTAATTTTTTTCTGTTATACTGATGTCCAAGCAAGAGAGCAGCAGAATCCTGGGTCCCATCCAGAGTGCTGCCGATTTGAATCAGGCCATGGCACCTCATGTACACTCACCCAAGGATTCCTACGTGCCTAAGTTAGCAATTTTAAGCATGGTGCATGCTCTTATGCCAAGGCCAGTCATGCCTGGGTCCCCTGGCACAGCTTGTGGTGTACCTGTTGTGGTGTGGGGAATGCTGCTTTGAAAGCTGATGGTGTTGTTTTCCTCTGTATCCTCTCAGAGACCAGGCAAATGAGACTCCAAATCCCATGGTTGCCTTTGGCCATTTAGCTATCCTGTGGTTTTTTTTTTTTTTATCTTTGTTTTTCTTTTTTTTTATTTGTAACTGCTGCATACAGTAATTTCACACATGCATGCCCTAATACTGCTGCAATTAAATCAATTAAACTGCTTGGAATAAAGCAAAATGAAAAGGCCTCACTGATAATGTGTTCACTGGGCTTGAAAATTTCTCCTGTCCTGCTGGCCATTTCCTCCTCCTTAGGGTGACTTCTGCTTCAGGGCACTGTGTCTGTTTGAGCAGAAGGAGTGAAATTTAAGTTTGGTTCAATGTGTGATTTCCAAGGTGGAATATTGGGTGAGACACTTAAATGCTAGGCTGGGATTCAGAATTGTGCTTTTCTGTGGGTTTCCTACCTGATTTATGCAGCCTCTGTGTATATCGCTCTTCGTCTGTAAAAGGACAGTCTTGACCTTCCCCATCCTAGAGGAGGAGAAGTATATTTAAGACTGGAAAGTGTGCAGGTACTCTGGTATTAGAAGCTATGGTGAATAACTGAACTGTCTTTTCTTGAGTTTAACCTAACAAGCACATTTTGTAAATCCACTTCAGGACCTGTTGAAAAGCGTGTATTTTGTTGACCCTGGGGTACAAAGTCTCATCCACTCTGATAACTTTTCCTGTTTGTTTGTGCAGGCACATCCAAAGCAATACACAACCTCCTCAGGCTCCCGTTCCTCCCCTAGGATACGTATCTGGAAACCTTATTTCAGATTTGGAAACAGATGTTCCAGACGAGGATGATGATGAAGATGATATTGAAGAAGAAACTGTAGAAATCAGTAGGCCACTAAGAGGTCTAGAACATACTCCAGGCTCCAGTATGGACAATCTAGACAGCTCTGTGACAGGTAACAAAACACAGTTAACAGTGACACCAACTTGTTCCTAACAGCAAAATACATCATCGGTCCAAAACTTTCTAAGTGAAAATTGATTCCACTCTATTTCTGTAACGTTTAAAATGTGTTAATACTAAACATTAAAGTTAAAGAAGGATTTGGGAATACTTTGCTTTGCTGCAAAATGATAAGAAAATTCATGAATTTTAAAAAGCTTTAAAGACTTGAAAGAAAACTCAATTATATCTTAGCTTTCATGAAAAGTTCATTCTACTAGAGAAGCAAGGCAGTTACATAAAAAGGAGGGGGGAGACCTCAGCTTAGGAATATATATTTTATAAATCAGAAGCAGCATAAAAATGTTATCTTAAAGCACTTTCAGATATTTTGCTGGGAAAATGCTTTCCTAGATGAACATAAGGAAGTTAAAGACTTCAGAGTAAGTGTGGTTAGATCACCACAATATTTATTTCTAGACTAAATGTAACATTTATGTAGGAAAATGTGTATTTTAAACCTACTTTGTGTTGCTGAATTTAGTAATTGTTCCTTTTCAGTAAAGCTATAAAATTATTCTGACCGTCCTTCCCTCACTGCTTCTTGCCCTTTGCATGACTTGGAAAGCTCCAACATCACCAAAGGGGATCCAGAAAGCCATGCTAAACTAATGCACAGGATCTGAATGAATAAAATGGCTGTTGGAGAAATGTAGACAGTGAAAGACATTTGGTTTTAAAATACATAATGTCCTTTTTTTAAGCATCAGTGTATTTCCCTTTCTGTTGAACTTGGGCCTCTATGTGATGTAGTGTGTCCATAAGGTGCAGGGGTACTAAAGACCCAAATGTCCCAAATGTCCCAGTGTCCATAGCTCATGAAAGCTAGTGGGTGCTGCTTCAGTCTTTGATCTCAGCAGGCAAATACTGATTGTTAGTTGTACCTTAAGGGAGACTTGTTCAGTACAACTTACTACCATAGTGCCACTGAATTCCATCTCATTGTTCTGGACCTTTGAAATTCCAAGGGTTGCTATTCTGAAAACACTGGGCAAATATGACAGTGATGGAGCATCAATACCTATAAATTTTCTTCCTTTTCCCTTGTTGAATGAAATAGTGTGTAGTTTAATCCCACTTTCCAGGTTTTCCTTCACCCTTGGGCCAGACTTCTTACCGATCTAATTAAGATTTAAGAATTGTATCTCTGCTGCTATGATTTGAAACCCAGATTCAACTGAAGGCCATAGAGTTAAAGTTTAAATCCCTGAATTGAGAAGGTTAACTTATTAGTGCATGAGTATGTTAAGTCACTTTGCTTGAATTTCCAGCATAATCTCCTTCGGGCTATAATTCTGCATATTTTTGCATATTTCACTAATGGCTTAGAAGTCTTTCCATTAGGAATGCAGTAGGAGTTTTGCAGTGGTAATACAGCAATAAATAAAAAAAATTGAGTTTGTATATCTTTTTCATTTGGTATATATTAATATGCCAATGTTTATGTATCTGTAAATCAGAAAATTATTTCACATTTGCATTTTCGCCTGATATTTTGGACCACCATACCTAGAGCAAAAAAGGAATAGCTGTATTCCTTCTCCAAGTTGTACACTTTTGTGTTTATTACAATTTAACCTTTTATGAATAATATTCAAGTTTCTTATAGTATTTATAAATCTTGTTGTATTATTGGGCTGTAATTATTGGAGTGTTAAAAACTTCCTGCTGTGTTATTTTAGAAGAAATTGGGCAGAACCTGATTATGTAGACTGGGAGTGTACTTAAGGTGATTTAGTGCACTCCCACTCATCACCACCACTATCTTGATGTGGCCTCATCCAGGTGAAAATTAAGGGTTTCCTTTTGCTTTTTCTTTTGGTTGTTTAATTACTAGCTGGATCTGTTCCTTGATCTGGTTCACCGCATGGCAAGGTGTGTGCTGGCACTGCAGGAAGGGAATGTGCAGCTGGAAGGGAAGCAGGATGATAGATTGCCCCTATAGCATATAGCCAATGCTTAGATTGACTTAAAACAATTAGGGAACTACAGCCTTACAAAAATACACCCAGAGTGTTATTCTAAATTATCTGTAAAATGGCAAAATATACAAATAACAAAACTGCTTCTGTTTTCCTCATTTAATACATGGGTAAAACCCTGATTTTAGGACGGTTTGTTTTGGGATTGGTTTTTTTTTAGGGGTGGAAGGAAACTGCTTATTATACTTGGGATTTTTTCTTTTTTTCCAAAAGAGAATCCTAATTTTTGTTTATCTGTTTCTGTTAACTCTTCCAGGCTGCGTTTACTCTTGTTAATGAGGGTATAGCAAATTGCTTTCATTGTTTCCAAGCTGCTTCTCATTCTTCAATTTGATTGCTTTTAAAATACTGTAGAACAACTAAATTGTTTTATTGCACTGAGAATATATAAGCTACTTCTTTTCACAGAGCCTTTGGTGACTTAAACCAGCATTTTTCTAGGAATTTTTAGACCATGTTTTCACTTTCCAAAACATTATATTTGAAAATAGAGACAAATAAGAATATCTGACCCAGATGAAGCAATATTTCTGTTCATTTTGAAGTACCTTGTGAGTTCGGTGTTTGTGAGAAATCTATACTGACATCCCTTGGTCCAGATTTCCCTCAAATAGAGTTGTTGTGCAGGGAGCAGGGCAAGTTTCCTCACCCTGTACTGTTAGCATGCTCTTGGATTGAAATGGTGCTTTGTTCTTCCTGACTGAGCTGAGACCCAGGATTTCACTGAGTGCCAAAATGTGGGATTCTCTGAGGGGAAACCCTGGCACTGCGTGAGCCAAAGCGCAAACTACTAAATTCCTCTGACACCACAGCGTTGCTGCTTTAAACTGTTTAAAAGTCAAGTTGTCTTCCAGGCCCTCGAGTTTTAGTTACAGCTAGCTGAAGATTCAGACAAGGATTTAATCTGCGCTATTAAGCTTTTCTCTTCGCAGGTGGCAGAGACATAATGTTGACGTGTATAATAAAGTGCAAAGAAAGGAGGAGTGCACAGTGACTGTATCTTAACATTCTCCAGATATGGCAAAGAGAACTCGGGGAGGGAGGTTTGGATTTGAATGTTTGTGGGATGGAATATGAAATTAAAGCCGAAGTTTTTCTCCATTTCCAGTTTGTTAGGATACTTAGTCACTGCTTCTGCTTTAAAAAAAAAAAAAAAAAAAAAAAAAAGAACTGGAAAGCAGTGGTAAAACTTTTGCTCGCTTGACTTTTAATTCACGATTATTTAGGGTTGTTTTTTGCTTTTGGAGACACAATGAAATATGTATTTTCTTTTGCTTATGTTTAATGTTTGCCTTAATAATGAATTGTTGTGCAGAGTTATGGCATGAATGATCACAAAGAGTCTGTTATATTATTCTACTTTAATAGATTTAATTAATTGCATGTGATGACCGTATAAGAAATTAATTTGCCTCTCACTGAAATCACTAAGAACAAGGCTAGTTTTTTCAGATTTAAGTATTATGGTTTGGGGGTTTTCTTTCCCCTCTCCTTATTTTCTCCTCCCACAGCACCACCAGTGAAGCTGATAGTGCAAGCTGGACTGTTGTATCTTCAGTCCTGGTGCATCTTAACTGAGGGGAGAGATACACCCATCAACTAGCATGGAAATTAGAACGAGCCCTCTTTTACCTAACTGGTGCAAACTGACATAAACAGAGAGATATTCTTGTAAACAGTGCCACAGCAAATGGATAACAACTTTTTTTTTTCAATAGAATTGTATAGATCTGAAATTATAAAAATCTCTGTAGGCTGTATGGCTCAGCAAGAAAGAATATCCCTTATTTGACATGTTTAGGTCTTGGTTAAAAGAATCACTGATCACTGTCTGCGTGGAAAAAGTTTTTCATTCGTTGTGTCTGAGAACAAATGGAATAATTCTTGAAAATTGCACAATATCATTTTCATGAGCCATATTTTACCATGGCAGAGCTCAATATTTATATTGATTTGCTTTGGGATACCTATTGCAAAAAAATTCTATTTTATAAGCAGTTAAGACAGATTGCTTTTAATCGGTAGAATATGTTTCATGGATTAAATATGTGCTCAGAAAATAGGAAACTGCTACTTTTTGTATCTCATAAAAATGGTAATGCAACAATTAGCAGGGTCATATTATAAAGCACAGACTTTACTCTAGCTTAATGGATCTAGGGATATGCATTCATCAGCAACGATAGATTTAGCATAAAATGACATGTAAATGAATTGATGACTGATCATAAATTAATTTTAGTGCTGAAGAAGTAATAGAGACACAGCAAGATGCCACTTTATCATAGTATTTTACTGCTCAGCAACATTTGAGCAACTACTTAATGTTCTGTGTGCATTTCTTTTCTAACAGCTTGAATAAATTTGAGAATTTTTTTGTGCCTTTCAGCAATATGGAAACCAAAAAAATCTCAAAAGATGGAATGCAAACAGAAATAAATTTGGCTAAGTGACATAAATTCATTTTTCATTAGATGTTTATGAAGGGCATTAAGTATGGTTGGACCTGTGAAGTGCCAAATATGTATGCATGATTTTTACCTCCTTTTGTTTAGTGTTTCCTGCCTCAAAATAAAAAATTTAAAACTTAGGGGTTTATTCCAGGCGTATATATTTAAATATTCAGGCATTTATGGTGAATTATAATGTAAAGTATGAGAAAAAGTCTAGTTTTTGAAGTGTGGTCATAATTATATTCTGCATTTATATATCCTTCTATTATTGATTCTTATTTTAGTGGTACAATGACTATTTCCCCTTCTATTCCATCATTTTCACCAAAATCAGTGGGCATTTCTTCTTTGTAATCATGGCAGTGGTTAGACATATCTAAGAGAGGATAATGTCTTTCTCCTCTACAAAGGCTAAGAGAAATCTGTAACTGATTTCAGCTGAAGTAGCATCAGTCCCCAGGAGTGTCACCCATTCTTCACAAACTTAAGGAGTCCATCCCTGTTCCATCAAAAAAAAAAAACCAAACCTGCAGGGGAGCAGGGACCCAACATTACTCTGTGCTTGGTGGTCTTGTGAAGGAAAGCACATGTGCACACACATGAAAGTGCCAGTGACATCATCTCTTCAGTTTAAGCAAGCACATAGAGTTTGATACGTACAGAAAAGTATTTTCAGAAGCGTTAGCTTTGTTGTGAGCAGCTTCTGTTTCACAAGTGCATTAGATATTTTTATATTTAAGTAAAGCAACAGCACACTTTACAAAGAAAAATAGCATTTTTATTGCCAGCAAAATGCCGCTAAAAGTGGTAGCAATGCAGTCTACTAGAAGCTAGCACCTCTATTCCCCTCACCTTTCCCTGAGAGCCAGGATGCTTTCTGTTTGCATTAGCACCAAGAGATATTTTATGGAGCAAGAAAACAGAGTTCAACTTTTCACGGGGCTGATTTTGTTCTGCATAAAGCATTTACTGCTGCTGTCAGCAAGAGTAAAATTTACAGTTGCCAGAAAGCGTAAAAACTCAAATGTGCTCTTGGAAAACACATAGTGAGCTGCATGTAAAGGAGACACTAAAAGCCTGTTTCATCCCATTTCAAAATTCACAGTTGATCTGAAAGGAACGTCAGCATCTCTTATTTTGCCTTTATTCAGAGAAAAACAAATGTGCATCTGATTTGGAAAACAAGAGGCCAGTGGATGCCTTTAAACGAGTAGTCACCACGTGTGCTGTGTTAACACAGCTGTGTGGTGGCCTGAGGTGCCCAGGCTGGGCTCCAGCACTCCCATACCTTCTGGGCAATGTCCACACCTCTACAGGTCAAAGCAAAAAGGGTTTCACTGCTGCGAGTTTTAGTGTGGAAAAGAAATTGTTTATGCAGGGAAACCGAATAGCTCTGGAATCAGTAATGTAGAGATTTTGCCGTCAGCTCCCTGGTCACACACAGCTGCGGGTGCTGTGTGTGTCTCAGGGTATCTTGCTGACTTCAGCAGTTATAAAAAGTTTTGCCTCTGCTTCCAGCAACCATAAGTTTCATATAGAATCATAGAAGGGTTTGGGTTTGAAAGGACCTTTAAAGGTCATCTTGTTCCAACCCCTCTGCCATGGACAGGGACACCTTCCTCTAAACCAGGTTGCTCCAAGCCCCATCCAACCTGGCCTTGAACACTCCAGTAATGGACCATCCACAGCTTCTCTGGGCATCCTGTTCCAGTGCCTCACCACCCTCATAGTGAAGAATTTTTTCTCAATATTCAGTCTAAACCTACTCTCAGTTTAAAAACGTTGCCTCTTGTCCTGCCACTGTAGACCTTATCAGAAAGTCTCTCTCTGTCTTTTCTATAAACCCCCTTTATATATTGAAAGGCTGCAGTGAGATCTCCCCAGAGCCTTCTCTTCTCCAGGCTGAACAACCCCAGCTCTCTCAGCCTACCTTCACAGGAGAGGTTTTCCAGCACTCTAATAATTTTGGTGGCTCTTCTCTGGACACACTCTCACTTAGATTTCATATCTATCTTGTGCTGGGGATGCCAGAACTGGATGCAGAACTCTAGGTGAGGTCATGATGTCCCAGTAAAACTCACATCCCTGCAAGAACTGACTTCCAGCCTGACAGGTCACTCCTAGCACAGCTGCTGGAGAAGAGGGCAAGGGAGAGTGATCTCTGGGCAGAGCACACTATTCCCAGCCTTGATAATACTTGTTGTTCATGGGAATGTGAAGGAGTTGAGGAACAGGACTTTTTTATAGGGTTAGCCTACAAAACTGGCAGTCTGATAACAGCAGTTAAAATTTAGGTATTTTTAGAAAAAGTGGCATATCTATGAGTGTGTAGAACACACACTAGGAAGAGAGCATTATGGGCTTTTACAGATTTTTAATATATTTCATACTGAAAACGTGGCCTATTTTTTTTTGATTGAATGACAATCCAGTCCTTCAAAGAACAGATGAAAAATAGCTACTAGACATACCCTGAAGGTGTCCTATCCCAATTGCAATGTGTAGTGTATGTTGTGTAACAGCTGAGGGGTTAGCAAATGGACAGAGCAACATGAGCAAGCAGAAATTAAAAGTTCTTTTAAAATATCCATAGTCTTATGGACTATGATACCAAAAACAATAACTATTCTGTACAGTATATGGTTTTATATGTCTCTACATAGACAGTAGAACATATCACACAAAACCCTTGGGCTCTGAAACTAATGGGATACATGTTAAATTTTTAGCATCCAAGTATCGTCCTTTGATATCTGCAGCTCTAGTTATATTTTTCATGTTTCAGCTTGTGCTTACATATTTTGCAGAACATGTTGATAAGCGATTGTTTGAAAATGTCCTCAGCTATAGCATTTCATTTTCTTACATCTTCATGAAGTGTTTTATCTGTAGTATCTCTTTTCATACATCATCAGTAACTGTTGCTAAGCCTCTTTACTGCTCATTCTCTATGATATCCTATCGCACTTTGATTGTTAGTTCACAAACTGTCTTCTCGGAGGAAATTTAGTTTTAGCCTTCTCTTGCTGCTGTCTGGGCTCCCTTACATCTGTCTGCATCAGGTCGAGTCTGTTTGGAAAATAACAATTTTATGTGTGCTCTTGGCAAGCAGAATCGAACTCTGTCACTCTCTGTTGCACTTAACACACTTTCTGCCTGTCAGACCTCCACAGACCTCTTCTGTTTCTTTTCTTGTATCTTAAGAGTGCATGGGCTTTTGTTATTATAGCCTGCCACTTCACTGACATTAAAAGCTTTGGTCACTGCAGCATCGCAAAATAACCCATTGTTCTTGGGCTTTGTGGTGCAACATGGTACTGAATTCCAGTATTCATGTATTGTGCTCATGACTCGTTTTTGCTGGATGTTTTTCATATTTGACACCACCTTTAGTTAATTAGCCTATCAGTTTGATGCTAACAAGCAGGTCATTATTGATTTACTACTTAGCAGTTTTAAATACCATAATACTTTCTTGCACGTGGATTGGAAACAGGCTACTGTTCTGCTACACATCTTATGTACATTTGCAAAGTTCGGCTGTGCTGACTGAGTACTTAAATCAGGGCCATGATTTATCCTTCCCCACGTGTCTTCATGTCTTTGATAACCAGTTCTCTACAGATTCTCGTGGGTTCACTGGGCTTTTTTGGGGGCTTTTTTTTTTTTTTTTCAACATATGCATGTGACTGTTGTTAAAAAGCAGATTTCAGATATTTCAAGATAGGTGCCCGTACTACGTCAGAACAATATGCTGTGTCTACATAGCACCATCCAATGCCCTGCAGCAGCTCAGGTCCCAAAAGTATTCTGCAGCTCAACTGGACTTGGTAACTCATTAGCACGGCTGCTCTATTCCTGGAAAATATGAATGAAGAGCAAATAAGATTCCTTCACTGTTTTGCTCTTTACATTCTAGTTATGTCAAGATTTCCATATTTCTTTCATATGCTTTTTCAGGTGTCTGGTTTTCTGACTGCATTTTTATGATGTTGTTATCACTTTCATCTCCTGCAGTGATGGTAACGCATGGTTAGAAGGTTCCATGGGGCCAACATTGGCTTGGTGACTGACTCAGTATTAAATTTGAGCATATATTTGCTCTGCTGCTGAATCTTAATTATTTCTAACCTTTCAAAAAAGTTACTTTAGTCCACTAGAATGAACTACTTTAGATCAGTTTTCTTCAGGCCATTGAAACTGCTTATTTATTTTAAAATTTTGGTTGACAAAATGACACAAAGCCAGTCTTGTTCAGGATAGCTCTTGAAGCCTAGGTCTGACTTTAGCCATATCTATCAAGACTTACACGTGTGCTGTCCAAAATTAAAACTTGGTTTTGCAAATATCAAACTAGATACTGGTTTGTAATAAGTCAAGTGAAAAAACCCCAAAACAATCACATTCATTTCGATTCCAAAAATGATCTATTAACTTTCAAAAGAATTTATTATGGAGCTTTCACATTTGTAGATAATATGTATAATTCTGTTTACAGGATCAAAGCTGTATGGAGCAATCTATGAATGAGACTCCTCTTAGCTTTGATAGTGCTTTATTATAACAAACTCCGTCAGATAAACTGTGGGTTTCGTGTTGGGAAAGGACATACTAAGTGGGTCTTTAAACTTTAGCTGAATATTGTTCTTTTGTACCAAGCTCTGTCAAATGAATTTTGGGTTTCCTGTTGAGAAAGGACATATTAATTGGGTCTTTAAGCTTTAGATGATCAAAAGGTATCAAATGTGCACAACTCACTAGACCCCTACATTTGTTTTTAGGTTCAATGGTAAATGGATGGGGTTCTGCGTCTGATGAGGACCGTAACTTTTCTAGTCATAGATCTAGTGTAGGTAGCTCCTCAGATGACTCGATCTTTACCAGCGGCAGTTTTGCACAAGCACTGGTTGCAGCAGCAGATAAAGCTGGGTTTAGGCTGGATGGAACCAGCCTGACAAGAACAGGTTTGTAGACTCAAAGTTGATGCTCTCTGCATGAAGGGTGTCTCTGCCTACTCTTCTCTTCTCTCAGTGAACCCACGTCTCACTCTTGTCTAACGTGCATGGAATAAGGTGGATGGAGATATTTTTATCGGTATACTTTCAATGAAACTTTGCATTGTGTTTCATTTTTGGTCGTTTGAAGTAGTGAATAGCACAAGCTTTTAATCTGCACCTTCGGTCTGCTGCAGTTTCCCTCTCTACTGACTCTGCTGTGTATTTACTGACAAATGCTCCATTTAATATTTCAGTGAAGAAATCACTAATTCTGCCTTGCAGTTTTGATGATCTTATTTTCTGAAAAATCTCCTCACAATCATTCACATTTCCAGTGATGAAGATCATATTTAAACTATAATCTCCATTCCTGCTCTTCTGTTGCATTTCTTCTCTGAAAAGTGTATTTTTCTGTGAAGTTTTTCTAAGCATGGGGTGAATTGGTGTGCTTTTATTGTTAACATTGCAAACTGTTTAAAATCTTTATTAATAGCTGATTTAAAAATACTTGATTCAATAAGTTAATATATTTTGATAACATTTAATTTTAGTTATGCCAACTGAGTCTGCCAAGTAAAATGTAAAAAAGGTAAAGTGACTATTGCTTTTGAAAACAGCCAACCTTCTAAAATTAATTAATGAAAACTAAATATAATTTAGTTCGTATTTTTAAAGCTTCTTATGTCTTATTTCTATTTAAAAAAAAAGATAAGGAAAAATGATCTTTAAATATTCTGGAGGGGGAAAAATGTATTGCATTTTCTTAGTCTTATAAAAAAAGCCAAAATTACTAATTATTTGAATCCACAAATCTAATAGCAAAGTATGAGCTTGGATCATATTTTCTTATACTTCCTCAGCCAATTCCTGCCCACAAGTCCCATAACGTTCCTATCATTTAAATTTTTTCACTATTAGTCTGGTGTGAAGTCTCTGCTCCAGTAATATGTGTACACTTGTGAGAAATGTCTCACATGTTAGGCCTGAAAAATGTCACTCTTTCTGCATGCAATGACTTCATGGCAAATACCACCTTTTAAGGACATTAGGAATAATGAGAAGAGTTGATGGCAAAGTCCTATGTCTCCAACAATCTAGAAGGTGAACACATACGGCTTTTCCCAAACCACTGGGACTTTGGCCACTGACTTTGGTCATACACAGTCATCCTTAAAAGGTACTTATTTCACCATAGTTGAACCCCTCAGTAGCTTCTTACACTGTGGAAAACTGACTGAGTAAATCTGCCTCATCCTTTGATAAAAAACAAAGCAAGACGAAGCAAGAACCGATATAGACCTTCACTCATCTGCTATGGGCACATATGGCCAAACTATAATTTAAAATACACTATTGGGCTTGAAGAGTCTTCTAAGTCTGAAAAGAAAGGAGCAAATCCTTCCTAAACTTTTTTTTTTTGTGGTGTTCTTGGTGTCAGTCAAAGTTAATGCAACAATTCACCCAAAGTTAATGTCACTTCTATCAGGCCTTTGAGAAGTGCAGTTCCCACCATAAACACATCCATAAGAGAAGTAGATAGGCACACAGACACATAGATATTTAAAAATAAATATGATTTCTCATTGTAGCAATGTGAATGGAAAATACAATGAAAGGCTGAGAGCCCTCTTGTCAGTTGTATTTTTCCAGCTTAATTAGGTCACGAATGCTCTTAAACTGAGTGCACGTGTGTAATTCCTCAGACAGACTATTAGAGTGTAGGGTACAAAAAAGTATCTAGCAGTTGTGGTAGAGTCTTTATGATTATTACCCTCTTACTCTCTTAATGATCCAGCAGGCAAAATGGAAATAAAATAAAACCCACATGTAAACAAACAGCCCTCCCCTCTTTTTCCTCACAGAAACCTCAGCAAATGGAAATAGCTCCCCGGTGCTCACTGCAGTTTCATTAGGAGATGATGCCTCCCGGGGTAGTGGGGATCAGTCAGACGTGCCTGGTATGGCCCAGCAGCCCCCACAGTGCAAAGTGGTGTCTAGCAGTGGAGAAGCAGCAGTGTTATTTCTGTTCATTGCTCTGGAGGGAGTCTGAAGGTCCTGACTCTTTACTCCTTTGCAGTCTGGACAGTTATTTTCACCCATGTAGAACAGCTGTGAAATGTTCTCACTGGTAGATACTAAAGGAGATGTCCAACTTGATGGCCTCACGTGGGAATGTTTGATTGCCAAGCGTAAGAGGTGCTGGTAAATCCAGATGCAATGTGTCTCTCCTGCCAGGCACTTTGATTCCAGTTTCCAGAAGCCATCATGTGATTTGCCATGAAGTTCAGACAGATTTCCTTTTTAACACCCTTGGGAAATTAAATCAAGAATTAGTGGATTCATCCTTGTCTCCACTTACACACACTAAATCTGCTACAAAGTCTGACACTGCTCAGCAGCTCTTACTGGAAGGGCTGCATACCAATACAAGATGCTGTAATCAGTTATTAAGTGCATTGAAAAATGTGTTTGGGGAGTCTGCACATCATTTGTGTTTGCCCCATGTCTGATTTAGGTCAGTGCTATTTATTTTGCCTCTTTTTCATGAAGGGATAAAAGAGAAGGTTTGGCATCTATTTCTTTTTAAAACCAATGTTCTGAATGAAAAATCACATTTCTTTAGTCAAAAGAATAAGTGTGAAAAATCTGCATCCTACACTCACTAGTTGCACTTGCATGTGAGTTTATTTTTACAAAACATCTGTACAGTGTACTGTGAGCTGAGATGGAATTTCAGGCTCATGTCTCAATTTCTTCGCATTACTGATTTTTTTTTATTTTTAAATGAAATTTTAATATTTTTTCTGTGTTCATCTGCTGTTTTATCCTTATCCATGAAAAAAGGGCTTGATCACTTGTCTTTGTCTGGCTGCAGCTGTGCCAGCTATAGAGGTTAATGTTTCCAGCCTCCCCCCAAATGTTTGTTACTGCTTTTTTCCCAGCTCCAGAATTAGCTGCTCGGGTGGGTGTTCTGTAACCCACTTCAGTCAAAATGAGCCAGGTTAGCAAAGGCATTGATTTCAGATCATTTAAGTTCAACTGGGCTTTTTTTGGTAGAGGAGGGTTAGGGAATGTCCACTTGAGGGGTTCTAATGTGGTAACCTCCAACAGCTAGCAGAGCCACAGCTGGGAGACAAACCTGCCTGGGAGCAGTGTCCCCCTCAGGGTGCACATCAGTCAGAAGGCAAGCCTGAGAGAATCAGGAAATCTCTGAAGTCAAACAGTGACATATTATTCTAACATGTATATATTAATGTGAAACACCATGTTAGAGAGATTACGACTGCTTTTTCACTTTGCCCTCTTTGCGCTGGGAATATTTCAAACAATATGCTGAGCTGCATATTACTCCTGATTAAGCTTATCTAGATCAGGTCATATGTGACAGCATGTTGGAAGTAAGAGCATCTGTTGAAACGATTTGCAGCAGGGTAGACCCAGGTCTAAGTTAACTAGAAGATAAAAAAACCTCCTTACTAGCTTGAGCTCAGTTGACCAGAAAAATACCAACAGCCATTTTGCCACTTTCCATCAACTCTAACACCATTTGGGCCTACAGCAACATTAAAAGAGCAGAAAGTCTGACTGACTTATACATTTTCCACTGCAGATAGGATTAAAACATGTAAGAATTTTAATTACCAGTTTTAAACAAATTAAAATGTTAACATCCCCAAGATACTTGGCAAGAACAACCTACACATGAACAAAAGGAAGTAAAAGATGGTGATCTTTAGTTTTCATCAGTTGGCATTAAACATTAAGCCTAGTTAAGTTAACTGAATAAAAACATCAGAATAAGAGGAAGTGAATGTAGTAAATGAACTGCGCTGCTCCTACAGTTCCTGCATGAGGCTTTTAATCATCTGCTCCATAGAACAGCATCAAAGATATTTTTTAAGAGACATCATGTAACTTGGATAGTTTGTCTGTATGTGTGTATATATATATATTTATATTTATATATATATATGAGGAATAAATTCAGTGAGAATACATTTTTTTTTAACATATAAAAGTGCTGAAAATGAACAGGAAAATGTTAGCATTTCAACATACCCCCATTTTTATTTCTTGAGAAAAGAGAGCCCTTAAATATACAAACCTACCCTGCTACATAGCTTGCAAAATCAGTTATGTTTATCTCACTGGAGTTACTCCAGATATACAGTGCATATGGGAGCCCCTAAAATGAGAATCTGGCTCGGTAAACATGAAAGTGGAAGGCAGGAGGAGATAAATTTGATATGATTGCAGAACTGTTTTCCTTCCCTGCTCAAGGCTGAGGAGTTGTTATGACACATCTGTTCAGCACACAGAGCAGGCAGGAATTAGATGGCATACAGTAGTTTTATCACAACAGATGGAATAATTTTAATTATAAAAGTTAAAGACAAAAGAATGCCCAGTTTATCACTTCGCTTGTTGTGGTGTGTCTTAAAGCAGTTGTCATCAGTGGGAACCTCGAGGGGACACTCGCCTCTGAGAATTAGGCCTGATTTAATGTTTCGGAACAGACATTAATAGAACAGCCCATTTCAAGGCAATAACATTTTTTCATCTGGTTTCTCTTTCTTTCCTTCTTTTTTTTTTTTTTTTTTTTGTAGGCAAAGCATATTCTTCCTCTCAGAGACCTCGGCCGAGCAGTCCTTTTTCTACTGACAGCAACACCAGTGCAGCTGTCAATCAGGGTCAGAGGCCGAGGCCCACTAAAAAACACAAGGGAGGACGGTTGGACCAGCCCCCTTTGCCTCATCGTAGGGAGGGAATCACAGATGGTAAGTGTTGTGGAGAGGGCCCTGATGATAACCTGCAACAAGCAGCTGTGCTGAGTGGGAGAAGGCAGAGCAATCTTTTAAGAAATATAGATTGTAGTGAATTACTGGTTTGGTGTAGTGGGGTCCCCAGGTTGCCTTGTGAGCAATATTGCAACGCTGGCAGTGTGGAGCTTGGTAAAGTGAGCCTTCAAGGAGCATTTCTTCATTCCGGATCTGAAACACGTTAGCATCTCTTAGGAGATATCAGATCTCGATATAAATCTTACCCAAAAATGGCTGTGTTGCACAGGAGTTGACATTAAAAAATGGCCTGTGAGTAATTTTACATTAAGTGAAAGTAGCCACCACCAGTAGCAGTGTGCCATGAATTCCTAAGGAGAAGCGTAGAGCCACTCCCGCAGCACTGTTTGCTTTGTGCTGTTTTAGACAGACATTCAACAGCTACAACATGTGCCATGCTTTTCCCATGATTCTGCCTCATGTCTTGTCTGTGCTGCTTCAGTCCTGACATCCGCTGACCTCAGTGACTTTGTTTCCCTCTTTTACATCTCTGCTCCTCTCTGACCACTGCTTCCCATCTGGAAATTTCAGGCTCTTCTAAGATCTGCCGAAGATCAGCTCTGTCTTCCATTATCTTTGTCTACCACTATTGAGTCTGGTAAAAGACACAATTGCTGCCTGCTACTTTTTGAGGAAGACTGCATAGGAAGGTGGCTGGCTGGCCACCTCCTCCTCATTTCTTCTCTTCCTGGCCTTGAACCTGTAGGTGTTGAAATGATCAGAGGGGAGAAAGAGGTGGATGGAAAAACGGCATTAAAGAAACCACTAAGGATATCTGTAATGCCATGCAGGTGGAGATGTGATCACTTCCCTCATGCTGACCCCTCTTTCAGTGTTCAGAGCAGGACAGTTCTGAGAGGTCCCACATACTGTCCCACAGACTGTCCCACATAACTCAGAGGCTGTCATAACCTGATCTGGACCGTGGGAGCGAGTGTGATGCTAATGAGTCTATCCCCCAATCTTAAGTACACCTTGACAAATCTTCTAGTGTATGGGGAAGGTGTAAAAATAAAATTATTAAATTACCTTAGATTTTAGTGTAAGAAACCTTCTTATTCTAGTCAAAATTACTTGAGAATCATAGCATCATAGAATATCACAAGTTGGAAGGAACCGATAAGGATCATCAAGACCAACTCACTCCTTTATCTTCTTTGGACAGGTAATGTAATAAATAGATGTGATAGACAGTATATTTAGATTGATTTTTTTTTTTATAATGCACTATTTATTACTCCAGGTACATGTATAAAATATATTAACATCTTGCAAGGTAGACTGTGACCACCAAAACCACCAGAGGTCTGTTCTCAGTCATGTTATCAGGTATAAAGATTCAATTTTGCAGTATCCTCTGGCAGAATCCATGTTTGCCAGACCACAAAGATGTAGAATAAATTCCAGAAGGGAAAGTCTTCACCAAAGGGGTTATTGTTATATCTCGTGCTCTATGGCTAATTCTCAATGCCATATTATTTGTGGAAACAGTGTAAAGTAGCTTAGATTTTGCTCATATGGATATGAATTGGTTTAAACATTATTACCCTGCCCTTCTGGATGTATTCCAGAGGCCTCTGCTACACAGATCCATTAAATATATGTGTCTGTGAGAACAGTAACTGGAAATCATGAGTGTCACTTGTGGTGCTGGCCATACAGTGTGTGTCCATGTGTTAATCCTTCTGTTTGGCATATCCTGTCACCTGGAACTGTGAGCAATTTGGGCTCCAAATTCTATGTACGTGTGAGTTTGTAGTGTACTCAGTATGGTGGGACCTTAATCCTTCTTTTGAATGCTATTGCTATGGAAATGTTTTACAATAATGTGGGTACCAGAAAGTAATGGGAATCCAGTTCAGGATATGGGACAAATGGAAGTGTGACTCCACTGTGAAATTTGGCATTGTTTTAAATTAGTGAAAGAGATCAGATTTTAGGATTTATCTTAAAAGAGGAATCTCCTATTGTCTTTTATTTAATTTTTATAAAATACTAATCTTACTGGAGTTTCTTTCATGTATTTGAGTCAGAATATCAATTATATACTCTTTCCCTCAACATTTCAGACACGGGCAGTAAACAGATTAATATTTGTCTGTTATAAACCTGGAAGTACTTACTATATGTTCCAAAAATGTATAATGTCCTTGAGCAACAGAGAAACCTTTCCCATTCTGTATTAACACAGGAACAAACAAACACAAATGGTACAGTTTTTCCACTTCAACTCCTACTCTGAATATGAGTCACTAAAGTGTAATGGCAAGTCTGAGTCATAGCTAAATTTGCAAAAGATCATTTGAAATTAAGGAAGCTAAAGGTTGCTGCTGCCACCTGCATGTATGTAAACAATTGAATTTAGGAAACTCTGGTATACAGAAGAAGAGTGATAACTGGATACTCTCTGTGGAATATTGCAGTGAACTTTACAAGAAGAGACAATCCCACTGTGCTTAAGCTACATCTAGAATAAGCAAGCAGGAGAACCTCAGATAGGTCCAGCAATTCTAAACCCTAATCCAGGCCAGCCCCAGGCTGTCATGATTTCAGTGGGAAGCATCACTATATGTTTTCTCCTGTTTTTCAGATGTCTCCAATTCATTCCCTTGTAACTGCTTCCTTGTGGATTTGTCATGTGAGAACATACTTGGTTTGTCAGTTGTTTTCAAATTCCCAAGTTAGATGAGTCCTAGTATCCTGCGTTTAAGTCTCATCACATCCCGGATATCTGTCATTTTAAATTTTCATTGACCAAGTAAGCTCCAGCTATGTCCTTTCTCTGCCCAATCCCATATGCATCCTGAGCACTTCCACCGCGTTAACTGTAACCATGTGGGACAGTGCAAAAGATCTAAGAAGCTGTAATATTTAACACATAGCACACACATCTCAGACTGTGTAAGCATATGAGGGTTCAACTGCATGCTTAATTTTGACAGCAATCCACACAAATCCCCTAAAAGCCTGCTGCTTCATTTTCTTCAGCTGCAGGTCAGAATACTCTAGAGACTGACTCTAAATGGAGTCTTTATATTTGTCTTGCTGTACAACTTGTTTTTTAACTTCCACGTCCTGAAAGACTATGGATACTACAGCAAATCCACAGAGGAAGAATATGTTATGAATCTAACAGATGATGAAAACTTTCATTCTGAGCTCACAGGCCACCATAAAAACAGGAGGTTTTTAGTTCTAGTGCTCAAGGAATAATTTGTTTTCCTGGAAACAATATACTCACAAATTGCAAAACAGTGGAATCTGTCAAATAGTTTGTGGCATGGTAACTGCGTGACTACATTTAAAAGCTCTTCCTTTTCTGAGCATGATATGTTAAAAAAAAAAACAAAAAAAACAAAGAGGAGGCAGAAGGGAAATATGCTTAGGGACTAAAAAGGAGAATTGGAACATAAGACATCTCTTAGTTTTCCCACTGACTTCCTACTGTGTATTAAAAGTCAGTTTTTCCTAAGGTAGATCACTGTAGAGAAGATCCTTACCTTCTGATGTTAGAAAGTGGTTCAGAGGCTTATTAAATGTCACAGTAATTATCATCCCTAGGAAAAGCAATCACTGGCACAGGTAGAAAGGTTTGTCCTTATACTTGTAGGTTCTGTAACTTGCTACTTTTTCCAGTTAATAATGAGAGGCAGTGACAAAGTTTGACTAGCACCTAAATCACTTAGCCAATGCCCTGCCTTCTAACAGAGGGCTGGAGTAATCCCAGGACGAATATCCATTTCCCCCCTATTAGGCACTCTGATGTCCTACAGCTTCTCAATCACAATCCCTCCATTACTAAATCAATAAGACAATCACTCCACCACCACCTCCAGCAATGCACTTATGAATTGCCTCACAGGTTTGATAATCCTGCCATTAGAGGCTTCAAACGATAGTCTGGATGACATCCCACTGGCCTAGAAAGTTACTAGCTCAGTGTGGGTTTTTAGGTATTTTATGTGGCACATGAAAGATAAATGTGATTTAGATGGAAGTAGAGCGATAGTCAGTGTTACCACTCTGGGTATCCTCATTGAAAATCCCACTGAAGTCACTAAATTTCTAAATTCAAAACTTCTCTGAAGTGATTGACATGATGGAATGAGTTGGATTGCCTCTGTGTGGTAATAAATCTGCCTACCAGAGTCTGAGGCTACTAATTCTGCTGATATTCTGTTACCCCTTTACTAGGGGTAGGAGAGGAAAGGAAAGGGAAAGAGAAAGGGAAAGGGAAGACTATGCTCTATGGCACTGGAGAAAGAAACTCATGACTCCAGATACACAAGATTTTTCTGTGTGCCCACGCAAGATAACAGAGAATATTTAGTAATTTACCTAAGGCAGAAGATTTACACTGTGGGATTTACAGAGTTGTAGAGCAAGGAAATAGCCACATTTCCAAATGAAGCTCTCTTCCAGCTTTTATTAAAAAGGACAGGTAGGTGTTACTGTGACAGTCAGCCTGAGGAAGACGGTGAAGAAGCAAACGGTTTAGTCAGGCGAAGGTTGGCTACAATTAGTAACTGTTCTTACAGATCTTCTCAGACATGTGTAACACAGTTCAGTAAGTCTGTACTCAGGCTGGAGACAGCTTATTTTAATTCTATAGTACCTGTAATTCTTCCAGAATTTTGTGAATCTTCATTAGAATGTAAATCTTATTTTTCACTTCAACTCATCCATGGGTCTAGAACAGCCAAAGAGTTTTACAAACATGATGTTTTATTTCACTTCTATGCATAAGTCAGTCTTTATGCTTATTTTGTGGATGGATAAAAGCAAGAATTAGGTTAACATTAGACCAGCAGCATAAGTCTACAGTAGTTCCAGGAGTTGCAGCTAGCTCTAGAACATGGAGAACGATTTAAGTACAAACCTTCTTTCCTTTTAAGTACCTAATTAATAACAACTATTAGATGGCAATTTCTGAAGAAGGGTACTCTGTTTAAAGTTTAATACTGCAATAATTTGAACTTTTTTTTTCTATGATACTACTTGAAAATTTTGTTTATATTGAACGGTAAATATTTTATCTGGGGAAATTGCATAGTCCTATGTCATGTTATGACTGTTTATTGGATTCAATGCATCCCCACAAAGTGCTTATAAATCACAGCTTCAGTAATCTCTATTTCAGATTTCATAAGCAGATGCCAGTGTTGTGGTTCTGTACATTAACTGGTTATGCTCGCAATAAAATCAATTATAAGAAATGCCATTTTGGAAGCCAACACTATAAAGCAATTTCAACATTGGCAAGCTCCCATACCCCCCTGCTTCCACCTACAGTAACTCAAGTATAGTCATTGTCACGAAAGGTCACATCTATATTCATAATGAAAAATTTCTCAAATAAATTAGTGCTGAACATAAAGCATACACCAGGCTCACTGACACGTTATTATAAGGCTGCTCTTACCAGAACATAGTTATCTTAATCGGGGTGTAGCACTTCAGCTCTGAGCAAAGGTACAGGAGCCTCATCAGGGACAACTTCTTTACCTTGTAAACACAAATTACCTGCACTTCCTCATTTATCTGTAAGAGACAATGTTGACTGGAATGACATTTCAGCGACTTTGGAAGCGTTTCTGCTCCATATATGAGGTATAAGTAACCTTCTAACAGCAAGGACATGAAAAAAATTCTGTGTAGCGTTATATAAAGTATTATATAAAGCCAGATTATAAACTCCCTCCAAAGGCCTCCTGACCAATTTATAAAATGAATTTCAGTTTCACTAGAGTTATAAGCATCAGACTTCCCTGAAGGCAAAACAGGTTTCCTTTTCCATTCCTGTTACTGAACCAAGTTCAATTTCTTGATAAATCTTCACGACACTGTAAGATACAATAGACTAGAAAACAGGACAGACCCATATCTGTTATAGACTAGCACAGTTTTAATGAAGTTGATGGAGCTGCAGGGATTTATTTGGGCTATGCATTGCCCCAAAACAGAATTATCAAAAAATGTTCCATGTATAAAATGGGTATCTGATAGGGAATAGTTTTTATTATGATACTAAAGGGCTTCTATTTCTTGTTTTCTTTTTCTTAAATAATCTGAGGCTTTTCTGGACTATTATAAGTCTATTGTGTAGTTTACATGAAAATCGTAGATTTAGAATTAAAATTATTCAGAATTGGTAATTACCTTGGGTCTAGAGGAAATAAAAAATGTACTTTTGCCTCAACAAATGTGATTAGAAGGTTGATCTTCAGTTCTAAGAGTACCTTAGTAGTCCAAGTGATAAACTTGAAAAGAACAAAATTGTTAGAGACCAGTCAAGTGCCTTTTGGTGTTAGCTTAAATTGTATTTTGGTTGGTTATATTTGCAAGACACTAAACTGAAGAGTGCCCATCCCATTGTCTGTGAAGACTTTAGCTCTTCATTTACTTGAATAAAATGCTTACACATTGTTTGGTGGTTCCATTTAAACACCTTTTTCAGAGATATATTGATGGTTTTTCAATGACAGTAGGTTTTGTGAATATTTTTTTCGCAATTTTTTGGCATTTTATTCATTTTGATGATGTTCTATATTAGATTTTGAGTTTAGACATCAGGCTGAAAGTTAAGCCTGAAAATGGGGATAATGAAAAAAGTCCCAATATGTTGAGGGAAATTGTCAACTGGCAGAGGTCGGTTTTCCATTGCCTTTCTCAATTGCTTGCTGTTAGTGAACAAAACAGCACCTCTACAGAAAATAAATAAACCCCACAGAAAATAAATCCTGTGCTTAGAAATGTAAGTCAGGGATGAGAGCCTATCAATTTTTATGGAAGCTAGAAAGAGCTAGCAACATAGTAACCTGAATAACGAGCTAGCAGAATACGAACCTACTTTTCTGATTAACCTGAAATTCCCTCCTTTTAAAAAATCAACGAACGGAGCGATTCATGCCGGTTGCAGGGGACTTTTCTTTTTTCAGCATCAAAATAGACCTTCTGTTTCAATGAAAAAAAAAAAAATTTAGTTCATCTAAATCTTATTCACGTTTTTTAGATCTTCCACCACCACCCGACCCGCCCCCTGGTCAGGGTTTAAGGCAGCCCATAGTCCCCGGCCAGCGCGGAGGTTCGGCAGAGAGGAAAGGAAGCTCTCTTGAGAGGCAGCATGCACCGAACGTAGATGAGACAAAGAGCTCCCTGGACCGGCAAGCTAGGACATCTCTAGAGTGGCAGCGGCAAACCCAGGAGTGGATAAGCTCTACAGACCGCCAAGAGGATTTCAGGAAAGCCCAACACAAACAAGCCTTCGGATCAGGTGTGTGTGCGCTGCACCGGCCGAGGCAAGGCAGACGGCTTCTTGACACTCTGCTGAGGGTTTCTGTACCTGGCAGGAGTCCAGAATCAGCTCACACTGGTGAGGCTTAGGCTGGAAAACAAGAAAAGGCAAAGTGAAGGGAGAGCTTGTGATCCAACTATTTTCCCTCCTGCAACCGTGAAAGCTCATTAACACCTGATTCAGGCCATTCTTGACAGTGTTTTGACAATTAATATTGTTGTCAAGCATAGCTGTGGAGAAAACAGGAGTGGTTTCAGGCCAGCACAGAAGGAGAAAGAGATTTTTAAAGTATCTTCTGGTAGATGTATTTACTTATAAATACAAGGCTATATTTTCTAGTTCTTTGAACCTTCTTCCAAATTGGCAGCAGGTGTTTTTGCCTGTCCAAAAGAAGGCTGATTCTTCTGAGCTACTGACATTCCCTCCAGCTGTATTTAAAGCACCATCTTCTTCTTCAAGGATATGACAAAGTAACACATCTCTTAGGCTCAGCAAGATGACAGAGCAGGCTTTCACCTTCATACAGGACCTGCACGTTGCCACGGGCTGACTTTATCTCCTAAATGGATTTCAGGTCTGTAAAAATGTGCACAGGAGGTGATGCTGGGCTGGAGTTGTAGTTTTACAATATTTGCAGCTTCCTTCTCTCAGCCTGACCTCAAAGTAAAAACTTCTGTTCCAGCTTTTACCCTCAAACTAGAGTATTTTCTTTAACCCACTAGTCACATGGCACACCAGTGCAGTGCTAATTAGAGTAATACAAGAGGACAATTAAGAGGATTTAAACAAAAAATTATACTATATGTGGAGTTTTCTGTAGGGTTATGCTGTTTCTTCAAGTATGTATGTGGCTCCCACTGTCACACTGCAAGTACTCTTATAATCCATCTTTTTCTTGATTTTATTCTCCTATTGATGCTCCTTGTTAATCTAGGCCAGTAGTATCACTGACACTCCAAAAAAAAAAATTAGTAATATGCAAGCAAATCTATCATGGGGGCAGGATTTACTGAATAAAGTACTCCTGGGAAATATTGCTACCAATATTTAAAATGTAACTATTTTAAATACAATCATACTTTAAAATATAACCATAGTGATACTGTTAAAAACCTCTAATCTTTCAGCTGCATAAACAAGTGAGTGGTTGTGCATGTTGTGAAATCTTGAAGTCGCAGTTTAAAAATAATGTGTGAAATTCTTGCTGTTTGGTGAAATGGCAATTTTAATTGCAATGTATGAGATGTACAAACATGTAGAAAAAATAGCCTGAATATACTTTACACTTCTTATTTCTATGTAAATTATTATTAAGAAAGCTTCTCTGACCTGCTTAGCAAGAACTCCCTTCTTTTTCCTCTGCTTCACAAGTGTACAAATAGAAGTTGTCAGTTTTTCTGTGATGCAGAGCTTATACAGTAATAAAATTCCCATCCTGCAGGACATGCATTTATCTATCCATAAATAAAGAGAACTTGATCTTGCCACTTCCAGTGACCTACATAAGCATTGAATTTAGGACTGAAGTGATTACAGGTATCTTGTTCTTGTCAAATTCAGGATGATGAGAGCAAGTGCATATCCTTTATGCATAAAATAAAGATTCCTCTAGGAGATATTATGGATTTACCCTGGTGTGAGGAGTTCATAAAGTTTGTGCTCAGGGTGGGCCAGAGCTTTATATCTATCTGTCTGCCTTCTCTGACAGCCTCTAGCACTACAGTTTCTTGCTCTGTATTCTTGTCTCTGCTGGATTTAAAAAAGGCTACTCTTGTGCACGATGCCTGTTTCTGTTACTAAACTTGGGGGGGTTAATCATATTAGTAATTGTGCTTCTTCCCTTTTCCTTTATTAATGGCATAGATCTCTGGAAATTTATCCTGTCCCACTTTTTAATACATTTCCAAAAGGAGGTATTATTAGCTATCAGCTTCCAGAAAATAGCTAATTTGCAGCTTAGGGGGTTTCATTCAGATGTTACCAAGCTGTGAGTGAAATTTTGAAAGCAAGACCTTTAGTTTGAAGTTGAATAGAATAAAAATGCTCAAGTCTGGGAACTGTGTTTCCACTGGTTGGTTTCAGTATAAACAAGATCACTGGGTTCCTGCCAGTGGTTTCATTGTGGAAGCACAGTTACAGCACATCAAATATGACATTCTCATCTGTCCCTCTAAAGAGAGTAGTGCTAGATCAGGTTACAATAGTTTTGATAATATGAAAAGCCTTTTGGTTGTTTTATGGGGCCCGGAAACATCGTTACACACGTATATCTTGATTTCATGGGGGCTAGAATTATGTCTTCAAATTAAAGGCTCAGAAATTCAAAGAGAAAGGCATTGGCAAAGGCTCCCCATACTCTTTGCAGGTCTAGGGCGTGGGGCACTGTTTGGAGTGTTTAATGAATGTGAGTCCATTCTCAGGACTTGAGACAACTACCTTTCATGTGCTAGAATGTTGTGGAAAACTTAGCCTTTATTTTATGTCACAATTACTTATTTTATGGATTGTATTTATTTCTGAGGGCACAATAGATAATTTAACACACCATATGCTCTATAATGATAATGGACTTTATATTTATTCATTCTCGTTTTCTCTCAATATTTCATTGAACCCGAAGGAGGCCTTATCCAGAGTCCACAAACTAGAAAAACAAATCAATTGACCATATATGTCATCTTCCAACTCTTTTGCAATGCTAGTGACTTTTCTTTTCATCCTTTAAAAATGTATCCAGCTTTCTGCTAAACTGATTTATGCTGCTTGCTTTATTACTGCCTTAATGCAAGCCATTCCATATTTTAGCCAGCCTTTGGAAACCAAGTTTACGTCTGATTCTATTGTTGGGCTTTGATATATAAGGAACAAGTAACATAATTTAGGAGACTATGGCTGTTAAATGCCATTTTACTGTGTCTTTTGGGCATTTCTTTGTATTTCAGCAAGGACACCACACGGTCATAGCACAAAACATTGATAATGCCCTTATGTCCCCCAGCACAAATATTCTGGTCCCTTGGGCAGGGCCAGAGTGAGGTACTTTGGCAGGGAAAGAATTCAGCTGCCTGCCTTTCTCTGCAACAGATTTACCTTGCAAACAGGCTCTGTTCAATAGCAGATCACATGGGGAATCCCCATGTTCTACTCACTTGTGGCAACAGGCACAAAGAATGAAATCCTGGGTTTCTTCCACAAATTCATTCTCATTTAGCATTTCTCTTAAGTTAATTGTGCCTCTGCTGCAGCCTTTGCTAAGGCTTCAAGCTCGTGAATCAAAGCATTTTTATCTCTTTCTTTCCAATCATCCCCACCTACTTTCCATCTGTGTTCCTGCCCTCTGTCAAAGAAAAGTCCGTTTCTCCTCATGGATTTGTCTAAGAGTGAAGACAATGGGAAAAGCAAAATAAAGAAAACCCTTTTGGCCTAGATCCACTTGAAAAAAAAAAAAGTAAGATTCAGGCAGGAGATATCCCACCGATTTCAGAAGGGCCAGTTGCTGTGTTTGAGGTTAAGGATATATACTTATATTCTTTCTTGAACCAAACTATATTTAGGAAGATTTCTTTCTTCAGCTTCTGAGATGGCAAGAAGGGATCATACACAGCAAAGAAATAAAACAGTGCTTCTACTTCAGTGCTAAATCAGTGCTGCTGTTTTGCTTCTTAGGTCGAGATTATTACAACAATATCTCCTGGAAACCCTAATCAGAAGTGATGTCTTGTTTCACTTCATGCTATATGAAGACATGCAGTCCTATGCTTTATTGCTATTAATCTACTCTTGCAAGCAGTTCATTATTACAGGTCTTCACAGGAAAAGAAGCCAAGTGAGCAAAAGTAAGCCTTTTGCTCATAATGGAACATGAAACAAGCTGCAGGATGATTTATTCAGCCCAAATATTACAACTCCTATGTATAATATAATATTTTCCAATGTGATTCACCACTAGTTAAAAAAAATTGTTAGTGTACTTTGCATCGTTAGAAATTACTGAGTTGCTGGAAGCTAATTAAATTAGCTGATATTGTAGTTCTTTATCTAAACTGATTGAGGTAATGTTGCCATAATTTAAGCTAAAGAAAAGGAAAAAGCACATTCCTGTGGGCTTGAAGCAAAAATCTAATCATAGCTGCATTGTTTTGGAAATTACCTGTGCATCTATTCTTATTAAAGTATCTATGATTCATGATCTATTACTTCATAATGAATCTAGACTTTTTATAATTAATACAATCTGACTTATGAGTTTACAAGGAAACAAGAATAAATTCATGGCTTCTCCATCCTTGAGACACAACTCTTAGTTGTGTATTTTCCTAGGTAAAATTGTCGTGCCATAAAAAGCAAGATGAAAGACAGATTCATGAGGGCGGGAATGAATATGATGTCCATAAATGAATAGCTTGTTTATTCCTATTTCTAGGAATTCGCTGGTATTTACTTTGTTTTGGTTTTGTTCTGCTTTTCTAGAAGAGGCACTCGTACCATATAGTAAACCCAACTTCCCATCCCCTGGTGGCCACAGCTCTTCAGGAACATCTTCTTCTAAAGGATCGACTGGACCTAGAAAAGGTGAAGTCTTGCGAGGAGGTCACCAACGCAATGCCAGTGACCTTCTCGATATAGGCTATGTGGGATCAAACAGTCAAGGACAGTTTACTGGTGAATTATGTAAGTTTATCTCTAGCTACAGTTAAAACTCTCAAATAGACAAGAAGAGAAAAATTACAGGTTTGCTGTGAAGAGAGTAGGAAGTTGTGTGTGATAATCAGGTTAAATTTTACCCAGATATTTCTGCCATCTGAGGTGATAGATAAACTGTATTCTTCTGTTCTTTGGTTTGGACCAGTTCAAATCTGTGTAAGCCATGCCAGTGTTATCTACACAGTATGTCTTTCAGTGTGTAATGCTAGTGAAGCACAGAGAAAACTGAAGAGAAATTCTAGTAATTAGGAATTTTCTTGGCAAAGTGTAACGTGCTTGTCTTGGAAATGCCATTGACTGTTTTTTCTCAGAGTGAATGAAAAGGGTGCTGATTTTGTTGGTCATGGTGATGCCTTCTCCTTAACTTCCTGTCACCTGATGAGCAGTATTCTCTTAGATGGAGGTCTTCTTTTCTTGATTGTGTAGCCCAGTTTTTCAAGTTGCATATCTCAACTCTTTTCCTCAGCACCCCAGGACAGGGAAATTATTTCCCGAACTTTTTTCTGTTGTCACTCGATGTCCGTTAAACTTTGTGTTGATGCTGTGTATGTGATGGCAGTACCAGATACCCAAAGATTTCACTCTGGTATTTGAAGTAGACATGCCAGCAAGCTTGGGCATACTGGTATGTTTACTGATAAAAGGAGTTGGGGCTGTTGGCATGTCTGCATCCTATGGCTGCAGCCAAACCCTCAGTACCTCCTGACAGTTACTGCCCAGTAGCTTGTAAGAGGGGATCCACAAACCCTGGAATGTGCAGTCTCAGATATGGTGTTGGTAAGTGCTGAATTTTAGCATCCACCGCCTTTCATCTTAGAAGCAATTAACTCTCTTCACACAACCTATTGAATATTCATCCTGTACTGCAGTAATATTGCCATAGGCTTTGTTTTGTGGGGTTTTTTTTCTCTTATTACAATCTCTTTCTCTTTTTGTTTCTCTCTGTAGAGTAGTTGAGAAGACACATTGCAAGCTGCTCTGATGGACCATCAGGTCTGAACTCATGGAAGTGATGACACTAAACAGTGCAATGAACATTTTCTTTATTTATGTACTATTAAAAGAACTGTAAATGCAATGTAAAGACACACAGCCACACATATCCCACAGATTCTTTACTTGTGTTCTTCTCTTTAATACACCATCCACCTTAAACTATTCCTTGTCAGGAGTATATAAAAAAGAAAGAAAAAAAAATCACCCTCCAGGATGAAAAGGATTTCCTTCTGTATATAATTTCTTTTGTTGCATTGCTATGCAAGCTCACCTTCTTTTTAGCTATGTTCATATTCATGTCTGTTTTTACTGGTCTGTTGTACTATATGTGAATTAATAGGCTGTGGTGCCATATATTAACTTTTAATTGTGTAACTTTTATGTTTAAAGTTTGCACTGCAATTTTATTTGGTGATAAGCACAAAACTCTACTCCTCATGACATGAAGAAAAAAAAGAGACTGAATGTGTGGAGAAGGTTTACGTCCTGTAAGCTACTTTGGATAACGCTGGATGTAAAGGAGTATGTTAGGTGGTTTTCCATTGGGGTGTAGAAATGAGAAAGTGACAGGCAAAACTGATGTCAGTGAAGACATTAGAGACAGATTTAAATCTTTTAAAAGCAAGCAACATGGTTGCTCTTCCTATTTAAGAAGGGGTCAGAAGTTGGAAGTGTGAGGTTAAAGGGCGAATATGAAAATTAAAGGTAGCATGAGATGGCCTTGACCCTTTCACTAGAATGATGCCCTTAGTATCTGTTTTTAGCCATCCCATGCCACTAAGTAAAGGGGAAGAAAAACAAACCTTGCTACAAACAAAAGAACTTAAGGTGTTTCACTAAAGCTGTTTTTGTATTGCAGTTTTAAAAGAATTATTACCATTAATTTCTCCAGCCCAAAATGTAAGACAGAGATTTTCCAGGAGAAAAAAACACAATATAAACGCAAGGAATACCCACCAAGAAGTTAAGAATGCAATTTATTGTTAAGACATATTCAGGCTGCTTCCAAAAAATTGAAATGTCAGAGTATCTTATTTCATCTTTCCAGTACATGTATAGTAGAATAGAAGATAGAGCTGCACCACTGAAATTCATGACATTAATTGTTTTGATGCAGTCTACACAACCCTTTCTGTTCTGTTACTTGAAGTCTGCAAGAGTTGAAGTTGGATCCACTAAATTTGTAGTAAAGTGTTTAGTGTTTGGAAGGAACAGTCAAACTACTTTCGACTTGCATTACATATATTTCTGGCAGTACACTACATCCAAAAGCTGGATACAAGCAAAGAAAATCTTTGACCTGTGTTTTAGTGAGTGACTTCAAACCCTACTATGATGAGGAAATAACACGTTTATACACTTTTTGAATAAACCAGACTCTGTAAGTGGACATTAATGACAGCATCCTGTCTCTTCATTAATTTTCATGACTTTGTCCAAATCTTCTGTACTTCTCAAATCTGAATGAGTAAATTGTCAAGCTTTTCTTAGAATATTATATGTGGATAGCCCACCCATTACTTTGATGCTTAATTTAAATATTAAATCTTACAGCTTATTTCTGTTAGTTATCTGACCATGAACATAAGTTTCCATTGAATACGTTTTTCATATAACCAGTCTATGTTGTTTTATATATTGCCTTGGAGCTCACCAGTATTAAGAACACTTTTAGTTATGGCAGAATTTTAGAAAAGTAAATTACAATGCTGAATATGTGTTGCTTTTCATTTCATTAACTTGTTCCATGATAAGATAAAACACTACAGCCATCAACTATAACTCAGCACTACTGAGTATTTAAAAAAAGCTAGTTAACTTCCTTAAGTCAAGATGTGTTATTTAGCAGGTTACAAACAAAAAATATTGAGAAAAAAAATGTATGAATTTATTTATACATGTGACCAATGAGTATGTGTCATTTTCCTGCGTGTTAAAACACTACAGTTAAGAACAGTGCTTAAAAATGTTCAAGTAAGATAAAGAATGCATCATAATTACACATATTTGGTTTTATTTTGATATTATCATATAAAGCGATGACTATTCAGAGTACAATTCAAATTTAATTCTCTGGAAAATGTTTAACTCAGTCACAGATTGATTTTTTTCCTTTTAATCCAAAAGCTTGTGCTGAGCTTTGGTGGAACACCTTACTAACTATATTCTATTGAAAATTCAGTATCATTAGAGGTTGATAAAGCCATCCCAATTACTTTCAAATATGTGTTTTATCTCTTCCACTGGAAAGTAAATGTGTGTCAGTATTAAAGCTGTGCAGTACCATGATATTCACTAACTTGTTCATCTGCTTCTGTACATTTTTGTTCATTAATAATTTGCTTAAAATATTACATAAGGTGTTGTTGTGTATGGCAAAGTGTCTCCATTATCTTACAGGTGATGTCTCTTCTTTTTTTTTCTCTCTCTCTTTTCTATACAGTGTACTTCCAATGAACCACAGTACATATTTTTTAAAATGCCATTTAATTTACTATTTTAAAAGAAGTATTCTTCTTTTTTAAAAAAAAATGAAAACATTTATTGTGAATAATGTGTTTAAAGAAAAGGGATGTTGTGGCAGCACTTAGAATTGTTTTTTAATTTGTTTTTTTTTAAAAAAAACTGTTTATTGGCTACAGTTTGTTCACGAAAAAGTATGACCTCTTAATGTGTTTCATTGGTATTGTTAGTGCAGCAAAGTTTAATTGGCATAAGAAGTTGGTTATTAGTACTGTTGAAGTGTGTATTGTATATTTACTGGGGAAAAAATAAAACATATTCACATTTCAAATCTATGTTAAAAGACCTTGAGTAAGGAGTCAATATGTGAAAAGCCAAACTGGGAAAATCAGGCAATAATAACATAGACTGAGCTATAATCATCACTGTCCACTTACAGGTGACAGGAACCTTTTATGTGCTGGTTTTCAAACTAAGCTAAGAGTGTTATAAATAGGCCAGTGGTAAACATTGCCTGTCATAGGGGTTTCTGTTTAATGTCCTGTCTATACTGGGAATAGCTGGACCAGGGTAGTTACACTGCTCCAGCTATTCTAGCAAAAGTTTGTACACGTGCGCTCTCGATGTCCAGCAAGGACCCAAGTGCTCAGCTTACTTTGCTTAAGGCCCATAAAGCAGTGGATGTGTAAAACCTGCATTCCCTGGGCCTGAACCCTTGGAATTGGGGTTTTGTACTGGTGGAGCTTCTGCCAATCCAGTACAGAACATCCCCAAATGGCAAAGAGATGCCAGGTCAATTTTTTCTCAGTCTTTGCTGAAGGACCAAATAATAAATGGTTACATGTGCTTCAGTGGTGTATTGCTGTATAGGCAGCCATTTCAGTGATGCAAAGAACAGACATTTCTTGGTTTTGTTATTTCTTTTTTTATTTCTCAAGTCCTTTCCAAGTCAGTAAACCTTTTGAATACCTTTTGGTTGTCACCTGAAATGCAAAAGAAACATCGTTCCTTGGGAAAAGTACAAAAAAAATAAGGTGCATGGAATGTTTTAAGTGTATTAATTTAACTATACACCAGTACAAAAGGAAGACATGACTGTTTGAAATAACTATATGCTGGTTTATGCTTGCCTCAGTCCATACCTTGCCAGCCAGGAGAAAAGGTGTGTACTAGGGCTGAGAAAGAGCCCTCACAACTGACAGAGGAAAGGTAATCGGGCTGGGGGAGATTTTGGCAGGAACTTTTTTTAAAAACAAAAATACTGGCAGCTCCTTTGACTTATCTTCAATGTATGCAGTTTGGGGTTTTTTATGATTAATGGCCTTGTGAAGACTTAGCAGGGGAAGTAGGAAGAAAAAAAGCTGACCTTCATTTATAAAGATATCAGGGAAACTTGTTTGCCGAGGGGAGGATTTTTTAATTTCATTTTTGTTTTTTAATACATGTTTTGTGTTCCCTCTCTCTGGAACACATTAGCTAAAAAAATAAATTATTTTTGGAAACCATGTGGGCAACAGACATTTTATTTAGGAGGTACATTCAAATAGCAGGAAAATGGCAAAAAGTACTATTAAAATAGGGAACACATACAGTGGCTTAGAATCAGCCGAGTCCACCACAGTTTCACATGTAATTTTGAATAGTACAGTAATATGCACAAACTTCATTGCTTTTGGTTTCCATACTAAAACAAATTATCCAAAGTCTAGAGGCCTAGATCCTTGGGTCACTAATTCTAGTACTTCGTTTGAAATATGTGGTTAGTCCAAGCACGGTGGGTTTCAGTAGATCCCAGGCACCCCATGTGTAGAGGCAGGTCCTTTCCCTGAGGATGGAGTTTTTCAGGGCAGGGAAGATCTTTGATGAGTTAGGTGCTGTGGTGGTTTGTACAGGGACCATTTAGTCAGGCCATGTCTCACATTTTGGGACATCCTGCCCAGTCCTGCCACGGTCTCAGTGCTGAGCAGTGGAACACAGCAGAACAGTGCTACCAAACTCTGCTGTATGTAGCGTGTTCCCTGCTTCTCTTTAGGACTGACCCTTGCCTGCCAGCACTCCTCACCCAAAATAACAGATACGACTCAGAGATATGTCATGGGACCCAGAGGAGAAGTAGGGCCATGCCTGTGTGCTGTGAAGGTGGACTGGTAATCTGGGGAGAGCCAGCTCTGAGTTCTACTCCTGGTGTGAGGACTAGATTCCTCTCTAGCCTGAGTTTGTTTAACTGTGTAGCTACATCCAGCAGGACCACAGCAGAAAACAAGTTCCTAGAGCACAGCTCAGAGTTGCAGCATCTCTTCTGGCATTCCGTCTGTCGTAGACAATCCTGAGTTCAGTGCCAGCTTCTCGCCACATCCTGAGGAATCAAATGGCTTACAGTGACATTTAGGCAAGTGAGGTTGCTCCTCTTGCTGCAGCAGAATGGGAAAAAAACCCCAAACAAACAAAACAAAAGCAAAACTAAACTTTTCACTTAAACAGATCTTTTAAAACAATCCTCAAGAATCCTAGAAAATAGAGCATTTCAAATGTACTCTTGGTGATTTTTTTTCTTTTTTCTTGGCATTTTGTTTTTGCTACCATTGAAATGATCTATTTGGGTTTTTTAGACCTGCTACACTCTCCCTCCACCCCTTTACCTGCTGCATTTTCCAGTATTTATCTTTCAGGTGTAAAGAAGTTATGGTAGAGAATAATTGCAGTTGTGTACTTTCATTGTTCTAACTTTAAACAACGAGGTGCACAGTTGCATTCAATTCAATTGATCAAAGCCAGATGGGGATAAAATGTTGGTGGTTGTTGTTTGTTTTTTTTTTTCTAAAAAGGCCTGCTACTATTTGTGCTGATATTTGTTCCCCATTTATGCTGATCAGTGCATCTTTTGCCTTCGAGGATGCCATTAGTAATTCTCCTTTGTGTTCATAAGCAGGAATCCATTGTGCAGCACTTGGAGAGCCACTCGGATGCAGGTAAAGAATATAACAGCTTGAGCAAGTGCTAATTAGAACCAATTAAAGTTAATTGACCTCCTTTGGCAGTAAAATGCATAATAGAACTTGCTCTGTCCTTGCAAAATGGAGATCTCGCCTCTAAGCATAAGAGTGAAGCAGGGTTTCATGTAGCAGCCTGTAGTAATTATGTGGGTATAACAACCAGGAAGCGGCTTGCTACAATTTGTTCTAATAACTGGTCTCTACTGTATCAGGGCAGTGCAATAAAAGTGAGATTTCTGCTTCAGTCTATTTAAAAACCTAATTTTTACAGAGCAAATGAGCGTCCCAAGATACTGATACTAATCTCTGGGAATGAGTTGGCAGAAAAAATAAGAGTCCCTTTTATAGGTAAGTAATGGTGTGAGCATAAAAAAGAAGGCAGTTTTTTTGCCTGCCAGCTGGAAATGGCTCTGATGCTCAGAGGTTGCGTCTATCCTGAGTAGTGGGGGTAAGCTCTGGTGGGCCTGCAGTGGTGCCCTCTGCAGGCTTCTGTTCAAAAAGGGGCACTGGCATCCATCCAGCTGAGCTTTGTGCTGCTGTGGGACTGTACCACTACCATGGGCACAGTCAGAGGTATCCAAATAAAAGAGAGAGAAAGAGCAGGGGAAAAGAATGAATGGTAGGAAATGTAAAATTGTGTGAATTCCAAAGCATCAGTGGTGGGTGCTAAACTGTACATCGCTGTGAAAAGTTGAAAAGCCATTCTTATTAGCAAAAGAGAATTGATCCAGTTTCCATGACCATGCTTTGCTGACTTTTTCCTTGGCAGGAACTGAATGCGACTGATTTTGCTGCTAACTTGGCCTTACTATGAACAGCAATAAAGGTGTTAGTCAGGTGGGGACTTTGATGTGACCAATAACATCACTCTCCCTTCAGGGAATGTTCTGTGCTGGCTTGTTAATGAATTTCTTTCCTAATGAGTATCATTAAAAACCCTTTGATTAGCTATTTGTGTGAATGCCCTTCCTTTTTTCCTCTAAGCTTCTACTTGCACAAGTGGCAGCAGGATTTTGCCCTAGGAAAAAGCATGCAGCTCTACTCCATACCTCATGAACACAAGTCCGAGACAAAAAGCAATAGGAAAGAGGATAAAAAATATAAGAAAGACCTCATGGATGACTTGAAGTTATTTTTTACACGTGTACAACCTAAGCAGGTACTAGCATTCAGATGAGAATGTCATTATGGGAAATGAAGAGCGATAGGTAGTGATGGTGAAGCATGCAAGAATAATTTACATACACCTCGAGTGCCAACAGGCAGAGAAACAAATAAAGCTATAACCCAGGGAAAGGGAATGCCAGAGAATAAATGGACCGCAACAAGCAAACAAAAAATGCCATGTCATAAAATGTAGCAAAAAGCCTGGAAAACAAAATTAAAAACAAAACAAGGCATTTCAGATCCCAGGCCCCTTAATGAGATATTGATGGCATAGAAATTGCCTACTCCTATGCAAGACAAAAGAAAACTGAGAAACACAAAAACAATTAGGAAACAGATTTGGCTATCTGAGGTTTAATAGAAGGAGATGTGGCATAGCACAGTACAATTAATCACCAATTGCCTGAAACACTTTCTTCTCCCAAGCTACTGCAGACCTGTCTCCCCTGCTCCCAATCTTAAAATGACAGGCACCCAATCCAGTTTGTATTTAAAATAAGCCTTTCTCTTCTGTTCCTTCCCCAGTCCCCCAAATCTCCCAGTGATTTGCAGATACTGATAAATAAATCTTTTGTATTTACTCTGGTGTCACAGGCTTCAAACTTAGCTTCAGCCTCCCCACCCTCTTTTTCCTTCTCTTTTCCCATCAGGCATAAACTTCATCTACATATTGCTACCTTGTTGTTAGGCATATAATGAACCTTTTCTATTTCTGTCCTTCTTTGCCCAGAAAGCTGTCTTAGGCATGTCACACTTAGGGATTTATAAAAGTTCACTTTATATTTGATCTATGCGGAATACGAGTTTTAAGTTTAAACTAGGTCATTGGGTGCCTTTAGAGCATTTGTAACTGAGGGAGAGCCATTGACGAGTCTTGATTTGAGTGGTTCAGCCCTGTGTGCAGAGCGTGAGAAACTCAGGGGGGGAATGATCACAGCTGCAGAAAGATTCGGGCCGTGTGTCGCACCCCGTGTCTGCTGTGCCACACGTGGTTCCCTGCGTCAGTGCTCAGGTATTAATGGCAGCCCAGAAGTGCACCTTAAGACATCCAAAGTTGTGACAACCTGCAAATAAAATCTCGGGTCTGGTGAAATCTGTGGTCAAATTTTAGTCTTTTCTTTAATCAAGATGAAATATTAGTTCCCAGGGCAATCTTTGTAGTGTATTAGAAGAGTTCTGGCCGTCAGAGGATTGCCTTTCTGTTCTGTGTACCTTACAGCCCTGGGACATGCAAACATATTCTGATTTTCTCTACGTGAACTTCAGAGTACATAAAAACATGTTTCCAAACATGGGGCTTTGAATTCCCTTCTATCACAGTCCATATGTTCTTTTTGATCTTTTGGGGGTTACCCAAATCCCAAGTGTTTTCACAAGCACTTATCACTAGCTAAGAATATTCAAAGAACAATCCTTTGCATATTTTCATATTCTTTGCAGTCTCCTCCAGGCCCACGAAAGAGAACATATACCAATTTTGACTTTCAATTGCTCATGTGTTACACTTTTGATTTCATTGAGGGATTTAGGAGGCATGATTTTCATAGAAACTGATGTCAATTAGATAATTGGAAACTAACAGTAAAAGTATTGGACCTCTGAGATCTGGTAAGCGGCCTTGTAATCTATCTGAGGATAAAACCTTTTAGTACTTGTACAACTACTTTTTCTTTAATTAATTGGTTCATAGAATTACAGCATTTTGTAATATTCCTGGTAAGTTGTCTGGGTGAAGAAATTTCACTTTGAACCTGAGTTGCTCTAATCAGGAATTCTTGCTCGGACCAATAGATGGACTTTTGTGGGACAAGTAAATCTTACATACCTTTATAGCAGTAGCAGCACTCTTGGGAAAAAAAAAAAAAGTTAGCAGAAGCCAGGTAAACTCGGCATCCTTTAGTGAATACTTGGGGTTTCCTTGAATTTGGTCTCTGTGGCGTAAGCCAGGAAATGTTTGGTTTGGCACAGGGGTCTTTGTACCTGCCTGGCACCTCTTGCCTCATCCAGTCACACTCAGAGCTGGAGCAGCCATGGGAGTGGAGGGCAAGGAGAAGCAAAGCAAAGTGAGGAGAGCATATGAGGACATGCAATATTTCAACAACAGTTTTCAGGACAAAAAAAAAAGTCTTTGTTTTTTCCAGACAGTTCTTCTCACATTATGTTTCTGGTACACAGAAATACTCCTTTCGCCCATAGGCCATTTTTTTTCTTTAGATTTGGATAAATTTAAATATTTTCTCAGAAAAGAAAATTTGAGAAACAAACCTGATGTTAACTGTCAGAACAATGTGGGACTGTTTTCAGTGCAGGCCTCTGACTATCAGTATTAGGATGTGTCAGTGAATTGATTATTGTTCGTAAACTGTTCCTAGTGCTGACAATAATAATGACAGAATGCTCTTAATTGGTCCCAGGAAACAAAAAGCAGACAGAAAATTCTCCATTTTTTTTTTCTTTATATGGTGAATAGCTGGGGTTTTTTTCTCTAGCACTCAATATTTTCATTGTAGTCTTAAGGGTGTTTTGAAGCATCTTATGTTGTTCACTTTCTGAAATCCGTTTATTAAACTGAATGTTGTTGAGCATGAGGCTGACATTTGGTGATTCTCATGCAGTTTCTAATAGCTGCAGGGTGCTCATTTTTGGAAGCAGTTTTATGATGCTACAAAATGTCTCCTCTGCTTTCGCTGGCACATATCATAACCGTAAAGCTGAAGCGGAGCTGTCAGGACAGCATGTCTCTATTTAGCAGACCATTGTTTGTCATCGAACAGATATTCTTGGAGTTTTTTCAGATATAGCATTGTTGCCAATGGTTAAAATTTCAAAGCTTCATAAATGACTGCGCACAGGAAGATGAATCCAGCTGGCAAACTTTATACATTTACAATTTTTGTAAAAGTCATCAACAGGGGAGCCAATAATTTTCGCTCTCTGATGAAGTCTTCATTATGGAGCATCTGAAACCTTGTTATAATGTGGATGACTTTGACATTATATCTGCAGTTATGTGCTTGCACTTCTAATAGCTCTCATACAATGAGAATTGAGCCCACAAAGAGCCTCTGAAAATAGAGTAACTAAATTTTCCTCTGCATTCGTACAGTGTACAGGTTTAGGAAGGTTCTCTCATGTTATTTACAATGGCTTCCTGAGATTCTTCTGATTTTAATACCATGGTATATAAAACCTGGCAAATGTCAGCACTTGTAACTATCAACTTCCAATAAACACAATCTACAGGGATGTGAGTCTTGTAGGACACGAAAAAGAGTAGGTCACTCCATAATGAGCAGCTGCAAAGGGAGGACAAGTTAGCTCAAGACACTTTCTGTGTTTGTCAGATTTAATTTGAGGTTTTGTCTCTGCACAGATTTCAGAGACACTTGTCACAGGTGGTCGAGACATGCAAAGAACAACTACAATGGATAATAAGGCTGCTGTGCTAAAATGGTATCATAACACCTGAAGCAGCCATAGTAGGGGTTGTTTCATCATTCTTAAACATTGATTTTATTATTCTGAAATGAAATTATTACAACTCTGACCTGCTAGTGGATTCTGTGATATCAAGAAAATGTTAATAATGGGGGGTTTTTTTGTCTCTATTCCTCTTTTTTTTTTTTCTTCCTACAATAGTGTCAGGTTCATCTTACTTGAGATGTAGCCAATTATCAGCATAATCCTGCTAATAAATCTCCTGGATAGCTGTACTGGAAAAAGAAACCAACAACAAAAACAACTGGCCAATGCTGCTAAAAGAAGCTGTATTTCCTGTTTCTCTTTATAGAACTTTTGTCAATTTTCATGTCTCTCCATAAAGGAATTTCTTATTCAGAAAAACAAATTAGATTTTCCTTCAGAGAAACAGCTTGATCCAGGCATTAATTCACTTCCAGACGGGATCTGATCTTTATCTTTTCATGCTCATTAAGCAACACCTTACCTAGAGCGGTCCCAAACAATAAGTGGTGGAGTTTAGTTCAGGGTGCAATGTCTATACCATGCTGTTCATATAAACCACTTGGACCGTCCTTATTAATGTAATTCATTTTTAACACCACTGTTCTTAAATTTCTTATGCTCTACCATCTGGACTCTAACATTTATAATGTATCTCTATTTTATTATGACCTTTAAAATTCTTAATCTTCTTACCCTTGGTTTTCCTTCGTATTTTTTTTTGTTAAAGATATGATTTTGTTCTTTGATCCCCTTCTGCAGTCTGTACATGATTTCTGTGCTGTTTGGATAAGGAAAATCAGAGCCTGATGTTCACCCAGATCAGAATAATTTACAGGTACACTTATGTACCTGTTAAGATAGCCTTTTTAGCCACTTTTTTTTGCCACTTTTACAGGTGTATTGGGTATGTGTTCAGAGGTTCCTTCCTTTGATAACAAGTGTGATGTGAAAAAACCTGGCCAAATAAAATTCTGACTTTGAGAATTTTCACCTCTCCTAGACAAGCCTAGCTCCCTCTGTGATATATTTACTACAGTGCAATGCAGCTTTTAACAGCTTTTTAATATTTTCTCTTCCAAATTTTCCCTTCAGCTCCAAAAGTTGTACCTGGAAATTCAATAAACAACTTCAGTCTCTCCAAGCATTCATCCACATAGCCAGTTAGGGATTTGGAATAACTTGAGTTCAACACAGCTGGTTAGAGAGAGGCAGAACATGGCCAGAATCCTCACTCAGCTATGGTCATAAATCATCATACAACCTGGCACTGACAAATTGATCTTGGCCTAGAGCATCCAGGAGCTTTGTGAGAAACCTGG